TTAATAGAAATAAAAATACGGAGAGGGATATGCACAGAGGTTAACAGAACTGCATTTGTGCTCCTGTTCACTACTATGCTTATGAAGAGGTCATTACTTAGATCTCTCCCAGATCTAAGTAATGCATCACTGTCAAGCCTTGGTGGACCTGTGTGAAGCTGAAGACGGCAGCAAGTAAGGTGCCCTAATGTGCTTTGCCTGCTCAGTTGAACTGCTCAGCAGATGGAGATGTTGCCGGCTGCAGCTCTCTTGGAAGGACATTATGGTTATTAATGGAGCAAGATCTCTGCTGAGGCGTGGGTCATTTTGGCGCTGTACGGCATGACTTTATAAAAGGAGGACTCCTTTCTCAACCCTTTGTCTGGCTGCGGGGAAAAAGACTGGACTATTATGGATAGCCTCTTTAAGAGTAATGACCCAGCTGTGCATTGCTGGCATGAACTTTGCAGAGGTGAGCACACACACACACACGGCAAACTCAGGGTGAGGAAGGAAAAGAAATATTCATGCAGATCTTGAGACTGTTTCATGATGTGGAGAGCTGGTGTGGTTTAGTGGCTACAGCGTTGGACAAGGACCTGGGGAGATGAGGGGTTCAAATCCCTACTCGGCAGTGAGGCTCACTGGGTGGGGCCAGTCACTGCCTCTCAGCCTAGACTACCTCACAGGGTTGTTGGGGGGATTAAATGGGGGGGAAGCCATTTCCGCCCTGCAGAGGAGGTGGGATTGCAGGCATCACGCCCCCCCCCCGCATGATTGGGGGAATCCCCGGCCGTGTCACCCCTGGCCAGGCAATCGGTTGGCTCTGGGGGCGTTGCCTGCCCTATTTAACACAGGCGTGGCCTGGGATCTCCCTCTTTTCCTGCCTACCAGCTGTTCCTGTTTCCCACCCTCCCGCCCTTTAAGGTTTCCGTTCCTTGACCTTGCTATGGACCTTGGTTGGTCGCCGTTGAGGGGCCTGGTAGGAATTTTTCCACTTGGCAAACTGGTACCAGCCACTTGGTTTTCGCCTACCTCGTAACAAATTGTCACAACTTTCTTGGTATTGGCAGTTAGGCATTGGTACTGTATTGGTATTGTTTTGTAAATGGAAGAGGGGAGGAAGCGCCATCACCTGCCCCGCATATTGAAGGGTAGTCCGATAAAGGATTCCGGGGGGCGTGGCCCTGTCTGAAGCCTATGGAAGTGAGTGTTAAGCTGGGGGTGAACATATCAGATGACACAGCGATTCTTCAAACAGCTCTCGTTTATTCACGGGCCAGAACAGAACTGAACTGAAGGGTTCAGGCAACCTGCTTATATAGAGCTCCACTACAACGCAACAGTAACCACTTTCTGTAACTATCCAATCACTGAACGTCACTTTCAATCCCTTATTTGCATATGTGGACCTGAGTGAAAACTATCTACAGTATCCCCCTGCTGGCCCAGGGTGAGAACTTCAGTACATAACAGTGAGGGCCTAAGGCATGCCCTGAGCGGTGACCCTGGGGGAGTTCCTAGTTGATGTGCATCAGCAGGACTCCCCCTACTGGTGGTTAACCCTTCCCGGACTTCAAGCGGACGGGCTGAAGCCGGATATACCATATTTTTCGCCCTATAGGACGCACTTTTTCCCTCCAAAAATGAAGGGGAAATGTGTGTGCATCCTATGGGGCGAATGCAGGCTTTCGCTCTCCAGGCTTCAGGTCCGGCAAGCTCCGGGAGCAATGGCGAGGTTGCACGCAACCTCGCCATTGCTCTGGGACCCGTTCTGGGGGCTGGGGTCGGGGGAAGCTCGGGCTTCCCCCACCCCCAGCCCCGCAAGCTCGGGGAGTGATGGCGAGGTTGCGCAACCTCGCCTTCGCTCCCGGACCCCCAGCCCCGAGGCTAAAAACAAAGCCAGGACAGTGAGTGGGATCCATCCCACTCGCTGTCATGGCTTCTTTGATCTTTGGGGCTCGGGGGGGGGAATAAATTTCCCCCCTTTTATTTCCCCCTCCAAAAAATAAGTTCGTCCTATGGGCCGGTGCGCCCTATAGGGCGAAAAATACAGTAGTTGGTTAGGACCAATGCCTAAGCCAATACCGCTCATCACCTGTAACCAATAAAGTGGCCTTATTTAGCCCATTAACCTTAATAATTGTGTCATGTGTCTTTATTTCCACTGGGGGGGCGGCAACTCGCCACTCAACCATGAGACCACCTTGAGTTGCTTGGAGAAGACGGTGGGATATAAATTTAGTAAATAAGATGAGTACATCGTGCACAGCGCTCTGAAGAATAACTTAACACCTCTCTTGTTTTTGTTTCACGTCCATTTCTAGGTAGTGTTCATGGCTCAGCGTTTTACCTGATTAGTCACGTCCATTCATTTCAGCGGGTTAGTCTGAGCGTGACTTAACTGGACACAACCCTTAATAATAAAAATAATTTTTAAAATAAATAAAATAATCTCAAAACGAGCAGTGGGTTGGACAATTTCCCAGTGGTGGTGTGTCGTTAATCTGACTCGGGGAACCTGGTTCAGCCCATCAGGAAAGAGGTTTGCTCACAGCTGATTCCTGCATTGCAGGGGGTTGGACTAGATGTCCTTCAAGGTCCCTTCAAACTCTACAATTCTTTGTAGGCATCGAGTCATTGCAGTCTAGGCTTGGGGAGAGACTGCATCACAGGATACTGAAAACGTTGAAAATTGGGAATGTCCCCATTTGAAACCCTGGAGAGCTGCTACCAGCCAGTGTAGACAATACTAAGCCAGATGGACCAGTGGTAGGCGGCTTCCTACGAGCTGTAGCTCAGTGGCAGAGCACCTGCCTTGTATGCAGAAGGTCCCAAGTTCATCTCCAGGTAGGCCTGGGAGGGACCCCTGTCTGAAACCCTGGAGAGCTGCTGCCAGCCAGTGTAGACAATACTAAGCTAGATGGACCAATGGGCTGGCACAGTGTAAGGCAGCTTCCAGTGTTGCCATCCTTTCATAAAGATGGTTGTGGTGCTCAAGCGAGACAGAGGGGATTGAGAAAGAGAGAGAAGAGCAGAAGATGCTACAGCTGCTTCTCCTATTCATGGCAATACAATGTGCCAAGATACGCCGCTGGGAGAATTCAGCTAGCAATGCATTTGCCTGGCGAGGAAGGGATTGTAATAATATTTTACAGGCTTGAATGCAGCATTTCTGCTGCCACCTTGTGCTCGTGCTCTGTGAGAGCAATGTTTTGAAGGCTACGCACTGCATAGCATTGCCTGCTCTTATTTGATATATGTGTGTGTGAATTCTGCAAAAATGCCATTGACGTGATAATAGTTGTACTTGTTGTTGTTGTTTAGTCGTTTAATTGTGTCTGACTCTTCGTGACCCCATGGACCAGGGCACACCAGGCACTTCTGTCTTCCACTGCCTCCCGCAGTTTGGTCAAACTCATGCTGGTAGTTTCAAGAACACTATCCAACCATCTCGTCCTCTGTCGTCCCCTTCTCCTTGTGTCCTCCATCTTTCCCAACATCAGGGTCTTTTCCAGAAAGTCTTCTCTTCTCATGAGGTGGCCAAAGTATTGGAGCCTCAGCTTCAGGATCTGTTCTTCCAGTGAGCACTCAGGGCTGATTTCCTTCAGAATGGATAGGTTTGATCTTCTTGCGGTCCATGAGACTCTCAAGAGTCTCCTCCAGCACCATAATTCAAAAGCATCAATTCTTCGGCGATCAGCCTTCTTTATGGTCCAGCTCTCACTTCCATACATCACTAATAGTTGTACTAGTGGTGGAATTATACTGGACCACCAACATATCATTCTGCTTCATCAGCTGTTCTGCAATGCTTCCCGCAGTGTGATTCAATCATTGCCATCCGGAGAGGGACTTTTGCACTATAGAGCAACAGATGTGGGACCAAAAAACCCCAAGCAAACCCAACCTAACTCCACCTAGAGTATTTGTGGTGTGAAAAGTTACAGGGTTTCAACCAGAAGTTTGCAGGACATGCCTTGATAGGAAACAAAGCAATAGGTGCTGAGCGTGAGACCCTTAATCTCAGGTTCGTGGGTGCAAGTCCCATGTTGGGTGAAAGATTCCCCTGCACTGCAGGGGTGGGACTAGATGACCCTCAAGGTCCCTCCCAACATGGCGATTCTATGATCCTATGTCTACCCCCAAAACCTTTGCATAAACAAATAGTACCAGAAGCAGGATTGCGTATAACTGCTCTGGTGCCATCATGAGCATGAATCATCATAAATTAAAAATAAAATAAAATGTCCAGAGGGACGTTCTCTCTATTTGACAGAAGGGACGGGACTTCCGCCACCAGAATCCAAAGTTGCAGGTGGTGGGGGGGGAGATTTCCTTCCTAAGTAGGTCACCACAGCACTCTGACTCATATCAATAACTCTGGGCTGTCATCCCTCACTCCTGTCTCAATTTCCCAACTCAGATCATTTTCTTCCCTTTTAATTCTTTCACCTTGGTCGGTTTTCTTCTGGCCTGCTTTTGCCTGGCTTTCCAACACCTGACCCAGAATGCAAATCATGTACTACCTGGCAACCTGTTTCTTGTTATCACCCTGCTGTGTGGCCTCCCATTTTTAATGTGCTTCTCCGCCCCACCAATCCCTCCCCCCCCCCCGTTTTTTCACATGTATGCAATTGCCATAAGATTAGATAGCGATCACTGTCCTGTTAGTGATGGACCCCGTTGTCGCCATTGTCAGTCAGCCATACCAGAAGCTGTGGGGGCTGCTGCCGCATTGAGACTCGAGGGGCAGAAGGCAGGGACCCCCAAGAGCAGGTGGATCCAGAGCCAACGGTGGGGAGAGCCGACGAATGCTAATTTTTACCCCATCCTCCCTGCTGAGACGTACAAGGGCAACATGGCGACTGAGGAGGGGAAGGAAGCGGACAGCGCCACCCCCTGGACTGGTGGCAGGCAAGGGGTGGCAGATTGAGGTTGGTGGGGGGCAGTGCCCCACTTGCCCAAATGGACTGACCGGAGGCGAGGCAGCTTTGACAAAGATGCAATCGACACAGGCAGAATCTCTCCCATATTTATTGTCAGAGGTTGGATCTGTACCGCAATTGGGTAGGTGACTGCGAAAACGAGAGAGAGGGGGAAAACCAAACCAAAAAAACAGGGAGCTGAGAATTAGGATAGCAATGGGGGTGGTGGTAGTGATTACAGCCTGGTGTGCAGAGGAGAATGGGCTCAGCCCAATTTGGCACAAACACTCGTATATTACAAATACATACAATGGGGAGGGGCAGCAGCATGGCTGGGCGCTACAATGTGGAGGTGGAGTGGGGTGGAGAAGGGGCTGAGCACACCTGGGCAAGAAGCAGCAGCAGGATTGCTGCAGCAGCTGTATGGCAGGGATAAATTCAGCCGGTGTAGCCTTTCTCATCATGAACAACTATGGACGCTTCCAGACTGCCTCTGTTTTCAGGAGGGATTCAATCACATACCGCCAAATGCATGTTGTGCGGTTACGTTTGATTGGGAGGTCTTGCACACTTCTCCAAGACACCGGACTTTTTGCAGTAAGGAAAGTGACGGGGGAAATGCAATAGAAAATGTGGAGGGATAACACTTGCTCTTAGCTCCCTGCAAACAAATCAAGGTGAATGCCCGGGTCATGTGGAAGCGGCCTAAAAGTCGTGATAGCTTTAAGACAAAACAAATCTACAGTATTTTGATTATGAGCTTTTTCATGGCCTCGATAAATGTGCTGGACTTTGAGGTGCCACCAGACTCTTTGCTGGTTTTTGTCTTGTGGTTTTTCCCCCTGCAACAGACTAGCACCCCTCTAGAATTTATCATCGTGGTGGTTTCCATTGTGACACCTCCAGGCTGCATTTTTTGAATTTATGGTTGTCAGGCAGATGTTAAAGCTACAGAAATAAAGCTGCCAACTCTATTAAGGTGTGTATGTCTCTCTCTGTGTGAGTGATGTGCTGTTCCCTAAGAGTTTTCTCCATGTTTGTTTGTGAAGAGGGAGCAGGACAGCTGGTGATCTGCTTGTTCAAGACAACACCCACACACTCCATTTCCCTGGCACTCCCGTTCCCCTCTCTCCTATTAATTTGGGGAGGTTCCTTTTCCCTCTCCAGTGAGAGAAAGTTTCTGGAGTTCTGTCCTCCAATTCCAGCTGGAGTGGCCTCAGTCACAGCCTACCAAAAAGCCACTGGTAAGAGCCAAAAAATTGATGGCAGACATCTTTCCCCCACAGAGTAATGTGTGGGAAAGGCAGCAGAGTGTATAAGGTACATTTATAATGGCATGGGCAAGAAATGCTACCCGGGATATTAAAAGGCAACTGCTACATGGTCAAGATCACATAAGTGCAACCGAAATTGTGGGAAGGGACATGATTTGTGGCAGGTGGATTGGGGAATAAGGTACAAAAGAGAATAGGCCACACAGAGTACTGGAAATGTGACGGTCTTTTTCTGCTTTCTCTTGCAGAGTCGGGGAAGGATTAGAACCTGAGAGACAGGATGCCATTAGTATACCTTAACCAGGTAAGATCAGGCGGAGGATTGGGATATATGATGGGTGGAAAGAGTGGGCAAACAGCACTTGCCCCCAAGGATTAAAAGCACCCCACAGAAGGTTTAGAGTCCAGCAGTGCTGGGTGGGTTTGGGGGAAGAGACCTAGTGGAGCTGTACTGGGTCACTGTACTGGGGATAGTAATGAAAGCTGGGATGGAGCCGTTCCCAGTTGCTCTGATGGTTGGGAATGGGGCAGCCCAGCCTATCTGGTACGAGGAAGTGAATGCCCTCCTTGCCTGAGGTTTGAATGCTAATACTGAAACTATTGGACGAGGTGATCTTGGAGGAAAGGAGGTTAGCCTTTGCGCCATGTGGAGGAAATGTGGAAGTCTGCATGTGCTGGGATGGGTATGTGTGTGCATGGAGCCCTTGTCCCCTGCTGCTAGCAGCACCTCCGTCTTACCGATGTCAGACCAAGCCAACCTGATTTCACAGCTTTCCCATTAGTGGTATGAAGATGGCTGCCTAAGTACACAGCCAAATTGCAAGCAGGCAGGTACGGTGCCAGCAGTTGGCCGAGTCAGGCATTGGCTGAAGGACCCACACCAGCCCAGCCACACCGCCATGCACCGCTTGTCCCAATGGCCCCCCCGATGCATTTTAAGGGGGTGGGGGATAGGAGTGCTTTTGAACGAGAGCCAAGCTCAGCTCCCATCTGGAGTGGCCGCATGCCATTTGACCTAGAATGCAATGCCCCATCCCAAAGACCTGTGGCATTCATTGACTTCACAGATCTGCGGTCGGCCACCACACATGGGAGCCAGGATTAGCCCCCGCCCCCAAGCCCCACTGCAGCAGAGTCACGTCTAGGGCCCTGGTGGAAGGTGGCAAGTGAGGCCACCGACAAAGCGGAGAAAAGCTTGCGGCAGCCACTGCCACCAGCCACCAGGGGTCTTTATTGACTTCTCGCACTGGGAGCCTCCTGACTATGCGAAGGGCTGAGTCTCCAATACTGCCAACCTTCCCCGCTACCCACAAACAGCTGACCTTGGTGCCCGGTGTTATTGCTAGAGGAAGAGGGTACAAGAAAATCAAATCACAGTCTCAAAAAGCGTGGCCTTCTCCAGGGGGGCTGCAGTGAGACTGTCTGGCGGTGGCAGCAGTTTTGTCTCCGCTTCGGGTGTCATGTATTCCAGGTGGTGGTGGCCCCAGACGGGGGTGGTCAGCAATTGCCAGCGCTGGGGGAGAAACGAGGCAGGGGAGTCAATGAGCAACTCAAGGCACAAGCACGTCCGTTTGTTCACTGTTTATTTACATAGAGTATTTTTTCCACCTCGCTTAAAAACTAGCACAGTCAGGGCCCTTACATCCGTTAGCCATCAGTACAACGGAGGGACTTTAAAGGAAAAGCCTAAAATGTTGCCCTAGCGCAGAACCGTAGCTAGGTGATCTTGCGTCCCTGGCAGAACCGTCCAGATTGCGCGCCTCCCTAGGTAAAGGTACCCCTGACCATTAGGTCCAGTCGTGGCCGACTCTGGGGTTGTGGTGCTCATCTCGCTTTATTGGCCGAGGGAGCCGGCGTACAGCTTCCGGGTCATGTGGCCAGAATGACTAAGCCACTTCTGGCTAACCAGAGCAGCGCACGGAAACGACGTTTACCTTCCCGCCAGAGCAGTACCTATTTATCCACTAGCGCTCTGACGTGCTTTTGAACTGCTAGGTTGGCAGGAGGAGGGACCGAGCAACAGGAGCTCACCCCGTCGCGGGGATTCGAACTGCCAGCCTTCTGATCAGCAAGTCCTAGGCTCTGTGGTTTAACCCACAGCGCCACCCGTGCGCCCCCCTCAGCCACAGACAAATTAGCTCTTCTTTTTGCCTCTCCTCCTACCCACCTTCCTCCACCCATTCAATTCACCCTCTATTGAAAACCATTTATTATGAGACAATAATCAATATTTATATTTATGGACATATTTTTAGCCAATTTTGTGCACGCGTACCATCCCCTGCCAGGGGCCCACCTCGCCACTCCCTAGCTATGGCCCTGCCCTAGCGTACATTAAAACCAGCAACCAAGGCCAAATGAATGGCACACCAAAGCCAACCAACCAACATCTATCTGGTGGCACGTGAAGACTTTTTTTTTTAAAAAAAAACAATCTGTCCAGGCATTTTCAGCATGGAGGGCAAACTGGTTTTAACAATAGTTTTTGGCTTTGCTGCTCTACTGAGTTTTATTGCACATGTCGTGATTTCGTCCTGCGCTTTTTAACTATTTCATGTAATTTTTTATACTTAGCATTTTATAGCACCCTGAAGGATGGCCTAGAAATCCCTTCAACGTGCAAATCAACACACAGCCCTTCTGAAGACTCAAAGGTAAAGGTACTCCTGACCGTTAGGTCCAGTCGCGGACGACTCTGGGGTTGTGGCGCTCATCTCACTTTACTGGCTGAGGGAGCTGCTGTTTGTCCGCAGACAGCTTCCAGGTCATGTGGCCAGCATGACTAAGCCGCTTCTGGCGAACCAGAGCAACGCATGGAAACGGCATTTACCTTCCCGCCAGAGCGGTACCTGTTTACCTACTTGCACTTTAGTGTGCTTTTGAACTGCTGGGTTGGCAGGAGCAGGGACCAAACAACAGGAGCTCACCCCGTTGCGGGGATTCGAACCGCTGACCTTCTGATCGGCAAGCCCTGGGCTCTGTGGTTTAGACCACAGCACCACCTGCGTTGGACTCAAAGGCCTCTGTAAATGGGAAGGTGTGTACACCTTTCCTAAAAAGTGGCAGAGAGTGAGCCAAGTGGGCATCTGTAGGGAGGGGGTTCCAAACATGGGGAGCCACAAAATTAAAAAGCCTGTTACAGAGGCCTCCTTCCCACCAGCGGGATGGGCCCCAGATTCAGTCTGCTTGGGAGTGTGAACAGCTTTGCCAGTGGCGTGAGAATGTTGAGAGAAGTGGAAGTTCCTTCTGCTTCAAAGGCAGAAAAGCCTCCCTCAAATCTTTCACTGTGGAGAATGGCACTGAAGCTGAGGCATGGAAAACCCTAGATCCTTGAGAACCTTGGAACAGGATCTCTAATAAGCACAGAAGCCCATTTGGCACCTGCCTCCCCAAATCTATGCTTGCATCTTCCCTGCGCTTTTAAAGCCTTAACGCCACCGCAAGCTGCTTGGCCGGAAAGAGGGAAGTACTGTATATATAACAGCTGCTTTAGCAACCGCAGAAACCGCTTCTGAGCTTTTATTTGGGTGACTGGAGATTACATCATACGGATGCTAGGCAGCTCCAAAAAGCCTAGCTTCTCCTCCCCAGGTCTAGAAGCATGGCTGGCTAGCAGCCTGCAATTCAGCGTAGCAATCATGGCTGCGCCCGATAGCTGGCTACACAGTGTGCAGAGGAGGCTTGCATGTCTCATCTGTAAAACAAGAGGGCCGGCCCCTCTCACAGCCACCTTCATCAACAGAGGCATCCATCTTGGAGTCAAGTCTGTGCTGTGCAAATTCCTTAGAGCATCTCTAAGGTCACACTGCCTGGGACGCGGGTGGCGCTGTGGGTTAAACCACAGAGCCTAGGACTTGACGATCAGAAAGTCGACAGTTCGAATCCCCGTGACGGGGTTAGCTCCCATTGCTCGGTCCCTGCTCCTGCCAACCTAGCAGTTCGAAAGCACATCAAAGTGCAAGTAGATAAATAGGTACCGCTCCGGTGGGAAGGTAAATGGCGTTTCCGTGCGCTGCTCTGGTTAGCCAGAAGCGGCTTAGTCATGCTGGCCACATGACCTGGAAGCTGTATGCCGGCTCTCTCGGCCAATAAAGCGAGATGAGCACCGCAACCCCAGAGTCGGCCACGACTGGACCTAATGGTCAGGGGTCCCTTTACCTTTACCTTAAGGTCACACTGAATGATTGCAAGCTGCAACAAGGGAAAGATAACTATGCTGGAATAAGCACCCACACCGTACACTTAAAGCACTCCTAAACCGCATGACTCCCCCACAAAGAATCATGGGAACTGTAGTTTGTCACAGATCAACAGCTGCTGGTACCCTTAAACTACAGTTCCCATGATTCTTTGTGGGGAAAGCCATGACTGTCATGGTGCTGTAAATGTATGGCGTGTGGTTGTGAGGACACTACTGCAGCCTCATAGCAACACCTAGACGGGTCTACAGCAAACTGCACCATCACCAGGAAGCCCTGATGGGACACTTGGCAGGCTCAGCTTGCCAGCAGAGCAAGGTGCTTGGCAACTCCATCCTAACGGGCTGGGACTGGCCAGAGACAAGAGACTGATTGACTTCCGGTCGGCGCCAGCGTTTAATGGCGGTCCTTGCCTCGAGCTCCGAGGGAGGACTGCTCCGCGAGTTCGGGTCTGACCCGCTACGGCGAGCGGGGGACCCCTAAAATCACAGGCGCTGAAGCCTGTGAACAAGGAGACTCGGCGGGCACCTTTCGCGCCCCCCGGTACTGCAAAAGAGCCTTTTTAAAGGCTCCGGAGCGGCATCGGGTGTGAGCGCGGTGCTGAGAGTCGTAACCCAGCCTGCGGAGTGAAGCCGCGTCGCCATTGAACGGAGAGCGCCGATTCCTTCCTGAAACTACAATTTGATCGTAAAACCCGTGAGTAAGATTGACAGACGGGAACGGGACATTTAAATTGAATTTTGGAAATTTGGCTGAAAACGGGAAAGGCATAAAGTAAGGAAGTCTGCCTCCCCGGACTGCATGGTAAATAGAGCAACGAAAGAGCAAGCTGCACTTAAATGAAGGTTAACTTTTTGGCTGTCAAAACCTGACATCTGAATTAAACTTCCCCCCAACAAGCAGGAGAAGGGGGGAAGGAAATTTGGACATTGCAAACCTGCTGGAAATAAATAGAGGAAAAAGATCTTCCACTGCCAAAACCCTGAGACGGGCTGCCGAAGTAAGGCACCGGGAAAGTGAACTGTCAATTTAAATTGGATACAAAGTTGGGGTTTTGACTGAAACAAAGTTATGAGACTTTAATGGAGTTATTTTGTTGAACTTTTGAGGATACTGAAACTGTAATAAGAATTTTAACTGTGGACTTTTGGACTCTTTGTTTTTCTTTTTTTTGGACTCTTTGTTCTCTGCCTTATGTTTTCCTGACTTTTCTTAACTGGATACAATTAAATGCTCCCTCTAGAGGATTTAAAGAGAACCTGTCACAGTGAGAGAAAAAGAGTGGATTTTTCCACTTGCAAACTTTTCCTGTGAGAACTGACCTTGAGGATATGAGTGGCCAACCAGAAGAGATAACAACCAGAGCAAAAGCAAAACAAATTCAGCAAGCTCAAAAGAAAAGGGGTTCGATGCAAGGCATACCACCAGCTGGACAGGAAAAAGTAGCAACTGCATCTATGGAGTCAATGACACAGGCACTGCTTAAAATAAATCAGTCTTTGGAAGCATTGACAAAGCAGTCAGCGGAGAATACAAAAAAATTGAATGATTTGACAACAAGATTGGATTTGAATACGGCAAGTGTAGCTTCTAATACAGAATCTATAAATAAATTGATCCAAGAAAATTCTGAAACAAGAAAGATTGCTCAAAGTGCAAAAGACACTGCAGATGAGACAAAGAGGGAGCTTGCACCGATTGCAAAAAAGGTGAATGAACATGATGCAACCTTAGCTTTGTGGGAACTTCAGAGAAAGGAGAAGAATTTGAAATTAAGATTGGTTCCAGAGAGTGAGAAAGACAATCTTGCGGAATTCCTCACAGAAAATATTTTGGAATTTTGGCAGGACGAGTTACAGGAGGAAGAACTTGAAATAACAACGGCCTTCCGGTTGGGCAGAAGGCAAGGCAAGAAGCCTAGGGATTGTCTGATTACACTGAGATCTAAAGAAGAAAGGGACAAAATACTGGACTTACATTACCATAAGGCTCTTGAAATTCAGAATTGTCAAGTTCAGATCTTTAAAGACATCCCTAAATATATCTTGGAGGTGAGGGCCTTTTACAAAGACTTGGTTTACCTGTTGAAGAATAATAATATACTTTTCAGGTGGGAGTTCCCACAAGGATTATCTTTTAACTACACAGGAAAGAAGATCAAAATAAAAACAGTCCAAGATAAAGAACTGTTTTTGGAAAGATACCAGGAGGGTCTGCAGAAAGGAGTAATAGAAACAACAGGAGACAAAGAATCGACAGATATTGCAAATCTTTCATTTGGACTTTTACCACCATCGGAGGAGGAACAAAAACTTGGAGCAGTTGGAGGAATAGGCACATAGCAGTACAATGTCTCTGCAACTTCTTAGCTGGAATTGTAATGGTTTGAACCTTCCCAGAAAAAGACGCCAAGTTTTTCATATTTTGAAGAGAGAGCAATTGGATTTAATATGTCTACAGGAAACGCATGTGACCAGGATACACAGGAAATTACTTGTAAACAAGAGACTTGGACAAGAATTTATCTCATCAGACAAGGTCAAAAAAAGAGGCGTCGTGATTTATGCAAAAGAAAAATTGGCCCCTAAAATGATATTTAAAGATGAACAAGGAAGATATTTGGCAATAGAAATACAAGTTCAAGGAGAAAAAATTATGATATTGGGAATATATGCACCAAATGAAGGGAAGGCGGAATTTTTCAAGAAGTTGCATGAGACTTTAATGGATTATTTGGACTTTAAAATTATAATGATGGGAGACATGAATGGCGTTGTCTCCACTAATATGGACAAGGCACAGAGACAAATAATTTCTAAGGATGGAAGACTACCAAAGACTTTTTTTGAAATGACTGAAACACTGGACTTGATTGATATTTGGAGAGTAAGGAATCCTCTAGAGAGAGAGGGAACCTTTTTCTCTGAAGCAAAAATGACATGGACAAGGATCGACCAAATTTGGGTAACTAGTAGCATGGCGCCAAAGATAAAAAAAGCAGAAATCTGCCCAAAGACTTGCTCCGACCATAATGCTGTGAAGATGGAGATGAAATTAACAACAACTGGAACTTTCAGATGGAGGATGAATGACGCCCTATTCAGAGATGAAGAGATCTATAAGAAGGCCCAAAAAACTTTGAAAGACTATTTTGAGATAAATTTGAGAACAGATGTGGAGAAAAGAATAATATGGGACGCAAGCAAGGCCGTGATGCGAGGTTTCCTAATACAACAAAATTCCATAAAGAGGAAAAAGCAGAATGAGAGGAAAGAAAAACTTTTGGAAAAGATAAAAGAAGGTGAAAAGAAATTGAGGTCTAAACCAAAGTCTCATGAGATTTTGAGAGAAATAAAGTATTACCAGACGCAATATATGGAACTGATGAATCAAGAGATAGAATGGAAAATAAAGCAAATGAGACAAAGAACATTTGAATCGGCAGACAAATGTGGGAAACTTCTGTCATGGCAATTGAAAAAGAGACAAAAACTGAACACAGTGACAAGTTTGGAAATGGATGGAAAAATTATCCACAAACCAAATGAGATAAGTAATTGCTTTCAAAGTTTCTTTAGGAAACTATATGCACAAGGGCCAGTTGATGAGCAGGAAATAGAAGAATTTATTAAGAAGTATGGATTACCAAAGATCTCAGATCAAAGTAAAATGATTCTGAATGAGAAAATAACAGGACAAGAAATAGAGGGTGCCATTCAGAATATGAAGTTGGGAAAATCTCCAGGACCAGACGGCTTAACGGCTAGATACTACAAGGCATTGAAGGAATGGATAATACAACCATTGAAGGAGGTCTGTAATGAAATCTTGGAAGGGAAAAAGGCACCTGAATCGTGGAAAGAAGCTTTTATTTCACTTATACCGAAAACAGAGACTGAAAAGAACCAGGTCAAAAACTACCGCCCTATATCATTACTTAATGTGGATTATAAAATCTTTGCAGACATTTTAGCAAAAAGACTGAAGAGAGTGCTGATAGGGGAGATTCACAAGGACCAAACAGGCTTTCTTCCAGGGAGACATATGTCGGACAATGTGAGGAACATTATAGACATTTTGGAACTGTTGGAAGTGAACATTAATAGAAAGGCGGTCTTGATTTTTGTGGATGCGGAGAAAGCCTTTGATAATATTTGTTGGACCTTTATGAAGAAGAATCTCCAAGGGATGGGGGTAGGCCAAGGTTTTGAAAACGGTATAGGTGCTATATATTCTAAGCAAAAAGCAAAGTTGATTGTGAACAATGTGGTTACGGAAGAAATACCTATAGAAAAAGGCACACGACAGGGGTGCCCAATATCCCCTTTACTTTTTATAACAGTCCTGGAGGTCTTGTTAAACATGATTAGAGGGGACCAATTGGTTAAAGGAGTTCAGGTCGGAGCCAGAAATTACAAACTAAGGGCATTCGCAGATGACCTAGTATTGACTTTGCAACAGCCAGATACTAGTACCAAAAGAGTATTAGAACTAATTGAGATATTTGGTCAAGTAGCAGGATTTAAACTGAATAAGCAAAAAACTAAAGTGTTAGAGAAAAATCTAACAATGGCAGAAAAAGAGAAGTTTCAGAGTGAAACAGGTTTAGTAATAACAAAAAAGGTGAAGTACCTGGGTGTGAATTTGACTTCTAAAAATGTGAATTTATTTAAAGACAACTATGACAAATGTTGGACAGAGGTGAAGAAAGATCTAGAAATATGGTCAAGGTTGAGACTTTCCTTGTTAGGCCGAATTGCTGTCATCAAGATGAATGTATTGCCTAGAATGTTGTTTTTATTCCAGACACTCCAGATCCTGGACAAAATGGACTGTTTCAAGAGGTGGCAAAAAGACATATCAAAATTTGTCTGGCAGGGCAAAAAGCCCAGAATAAACTTTAAGATCTTAACTGATGCAAAAGACAGAGGGGGGTTTGCCCTGCCGGACCTGAGACTTTATTATGAATCGGCAGCGTTCTGCTGGCTGAAACAATGGCTGCTTCTTGAGAACACAGACATTTTGGATCTGGAAGGGTATGACAATAGATTTGGTTGGCATGCATACATATGGTATGACAAGGTAAAAATACATAAAGGTTTTAAAAACCATATTGTCAGGAAAGCACTATACAATGTTTGGATAAGATATAAAGATCTATTGGAAAGTAAAACTCCCAGGTGGCTATCACCAATGGAAGCTAAAGAGACAAAAAAACTTAATATGGAGTCCAAATGGCCAAAATATTGTGAAATCTTAGAGCAAGATGGTGAAAGGGTCAAATTACAGAGTTATGATAAATTAAAGTCTAAAGTACGAGATTGGTTGCACTACCTTCAGATAAACGAGGTATTCAAACAGGACAGGAAAATAGGTTTTCAGATGGAGAGGTCGAAATTAGAAACAGAATTGTTAGAACCCAATACTAAGAACTTGTCAAGAATGTATAATTTGCTGCTGAAATGGAATACACAAGATGAAACAGTAAAATCAGCTATGATCAAATGGGCACAAGACATAGGTCATGACATTATGTTTGATGACTGGGAAAGGTTATGGAATACTGGTGTTAGATTTACGGCTTGTAATGCTTTGAGAGAAAACATAATGAAAATGATCTATAGGTGGTATATGACCCCAGTCAAACTTGCAAAAATTTACCATTTGCCCAATAATAAATGTTGGAAATGTAATGAGACTGAAGGTACTTTCTATCACCTTTGGTGGACCTGCCCGAAGATTAAAGCCTACTGGGAAATGATCTATAATGAAATTAAAAAGGTCCTTAAATGGACATTTTCTAAAAAACCAGAGGCTTTTCTCCTGGGCATGGTGGGCCAATTGGTGCCAAGGAAGGACAGAACTTTTTTCATGTATGCTACCACAGCAGCAAGAATTCTTCTGGCAAAGTATTGGAAGACGCAGCAGCTACCTACTCTGGAAGAATGGCAAGCGAAGGTGATCGACTACATGGGAATGGCAGAGATGACCGGCAGAATCCGTGACCAGGGGAGTGAGACAGTGGAAGAAGATTGGAAGAAATTTAAAATATACCTTAAAAATTGTTGTAACATTGAGGAGTGCTGAGATGCTATGGTGTTAAGAAACAGAGAATTGCAGCTGTAAATCATAAATTTAAGGGAATTATAATGAAGATGAGATAATTAATTAAATGGAGGGTTGCTGTTAAAAGGGAAAAATAAGGATGCAGAAAAAGGGAGGTATGGGGAAGTCCGGGAAATAAGGTGAAGGAAAATGAGTTTATGAAATTATACATGTTTATTTGTTTGTATGTTTTGTTTTGTTTTATTGTTTGTTTTTATTACATGTTTGGAAAATTAATAAAAATTATTTTTTAAAAAAAAAAGAGACAAGAGACTGATTACTCACCTGTTGGAAGGAGCCCTTGCTTCGCAGAAGCTTGTAAGCGACTGTGCAGGGGATGCAGAGCATGGAGGAAAGGGCCAGAGCCCAGCCAATAGCCTCACCCCACCATGGGTAGATGTAGGTCTTGTTGTAAGTCAGTGGTTGGTAGTTCACCACATGGAACAGGAAGATGCCCTAGTGATGAAGGAGGGAGGAGATACCAGAGATGATAATTATTATTTTTAGCCTTGGGTAGGGGGAATAGAGGTAGCAGCCAAAATCCAGTCCTGGTTCTCTTGTGCTCAACAAAACACCTTCTCAAAATGTGCTGCCATCTGCCTTATTGCAGGGCAGATTTGAGGGTAAACCATAAGTGGAACGAGTCTGCCCCTGCAGCTTGATGGAGGTAGAAACTGTCTCTCAGGTCTTGATGCTGCTGTTTCTACGGGGATATACGCTCGGTATTTATCACTCCTGTTATACAAAAATCTCCAAATGGGTCCAAACTTCAATGTCTAAAACTCCTGGTAGAGGACAAGGATCTAGAGATCACACTAAAGGTGGCCAAATTCTGTGCAACTGCCATAAAACTTAGGGAACAAGCTGTACTACCAAAATGATTAAGGTTTTAAATGACAATTTTAGGTTATATTTTAGTGATCAAGATTTAATATATATTTTTAACTGCCAGTATATCTGAATTGTCTCTGTTATACTCAATTGCAATTCAATGTATTCCTGTTGTGTTTTATGATATTTTTGACATTGTAAGTGAGCCGGAACTGGTCTGTGACCGTAATAATAAAATTCATTCATTCACACCTTCTCAAATATCAATACACCTGGCTACAAGACTGAGGAGATCTCCTAGGAGATCTGCCAAAGATGCTTTAGTTGAGATTCCTGCATTGCAGGGGGTGCACTAAATGACCCTTGTATAATTCTAACTACGGAGAATGGGATAACCCTGCAGTCCTGCCCTGTAACAGGTTAGACAAATCCAGCATGAAGAAGAAGCGCCATCACATTTGAGTAAAGTCGGACAGATATTTTGCACAGTGCAGGGGAGAGGCAGTAACAACCAGTGTTCCTTAGCATCTGCTGTACTATTTAAATGTAGGCAAATGACAAGTTTCTTTCGGCTGGGAATGAGGTAATCTAAAAACACCATCAGCAGCATGCATACACCAGTACGGGGCCGCTCAAATATAGTCGCAGCAGTCAAATATTCCGGCAACGAGTCAAAACAATTGTGTGAAAAGCCAGGCTGAGTTAGCCCATGTTTGCAAGGGGGCCCTTCTCCCATTATTATTATTATTATTATTATTATTATTATTATTATTATTATTATACCCCGCCCATCTGGCTGGGTTTCCCCAGCCACCCTGGGCAGCTTCCAACATAACGCTAAAATACAATAACCTATTAAACATTAAAAGCTTCCTTAAACAGGGCTGCCTTCGGATGTCTTCTAAAAGTCTGGTAGTTGCATTTCTCTTTGACATCTGGTGGGAGGGCATTCCACAGGGCGGGGGCCACTACCGATAAGGCCCTCTGCCTGGTTCCCTGTATCTTCTTGCAGCGAGGGAACTGCCAGAAGGCCCTCAGCACTGGACCTCAATGTCTCGGCAGAACGATGGGGGTGGAAACGCTCCTTCAGGTATACTGGACCTTCTGCCCCACTGCTTTCAACTCACCACACACACCACTGGGGTGATGAGAGACCAGCACCACTTCATATAGGGCAGCGGTCGGTAGCCAATCATACGGGCAACGTCGTCCATGAAGCGGTCAGCTCCTGCGCGGAAGAGCGAATCAGTTTTGGGCCTCGAGCCAGGCCGTCCCCTCCCGCACCAACACCTGAAAAGGGCCCCATTCACAGCGCCCAAATCTCCGGCAGCCTTGGGTGGGGGGGAGCCAAAGCAAGAGTCAAGCAGAGGACTGTGCAGGGAGGGAAAGTGTTTGCTTTTCCTGAAATCTCCTTGCCCCTGTGTCTCCCTTGCCACTTACCATAGACCCAGGCAATCACCACACACTCCCAGAAGGCCTGCCACAGAAGGGTGATCCCGCTGGCCGAATAATTGTCAAACAGCTGAAAGACGTACATGCCGCCCTAGGGTCACATGGCACAGGAAAAGAACCGATTACCGAATACGCGCATTATCCGTGTTGCTTATTATTATTCCAAGTAGAGAAACGCCAGCCATGATGAGGAGTGGGGCTATGGAGACAGGGCCACGGGGACTTGTGTAGACAGTGTATCACACAGAGACACGTCACGCACGCAGAGAGACCCTCTCTGCAAACAGCATGTCCCAAGCACAGCCAAATGGGCAAGCCTTGAGCTTCCAGCTCCGGTCATTCAGGATGGGACTTGCCAAGGAACTGAAATGGTCCTAACCATTAATGGCTGGAACCTGGTTCACGGATACTTCTTTCGACAAGTTGATCCTAAGGATTGTGAGGGGACATGGGGAAGGTGACAACGCGGAAGTTACCCCATGTCAATGGAATTCCCCTCCCCTGGAACAGTAATTCTCAAACATGGGTATCCCATTGTTGGACTACAACTCCCATCATCTCTAGCTAGCAGAACCAGTGGTCAGGGATGATGGGAGTCATAGTCCAACAACAATGGGAGACCCATGTTTGAGAAACACTGTGGCCTGAAGGTTGGCTGGAATCCCAGCCGGAGCATCTCTTGCATGCAGTGTGATGGCTTTTCTCTTTGGGAAGACATAGGGAGGCTATGGCTCATGAAGCCATGGGTGCTGGTGGCGTGGAGAGGCATTTTTAACTGATTGCACCTTCCGAGTAATTCTTATTACCCAGGAGTTTGGACTGTGCCCAGGAGCTTCTGGTGGCCTACCCAGAAAATAAGCTCTGCCCTAGCCAGCCCCTCCCAGGCAAGCCCATGTAGCACTCACGTTTCGTATAGAAAGGGTTTCTCCCACACATCGGCCTCACCTGAGTCACCATGGAGAGGTCAATGATACAGCAGACAAGGCAGCAAATCGCAGCGGTAATCTCTCTGCGTGGCGAGCCTGCTGCTGGCTGCGGAAACAGGTCTAGGATGCCAGTGATGAAACCCTCCACTCCCACAAACTGGCAGGATGAAATAACATATGAGAGAGAGGTAAACTTGGCACGAGGTGCTGGTCTATGCTCTGCTTAACATAGAGGTGTGGAACCTCAGGACTGAGGTCCAGATGTGGCCCTCCAGGCCTCTCAACCTGGCCCCTGGGACTCTCTCTGGCCCTGCTTTGCACTCTGCACACGCCCTGTGCCCCCTCAGTAGTGCAAACACATGAGTTCCATTTGCATTCAGGTGAACTGGCGAGTACTGGTTCAGTCTCTTGTCTTCCTCTTTACGTGCTCTGTGGGCACAGAATTATGCTCCCATTTCCATCATGCCATTGTAACCTGCTCCCTATCATCCTTGCTTCGGGTGGCATGCCCTCCCTCCCTCCCTCCTTTCCTTCCCCCCTCCCTCCCGGCTGCCAACTTCTTAAACACCTCCTCCTCCCATGCTTCTAACAGCAGCACCTTCCCGTCTGCGGCTGTGTTAGCAAGCCGTAGCACAAACGCCGCCCACTGATTTCTGCAAGTAAAAGAAGCCGCTTTCCCTCTACGCCAGCCTTTCTCAACCTGTGGGTCCCCAGGTGTCGTTGGACTGCAACTCCCATCATCCCTAGCTAGCAAGGCCAGAGCTCAGGGAGTTGTAGTCCAACAACATCTGGGGACCCACAGGTTGAGGACCGCTGCTCTACACCATTTCTACATCTGTGCCTCCCCCCGCAACGTGCTCTGCCCAATAAAAAACACACTCCCCATGAGTGGCTTACCTGGCTGTCCAGCCCCAGGACCAGAAGCATGAAGAAAAAAAGTGTTGCCCAGAGAGGGGAGAGTGGCATGAGCGTCACAGCTTTGGGGTAGGCAATGAAGGCCAGGCCTGGACCTGCAAGAGACAATGTGAGTTAAGAGGGGTGCCGGCTGCAGCGATAGCCACCAGCTTGGGGATTGAACGGATTCAGGGAGGACGAGGCTACCCATGTCTACTAGCTGCACCTGTGGGTCTGTTCTACCTCCACTGCCACAGGCATTACGCCTCTGAATACCTGTTACTGGGAAGCACAGGTGAGCAGGGTGATGCTGTGCTCATGTCCAGCTTGCAGGCTTCTCATAGGACGCTGCATGAAGGCGGTCCATTGGCCAGATGGAACAGGCTCTTCTTACATTCTCCCCAAACTCTAAGAAGTTGCCTAAGCTTAGCATGCGAGAACACACCATTGGCCCGGCCGGTCCTGTTCTTCCCATTCTGATTGGCTGCAGTTCTCCGTGGTCTAGTCAAAGTTCTGCGTTGCTGCTTGAGGTTCTTTTAAATGGAGATGCCATTGAGCCTTGAGGGACACAGGGGAGCTGCCTTCTTCTAAATCAGACCAAAGCTCCATCTAGTTCAGTGCTGTCTACGCTGGCTGGCAGAGGCTCTCCAGGGCTTCAGGCAAGAGCTATTTCCTGGCGCTACCTGGAGGTACCAGGTAGGCGTTGTGCTCTGCCTCCCAGCTATTTTGCACCCATGCGCCGCACCTTTTCATAGGGAAAGGGGGAAAGGGGCTGATGAGGTGGGAATCGGAGGAAATCCCCACGGCTGGCGCTCACCTGACTCTGCCACCTGGGAGATGTCCACGCCCTGCTCCGATGCCATGAAGCCCAGGACGGAAAACACCACAAAGCCAGCAAAGAAGCTGGTTGAGCTGTTGATCACGGCCAAGACGTAGGCGTCCCTGTAGGGAGGATCAGGCAAGTCAATAGCCACAAGCCCACCCTCCACTCGGACCCAGTGGGTGCCCAATGCCCTCTCGGTTCCCCTCCCTTATAAGAGGTTACAATGCCTGTACCATGTTAGAGGTGCCCAGGGCACCAGCCTGCCTGGAAATCACCCTTCCCTCTAATAAACCCAGTTGCCCCCTGCGAGGACAGAAAGACACACTCTGCACATGTTCCAGTGTACTCTTATCACATGTTCTAGGACTCAATCTCACCACTAAGGATAGGTTGAGGGGTTCAAATTAAACCAGAGTTGGCTAGCATTACTGTAGATGGTAAAGGGTTCTTTTTGGGGGGGGAGAAGGTTCCCCCCCCAGCATGGGTAAGATTTTGCTATTGCAGATGGCACCAAGCAGCTGCATTAAACAGTGCACAGTATAGGCACTATCCAATCTTCTGCTGGAAGGAAACTCCCTCCTGAAGCTCAGCTGTACTGTGCTAACCTCTTGCTGCTGTCACCATGAAGTTAGAATAATAGAATTGTAGAGCTCTAAGGGACCCCAGAGGGTCATCTAGTCCAACCCCCTGCATAAAGGGCATCTTGGGGCAGTGGTGGTGCATCAAAGGCTTCAAGGTATGTGGGGTAGAAGCTTTTGCCGCACCCCAGTCCCATATTAACTCCCCAACTCCACACACTCCCTCGAATGTTGCATTCGAGACAAATTGTGTCTCCATTTAAATTTATTAATTTCCTTATTTTATCCAGATTTTCCGAATTTGTATGATGTCATAGAGCAGGACTTGGCAACCTGTTTGATCTTGAGGGACACATGCAAACAGCGGCTCGATGGTTTGTTTCCTGCCATTTCCTGCTTCCTGGTAGCTGACGTTGCCAGGGTGTGTGTGTGTGTGTGTGTGTGTGTGTGTGTGTGTGTAGCTTTCACCTGCACCAGCAGCAAATTAATTGGTGGCAACCCTGGAGGTAACTAGCAGACCACACATGACATGAAAAACCATATTGCCCTCTGGCGCCTGGTACTACGATCTGCAAAATGGAACATGACCAGTTTTATCGTGGCCTGATGATTATCAGCTTGTGGTAACGCAGAGGGAGGGAGGCTTTTTCACTCGTGGCATCAGTGCTGCAGAATGCCCTCCCTGCTGAAATGTGAGGGGCCCTATCAGTGTTGGTATTCCACCGGCTCCTGTTCAGGCAAGCTCTCCCCTGAGCTGAACTAGTGATTTTAATGGAACCGTTTTTTGAGTATTTTCACTATGTATTAAAGTTGTAAGCTGCTTAGAAGACATTTTGGCACATTAAGTAGTATATAAATTAATAATACTGATGACAAGGGTGAGGGTGGCGTCTAGCCCATGGGTTCGCCCAACATAGAGAAAACAGAGAAGTTTCATGGATGGAAATATGCATATCTGTGCATACTCTGCACTTAAAGAACAAACAAACAGCAACCCAGACTTCTATGTTAAACGCAACCTAAAATCTGCACCAAAAAAGCTGAATTCTGTGACCAACATAAATGATCAAATCAAGCATATTTGCAGACATTTTCGTCTTGCATAATTCATTCATCTTCTGCAAGTCATAAAAATGATACGGTACACACTGCGAGCACACATGCGCACACGCACACACGTGGTTTCTGATGTTTCACCAAGCACTGCCCACACAATTTCAGCCCTGTATTTGTCGCCTTAGCTGTAAACTTGCTTTTAAAGAGGAGGGATAGAGGGAAAGGAGATGGTCAGGCTTCTGAATTCTCTGTACTGCACCAAATTTTGTACTTGTGCAGAATATCAAAACGCAGAAAAGGGGAAGCTATAAACGTGTTGGAAGATGACATGCGGGTTGCGGAATGGGGTGTGGTTGGGGACAAGGAGAGAGGTGAGGACCTAGTGGGTGCGGGATATAGATGCCACTATTTGAAGAAGTCCTAGTAGCATTTTCAAGGCTTTTATTCAAGACCACAAGGGCTAGAAACAAACTCTTGTTTAGATAAAAGCAGCGTCTCCATCAGGATTCAGACAAAGCCAGCAGATTCCACACTTGGGGACTGAAAGCCATGCAGATCTCTTTTTAAAAGACTACCCGTATGCGGTGTGGGGCCTCACCTGTAGCAGTTGTTGTGGAAGCGGTTGTAGCTGCCAAGTGCGGTCAGGGCTCCCAGCCCGATAGCATATGAGAAGAAGATCTGGGTACCAGCATCAATCCATACCTGGGGTGAGGGGAACAGCCGTGGTATAAACCCCACCGAGTGGGGGGGCAGAACTCTTGTTTGCATGACCAGGCCTGGCCTGGCCAGAGGGCAAAGGCGCAGTTAGATGCAAAGGCCTGCCTCCCTGCACACAGATATTGGCTACAGCCTCCGTTTCCCCAGCTGCTTCCCTGTTGGAAACCTTCCACGTCCCCTCTCTCTGTGAATGTGCCATCCCAGTTCTTACCTGAGCGACAGCAAGCTTGGTCCAGTCCGGTTTCAGGTAGTAGATGATGCCGTCAAGCGCACCGGGCAACGTCACGCCATGCAAGAGCAGCAAGATGAGAACCACGTAGGGGAAGAGTGCAGTGAAATAGACCACCTGCCAAGCAAGGATAATAATAATAATAATAATAATTTATTATTTATACCCCGCCCATCTGGCTGAGTTTCCCCAACCACTCTGGGCGGCTCCCAATCAAATGTTAAAAACAGTACAGCATTAAATATTAAAAACTTCCCTGAACAGGGCTGCCTTCAGGTGTCTTTTAAAGATAGGATAGCTGCTTATTTCCTTCACATCTGAAGGGAGGGTGTTCCACAGGGTGGGTGCCACTACCAAGAAGGCCCTCTGTCTGGTTCCCTGTAACCTCACTTCTCGCAATGAGGGAACTGCCAGAAGGCCCTCGGCGCTGGATCTCAGTGTCGTTTGAACGGTGGGGGTGGAGACGCTCCTTCAGGTATACAGGACCGAGGCCGTTTAGGGCTTTAAAGGTCAGCACCAACACTTTGAATTGTGCTCGGAAACGTACTGGGACCCAATGCAGATCTCTCAGGACCGGTGTTATGTGGTCCCGGCGGCCACTCCCAGTCACCAGTCTAGCTGCCGCATTCTGGATTAATTGCAGTTTCTGGGTCATCTTCAAAGGTAGCCTCACGTAGAGCGCATTGCAGTAGTCCAAGCGGGAGATAACTAGAGCATGCACCACTCTGGCAAGGCAGTCCGCGGGCAGGTAGGGTCTCAGCCTGCGTACCGGGTGGAGCTGGTAGACAGCCGCCCTGGACACAGAATTAACCTGCGCCTCCATGGACAGCTGTGGGTCCAAAATGACTCCCAGGCTGCGCATCTGGTCCTTCAGGGGCACAGTTACCCCATTCAGGACCAGGGAGTCCCCCACATCTACCCGCCCCCTGTCTCCCAAAAACAGTACTTCTGTCTTGTCAGGATTCAACCCCAATCTGTTAGCTGCCATCCATCCTCCAATATTATTATTAGGACATCGCCAGCACCACACAGGTGGGCTGTTGCACATGGGTGCTGAGTGGCTGCATTCAGATTGGTGGGTTGCAAGGTGTGGATGCCTAGACTGCAGGAGGAAGGGATGGGGCTCATGTTAAAAAATGTGTCTTTTTTACTAGTTTTACTAGGAAATGATATATAATGAAATGAAAAGGATGTTTAAAATAACGTGGGGGGGGGGGAGAACCCAGAAGCCTTTCTTCTGTGAATTATAGGGATAGAACTACCTAAATTGTATAGAAATTTATTAATGTGCGCGACTACAGCAGAAAGAATGTTACTTGTCCAAAAATGGAAAGAAGAAGAAGTCCCAGCAAAGGAAGAATGGATACAAAAACTTATGGAATATGCAGAAATGGCGAAACTTACCGGAAGAATAAGAAATCAAGAGAACAAAACTCTTTTTTTAAATAAAAGAATGGAAATGGTTTATTGAATATTTACAGATAAGTTGTAAACAGATAAAAACACTGGCAGGAGTATTGTAGTAACCTGCAGCTATGTAAGAGTATATATGTAAAGAAGATAACTAAATGAGCAAGTTAAATTTATTATCTGCATATCCAAATTAACTTAAGGAACCGCAGAAAGAGGGGGAAGAAAGTCAAGTTTTAAAATGTCAAAATGAATGTAAAATCAGTGAAATGTATATATTTGAAAAGTATAAGTACTTTACTTATTTTTTTTAATGTGTCTTTTTGGCTCAGAGACACACTAGGAAATTATTTGTTGGGCACCACAAAGATGTGCGTTTCACAGAAGAAACGCTTGTGATGCTCAGAACGCCCATCACAAAAGGCAACACACACACACCCAAAGGAGAAATTAGGGCGACTGTGGTGTCACCTGATACAAGAGCACTGGCCGTATAACATCTCACTCCCATCCACATAAAGAATTAACGCCAGATGTGACAGGACGCCAGTTGCATTTGCTTGTATTTAACGGCGATTATGGTATTTTCTTACCACGGCTTACGCAACGTTTTTTCCATTCACCACAGCAATTGTATAATGACAGTTACTAGCTGACGTCGTGTGTGGCTGGGTGAGGGTTGGCCTTCCAGCAAACACCAGTGGTGCAACCACTGTCAGAAAATTATTACAGGTCCGAATGCTACATCGGAAGGAGGAAGTGACAGCATGTTCTCAGATTCTATCTTAGCTGGGAGTATTTTTTCCTTACAGTTTCTGAACTACAAATGACAAATTTCAGCATTAAGATGCCGATGGATCTGTCATTAGTGACCATATTGCGCTCCCTTTGTCTTATTATTGCCAATATACACTTGTTATCAGTGGAGCAGTTAACGTAAATTTAGGCTTTAGGCTTATTATGGGTTAGGGAGAGAAAGGGTGCTATTTAAAAGGTGGGGGGACCCTTTTCAGCTTGAGGTCCACATGGCCTCATGGAGAACCTTTAGGGGGCCAAATGCCAGTGGTGGGTGGAGCCAGAGGGAATAGTGGGCGGGGCAACAGCTGCATACATGCCGGGCTACATGGCAGCCCCGCAAAAGTCAGATACACCCATCTCTCCATCCATCAAACAAGAGGCGTTTTCGTCATATTATTAATATGGAGGAATGGTAGTTGAAATTACTGGAGACAAAGTTGATAGGTTTTGGTTAGGGAAAAGCTATTGCTGAAATTATTAATAAATAGAGAAGCGCTTTTGGACTTTTTTGTGTAAAAGGAAAATGGATTAGTCTGAGACATTTGGCTGGGAAGATTGGGAAAATATTGCCTAACAGAAAGTAGAATTGCCGGATGTCATTCTAGAGTGGATATTTTGAATAATTTCTTTTTCCCCCCAAATTTTTTTTATTGGTTTTCCAAATTTATAGCAAACATAAAAGAAAAACATTACAATATAAAAAAGACAAACAAACAAACATTTATCCTAGCTATTATAATCCCACTTTTGATTTCATTGTTAGATGATTTCCTCAAATCCCCCTAGCTGAATTTCCATGTAACTCATTGTAGCAGTTTTCCAATACTATTTTCAAATAAAATTAACTTAGTCAATTAACATCTTTCTTTCTTTTCATTTTCACTTCTATCCATAGTGTTATGCAATTTAACATATTTAACTCCTAGGCCAATTTGGTACTTACAAATAGTTCTACTTATGTTATCTTAGAATATTTAACTAAATACTCCTTAAATTTCTTCCAATCTTCCGGTCAGGTCGGCCAGCTCCAAAAAGTATTTTGAATAATTTCTTTTATGTAACTGACAGATGGAAAATTGGAAGTCTTTCCCCCTTTTATTTTTTTGGTTTTCCTTTGGTGTTTTATTTTCTCTTTCTCTGTTTTTGTTTTTATTGAGATTATTTTCTTTTATCTTATTGTAGAATGAAAAAACTGTAATGAAATCTTTTTTTAAAAAACCCCCCAAAGAGGCATTAGCACTATTCAAGGGCATAATCCAGGCAGCCAAAAGCACTCACAGAGGGCAGACTGCATGGCTGGTGAGTCTTGATGGTCAGATTGAGATGCCTGGATGATCAGATTGAAATGCCAGCCCCCCCCCCAGGTGCCTGAGGCTCCCCACCTGAGGCTGCTTTAGGTGGTATTGTGTATTGTTTACTTCAAAATGTGTTATGGCAGCCCTGCTACATTTGGGGGGCTGTCCTGATGAGCATAATCCTGAGCATCTGCCCTAAAGTCCTGTCCTGATGCCATAACTGACTTTTTTCTATACTTCCTCAGAAGCTTCCCCCACAGTAACATGCACACACACTTTTAAAGGAAGACCCGTTACCTTCCCAGTTGACTTGACCCCCTTCCAGATGCAGAAATAGACAATGACCCAAGTCGTGAGCAGGCAGAGGATCAGCTGCCAGCTGAGCTCTCCCGGTTCACCCAGATCCCCCGAAATCCGCAGCACCTTGTTCCTAAGAGGTGGGAGAGGAAGTAGAGAGGGGAATTAGCAGGGGCGGCAGCTTGAGCATGAGGAGGACAAGAAGAAAAACCATTTGCCCCTGTCCTTATCTAGCGCTGACTCTACCATTTAGAAATATTCAAAATATTAAGTGAGTTATAAATGATTTAAACAACTAACTATATGAAGCACCTCACTTCAGAAGACAGATTTTGGGTACCATTAAAAGGCAGCAAATAGTCAATAATTTTTGTGAATATAATTGATATAATATTTTAAAAAGGGGCCCCGCAATGGGTGTCTTCTTTGTGTTGTTTTTAAATTTACCTGCTGTTATTTTCTGGGCTAAAGTGGTACCTCAGGTTAAGTACTTAATTCGTTCCAGAGGTCTGTTCTTAACCTGAAACTGTTCTTAACCTGAAGCACCAGGTTTAGCTAATGGGACCTCCTGCTGCCACCGCGCCGCTGGAGCACAATTTCTGTTCTCATCCCGAAGCAAAGTTCTTAACCTGAAGCACTATTTCTGGGTTAGCGGAGTCTGTAACCTGAAGCGTATGTAACCCAAGGTACCACTGTATTTTTAAAGCTGTTTTTTATTATATTTTGTACATCACCTTGAAAGTGTGCGGAAGGTGATGAATAAACAATATTAGTAAATAATCAATGTATATAAATTATATACTGTCTTTTTTTTATCACCATGGAAAGCACCCTTTGAATTTTCCGCCTCAGGCGCCAAAATGTGTAGGACCCCCTTCTTGTCTGCACCATTCCTCTCCCTCACTTTCCGGTCTCCCCTTATTCTTCCCCACCTGACCCTGTGAATTCAGGAACCTTTCCTGCAGGCCCCACACCGCATTGCCCCCCAAGAGACCGACATCGAGATATCCCTCTAGGGAACTAGCACCCACTCACTCCCAGAACTCTATGATGGGCGAACGCTGGTCAGCCAGGTTGCTGCAGTTTCTGGCAGTGCTGCTGTTGGTGGCGGTGCTGTTATTGTCGCAGCCACCCAGGCCAAAGAGCTCCGTGCACTGGGGGGTGTTCCAGGAGTGGCCGCAGGTGGCCCAGGGCAGGGTTTCCGTCAGCGAGTGCACCAGGTAGAAAAGGCCCCAGACGAGGATCATGATGTAGTAAGAGTTGCAGAAGAAGACAATGACCATAGAGGCCAGGCCCAGGCCTAGGGAGAAACGAGATGGTCAGAGGCCGGCTCAGGGGAAAGGGGAGGAGGCATGCGGTTCTTCCTGAGGGAAGGGCAGCATGTTCAATTCCCACCAAGGCCTGGCTTGGGCATGCAGTGAGAATGAAGTGGTAGAGTCCCAGCCTGGTAGAGCAGAATGTACCACTTTACCTTCCAGGTGAGAGATCATATCTTGAATGCTCCCTTACGTGAAAGGAAAGGGAAGACCTCCCTGCAAATAGAAAATAAGCACTGTTTTCCATCTCCTGGTTTTTTGTTTGTTTGTTTTTTTAAAAAACAAGGAAGTGGGGTGGCCCCTCACTGGCAGCCTGAGATCCATTGAGAGCTGCCTTGCACCAAATTCAGATCATTGGTCCATCTACCTCAGTACTGTCCACACTGACTGGCAGCTGTTCTCCTGAATTTCAGGCAGGCCACATCCCCAGGTATCAGACTTGGATACGTCAGGGATTGAACCTGGCACCTTTTGGACACCACTGAGCTACAGTCCGTTCTGGCACTTCCAACACCCCACAACCTCACTGTGCTGCATGCGCAGACTGGGCCTAAGCCCTGCCCAACTCCACCTTCTTCTTCCATGACAACTTTCCGTCTGACCTTCATAGCTGATAGCGAAGGGTGCATAGGCTCTACTGGGGAGCAGAGGGGGAAATCTGTAACAGGGAAACCTCGATTCTGCACCCTGGGAAGCTCAACTGCATAGCCTACATGTTGTTGTTGCTGTTATTCATTGCCTGCCCTTCGCGCTAAGGTCCCAGGGTGTTACTACAATTAAAACACAACTTTTTAAAACAGTTTAAAGCAACTTTCTGTCGCTCACAGAAATAAGGTAGGTCCCGAAAATAAATTATCTGTGTTGAATGGTCTCTTTAAATTTGAAGGTTCATTATTGTTCCACAAGATGTGAATTTCTTTAAGAGCCAGAGCAAATAACGTGACCTGGTTTTACAGCTGTGAAGCAGTATAGAAAGTGCTGTTAAATTATGTTAATTAAGCTGTTGGGTATAGTATATAAAGAGCAGCACCCAGCTCTCTCAGTACCCTGGTGGTTGGGTTGGTGAATGGGTCATGCTTCTTGATATAATTAATGTAGAAGGAGTTTTTGTTTTGGTTATTACAACCGAGCTAAAGTTCTTTTGCGTTTCTTGAATATGTGGTCTCCCCAGCAAGCTTTCTGCAGTGCAACTAATCTGCAAATAGCCAACAATCTCATGTGTCAAAAGCCAGGACAAAGAGGAGTGTCTTCATATACAAACAAAGCATCCGTTTACCTTATCTGAACACTTTATTCTGCAAAGAAGCAGAAGGCCAAGACTCTGTCAAAGGCCCGGCTCCTCATTCAGCCCCCAGTCCAAATTCTGAACTATCACAAGAGACATGGCCCACACGCTTTCAAGCTTCCCGGCACCACGTCCTGAAATAACCTTAAGGGCTTTAAAACTTGCTCTGAATTCTTCATCCAATACATTATTCAACGTGTCGGCAGAATCCTCACAGCCCTGCGGTAGCCCCACGTTACCCTGACTGCTAATGTACGTAGAGGGCTGGATATGAGGCATTTCAGGCCATGCGTCAAAACACATTTACCGATTGCACAGCCGTTGCTGCCAGCCCTTTCGCCTCATCTGCCATGTCCGGCTCCCGCTCCCCGCCCCCAATCCGGTGTGCTAGTGTAGCCTTATACCTCTCCCGGTATGCCCCACGGAGAGCCTCAAGGTCCATAAATAGCAACACCCTAGTGGTCCCGGGCCCTAAGGAAGTTAGATTGGCTTCAACCAGAGCCAGGGCCTTTTCAACACTGGCTCTGGCCCGTTGGAACACTCTGCCTCATGAGACCAGGGCCCTGCAGGATCTGATTTCTTTCCGCAGGGCCTGAAAGACAGAGTTGTTCCGCCTGGCCTTTGGCTTGGAGCCAATTTGATTCCCTCCCTCTCTTTCTTTTTTCCTTTCCTTCTCCTCCTGCGATGAGGCTACATTTTAATATTTTAATGTTTCAGTATTATAATGTTGTATTTTAATTTTGTTTTTAAGTTGTAATCATTCAACTTGTTTTTATTATTGCTTGTAAGCCGCTCTGAGCCCGGCCTTGGCTGGGGAGGGCGGGGTATAAATAATAATAATAATAATAATAATAATAATAATAATTAATTATCTATATGCCTGGGAAGCTGCCTCGCTTGCTGGTGTAGGCCCAGCTCTGTAGGCCCAGTCTGGATAGTTAGCCTTGGTGAAGACTTGACGTTTTCATCCCAAAAAAAGTTTTTGATTGAGTTTCCACTGAAATGAGGCTGCATTTTAATGTTTTAATCTTGTTTTTTAAGGTGTCTTTCAATCAATTGTTTTTATATTTGGTGTTAGCCGCCCTGAGCCTGGTCTTGGCTGGGGAGGGCGGGGTATAAATAAAATGTAATAATAATAATAATAATAATAATAATAATAATAATAATAATAATAATAATGCACGATGCAACGTTGGAGGGGTGGGGAATCGCTGGTGGCTAGTATTGAGAATTGACAAAATTGGTAATAGCAAAAGGGGATTCTCCACTCACAGGCAGACTCAGTCCTGTGTCTACATGCGCAGCCCCCACCCACCCCACGCTCTCCATTAGGAGCCCATGTCCTCATCTTCCAAGCAGTTACTTAGTAAAAAGGGCCTCAGGGAGCCCTCTCTGCTGCTCCTTTTCAGGGCTGTGCTAGTTCTTCTACAGCAGTGGTTCTCAACCTGTGGGTCCCCAGATGTTGTTGGACTACAACTCCCATCACCCCTGGGCTCTGGCCTTGTTAGCTAGGGATGATGGGAGTTGTAGTCGAACAACATCTGGGGACCCACAGGTTGAGAACCGCTGTTCTACAGCAAGGACAGAGGTATTCTGGTTGCACTCCAGCCCCCATCGGCCCCAGCTAGCCGACGGCCCATGTTCAGAGTTGGAGGGAGGTGCAGCGCAACATTTGGAGCGCCACTGATGTTTCCCCATCCTTGGCCTGTCGAAATGGTTGCCAGGCCTTCCAGGGAGGAGTTTCCACATTGAACCAACGAGCCCCCACCCCCGGCCAGGCATCCACCATGGAATCCCCGTGCAAGGTTCCTTGGCAGACAAGTCGATGTGGGGTCTTCTTCCCTGAAGGGCAAGCCTTGTTTGAGCTGCTCAGCAGGGCTCAAATGACACACAGGAAGGCTTGCTGAAATCCACACTTCACAGACTGCCTCTGCAAAGTAACTGACTCATAACCTTTGAAAGACAGGAGCTTGTCTGGGAGTCTTGTTATAAACTCAAAAAAGCAGCTGGTCCCTGCCAGAGTCCCCCGGCCAGCTTAGCCCTCTAAGGCCCGAGGCAAGAGGCGCCCCACATTCTGCATGGGCCTGGCTGAGGGGGTGGCAGCCGCAAAAGGGAAAGCCTCCCACCCAGCCCCTATATAATTCAAGCCCCGCCCCAGGTTACATTATAGCAGTGTTTCCCAACCTTTTTTGGGCAAAGGCACACTTGTTTCATGAAAAAAATCTCGAGGCACACCACCATTACAGCCCCGTGACGTCAGCGCGCAGCGTCACGCCGGGAGGGACGCACGAAAGTGTAAGTTTCAATTTTTTCCCCTCCCCCTTGCCTTCCTTCTGTGCCAACCGCCAAAAAGCCAAGAAAAAAGCCAAGACTTTAGGGCAGCAGGTCGACACGGAAGAAGCTCCTACCTAAGGACAGGTGCGACGGCCGTGTCCTCTTCTGCCACACTTGGCAGCCCTGCCTCACGGTCGTGACTCCCACCCTGATTTCTCCCCGCAGGTCGAGCGGCACAGGCAGCCCAATGTGTCCAGCCCAGACACAAGCCCCGCTTCCCCACTCTAGATCCTGAATGCGACCAAGTGCTCTGGACTCCCGAGCAGGGTGGGAAAGAGGACTCGCATCTGGTAGCCCCGCTTCCTCCTGCCCAGGGCTGAGCTCCTTACCCGCTGGGGGGGGGGACAAGGGCTTTTCTTCCCACCCCCAGCATTTTAAAAAACCCTGGGACAGCGGAGGACTTCTCCGCTGTCCGGGGCAATCTTAAAATGCTAGCGGGCGGCATTTTAAAATCGCCCGGGACAGCGGAGGACTTCTCCGCTGTCCGGGGCGATTTAAAAGCCCCTGGGAAGGCAGGCAGGGGGGACAAAGATTTTCGTCCCCCGCCCGCCTTCAGAAGAGGTCCTGGACCTCTTCTGAAGGTGGGCGGGGGCGAAAGTCTTTGCTCCCCCCTGCCTGCCTTCCCGGGAGAGCGGAGAAAGGCAGCGCGTTTCTCCGCTGTCCCCGACGGCTTTTGAAGGCAGGCTTTTGAAAGCCGTCCGGGACAGCGGGAGAGGCGCAGCGCGCCCTTGCCGCTCCCCCCCGACTTGGCTGGAAGGCTGGCGGGGGGAGAAGCCTGCTCCTCCCCATCGCCAGCCCCGCAAACTCGGGGGACAGCGGGAGAGGCGCAGCGCGCCCTTGCCGCTCCCCCCGACTTGGCTGGAAGGCTGGCGGGGGGAGAAGCCTGCTCCTCCCCATCGCCAGCCCCGCAAACTCGGGGGACAGCGGGAGAGGCGCAGCGCGCCATCCCGCTGTCTCCCGACATGGTTTGGAGGCTGGCGGAGGGCTTCCTCCTCCCCCAGCCCCGCAAGCTCCCAGAGCGATGCCAAAGCTGCGCGCAGCTTCGGCATGGCTCTGGGTCCCGTTCTGGGGGAGGGGGAAGCTCGGGCTTCCCCCGCCCCAGCCCCACGCCTGGCGGTGGGGGAATAATTTTTTCCCCCTTTATTCCCCCCCCCCCCGCCAATTTTTCCCGCAGCACACCAGGCAACGTATCGCGGCACACTAGTGTGCCGCGGAACACCGGTTGGGAAACACTGCATTATAGCACATTCTTAGAGACCTTGACGTTTTCCTAAATCTGAATGTTTTTTGGGGGAAGGGGGTAAGTTGGTCAGGAAGGACGACATTATTTCAAGCAAACATGTCTATTGCTATTGAACCCCTAATATGCCTCTATGTCACGCTGGAGACACACAGAACACAAATAGAAAAACCTCTGCTCTGCTAGGAGACTCTCTTGAGCTATCTAAGGCCAGTGTTGGGCCCCTGCAGAGGCCACACCACTTTAAGGGGCCCCACTGCTCCCAATGGGCTCTCCCTCTGCAGGGCTGTATGGATTGGGCCCAGAAGCATGGAGATAGGCACACTGCAGGTATCTCTTGGGCCTAGTGCACTCAAAAGCCTAAAGCCGGCCCTGAGAATATGCCTTTTCCCTGGCAGCAACTCCTAAGTGGCTCCTAAGCATAGCCTGCTTATTATGCGGTTCACATTCCAAGCCTTTTTACCTTTGAAGAGTGGGGCGATGTTCCAGGCAGAGATCCCACCTTGCTTCATAAACTGCCCAAGGGCCACCTCCAGGAAGAAGACGGGGATCCCCCCGACAAAGACGATTAGTAGATACGGAATCAGGAACACACCTGTGCAGAAATCAGGAGTCAGCCCTGTTAGAAGCACTACAGAGGGGTATGAGAGACGGGGCCTTTTTGGTGGTGACCCCTTAAAACTCTGGAAACCCCTCCCAGGAGACTTCTGTCATCCTCACTCTCTTTTTGTGTGTGTTTGATGCCCGCTTAGAGAACTATACTCCTAACCCCACTTATCTAGGAGTAAGCCTCCTTCCGAGTAGCCATGGTTAGACTTCTGCTCTGTTTTGAATCTTTCGCTCTTTGCTGCTGTCATCTTAATTGCACATAAACTGTGCCATTCCCTCACCCCCACCCCTGCTTTTAAATCATCTCATTGTTAAGATATTTTTAGAGTGTTTATTTTTGGTGAGCTGGTTTGAGTATAGATTGTACAGAACAGTGAAGGGAATCAACCCAATTAAATGAATAAATTAAATAAAAAGTAGCTGGTCTGGCTCAGCAGTTTCATACGGATGCTAGGAGAAATGTGGACCCAAAGGAGTCAGATCCTGAGAGTTTCCCCCATTTTCATAGAATTACAGGGTTGGGAGGGACCCCAAGGGTCATCTAGTCCAACCCCTGTAGTGCAGGAATCACGGCTTTCCCTCCCTTGTTGTTCAGCAACCTGCTATACAGGGTGGGGTGGGGATGTTGATCCTTAGCTCCTGTTTACTTCTGCAATGGGTTCTTGTACATTTAGGAGCATCTATCTAACCTCTCTGGCCTAGCACTGTCAATACTAATTTGCAGCAAGGATGAAGAAGTAAAGGAGGTAATGGTGAGATGGGCAATGGACTTCGGACATAATATAGAGTTTGACAAATGGAAGGCATTATGGAACAAAGGTATGAGATTCTCGGCATGCACAACACTCAGGGAAAATATGTATAAAATGATGTACAGGTGGTATAAAATGATGTACAGGTGAGCCTATCAAAAAATTCTGGGAATCTATTTACAATGAACTAAAAAAAATCTTTAAATATACCTTTATAAAAAAACCCGAAGCCTTTTTGCTGGGGATAATTGGAGAGGAAATCAAAAAGGAAGATCAAACACTCTTTCAGTCCGCGACAGTGGCTGCTAGAACTCTAATAGCGCAGAATTGGAAGACATCAAAAATCCCAACTATAAACGAGTGGCAATCCAAACTATTTGATTATTTAGAATTGGCAAAAATGACACAGAAAATAAGAAATCAAAAAGACACAAAGTTTAATAAAGAATGGAATAAATTTATGACATACATGGAAACAGAGGTAAAAAATCTAAAAATCACAGTAGGTGTGACATAACACTTGTGATGTAAAGAGTTTTTTGAGGAAAAGAAACTGCAGATAAAAAAATCATATAATATATTCTGAAACCGAGATGAAGGGAAGTCAATTAGTGTTGTGTGTTATTTAGTAAATGTAACCTAATTTGTTGGTATCTTATGTTAGGAGATGTTTTTTCTTTTGTTTTCTTTATTATTATTTCTCTTTTTTATATATTTCTTTTTTGTGTGTATGTGTTATGTATGTTTCTTTCGTTTGTTTTAATGTTTGATGTAGCAAAACGAATTAAAATCAATTAAAAAAAATCAAAAAAATAATAATACTAATTTGCAGCAGTTCTCCAGCATTCCAGACAAAAGGAAAATGTCCTACAAGGATACACAAAATATTGAATCTGAGGCCTTCTGTAGGCAAAGCAGATTCCCTCAAGCAAAGTGAGGCTTAGTTTCATAGCACGAAGCCATCAAAAGCAGCATACAAGACACACAAACTCAGGTTCTGAAAACGAAGAAACTCTAAAAACAGTAAAACCTGCTTTACCCATTCTAAAAACAATGTCAAGAATTCTTAAAAATATGTATGTAATTTTTGTATATTGTTATTTCCCCACTGTATATCTTTACTTGTTGTTTTTTGCTTCTTCCCTGCTCTGGGATTGAAAATATTCAACAGAGAGCGTGTTACAAATACTTCAAATCAATCAACCCGCCAGAACAAAGTCTCAGTAAGGACAAGACATCATCTAACCACCTCCAGGTAAGCTGTCCGCAAGCAAAACCAGGATGAATGCTCAACAAACAGGTTGACAGAGGAGTCCTGTTTGCATGTGAGCTTCTAGCACTGAAAGGGACGTGGGTGGCGCTGTGGGTTAAACCACAGAGCCTAGGACTTGCCGATCAGAAGGTCGGCGGTTCGAATCCCCACGACGGGGTGAGCTCCCGTTGCTCGGTCCCTGCTCCTGCCAACCTAGCAGTTCGAAAGCACGTCAAAGTGCAAGTAGATAAATAGGTACCGCTCCGGCGGGAAGGTAAACGGCGTTTCCGTGTGCTGCTCTGGTTCGCCAGAAGTGGCTTAGTCATGCTGGCCACATGACCCGGAAGCTGTACGCCGGCTCCCTCGGCCAATAAAGCGAGATGAGCACCGCAACCCCAGAGTCGGCCACGACTGGACCTAATAGTCAGGGGTCCCTTTACTTTTACCTTCTAGCACTGAAGGCATTCCCTGGCATCCACTGCAAGCAATCCTTTCTTGAGCATCTGCTTCTGTGTCCTAGAAACTGAATCCTATGGACACAAACCAATGGACAAGGCCTGGGACCCAGTATTCATACTGCTCCGTTTTCAAGTGAATTCTCCATGGCTAACATCCACGGACCCAGTGGCCTTTAAAGGTGGTTTGTTTCACTCTGCTAGTTCTATAGTCACATGGCCTCGATTTTATCTCCTCTATGTTATTCTCCCCATTGGCTATTTTCGATGCAGGTTATGCATAAACCCAGTTTGAATTGCGTTGCTCAGTACATGGATCAAATAAATCAGCGGGGGCACAGAATGATTCATCTGATGATTTCCATAGCAGTTTTGCATCTGTGGGTAGGGATGCCTGCTATACTTTCAGACACTGCCGGAGATGGAGTGTGTTCCCTCCCCCTTTCTTGTGTTACAAAACCCTTTGAAAGAAAAGCATCCCAGACTGTTCGGCTCGGCAGCACAGAATCCGCTTGCAAAATCAGATTCGCTCATCTGGTCTCATTGAACCGAGACTAATCTTCCCACCCGGCTAAGGTTTGAGAAGTCAATGAGCCAATGAGTGTCCACAGCAGCTCCTTCGCTCTCCCCTCCTTCCCACCCTCCGGAACATCATGTGATGCTGCACACACACTTCCTCAGCTGGGTATGTGGGTTATGCTTTTCCCAGTGGCCATGAGAGATGAGTACAGGGTGGAAGGAAAGCCATTAAGGTCCCACATGGAGGAATAAAAGCAGAAAGGAGCAGGAGCACCGTAGTTCAGAATCCAGGACTGAATCAGAAGGCTCAGCTAAGGACTCTGGTTTCAGCACTGGGTCTAAGAGAAGCAGAGCAACAATACAGAACGATGCCTCTGAGCATGTGCAGAGTTATCCCAGTTTTCCATTTCCACATGGAATGAAAACTAAGGTTCTCAGGAAAAAGAGGGATGTCAGGCTAGAGGAACCACTACTGCTCCCATCAGCTTTGACTACTGGTCATGCTGGTCAGGGCTGCTTGAGTCCTGTAACAACTGGAGAGGCAGCGGTTTCCCATCCCTGGGCCAGAGCCTGGCAATCCTTGGAGAGTTAGAAGCAATTTGAAAGAAAGAGTTTTGCTCAAAAAGTATATGCATGTGTCTCACTTTTTTCTTTGATAAAAGGATTCTGTAGAGTGGGGTTTTAAAAAAAAAAGTTTGCAGATCTGACAGTGGGACAAAGTCAATTGAGTCACTTTCTTACCTCTTAAAAACAACTGTTTGTCTCCAGCTTTACTTACTTAACCAGGTCCCAATTAGAAATAATGCACAGTCAGGGATTAGGCACATTTCAGGGATGGTGCAAAATTTTGCAGCTGCAAAAGTCACAATCCGAGGGTATATGTTGACTGGGCAGGTGGGGCTGCAGCCGATGCTCATCCTACTCAGAGTAGATCCACTGAAGTTAATAGACATGACTAACTTCGGTTCGTTAATATAAACGGGTCTACTCTGAACAGAACTTGGCTGGATATAGCCCCATGATTATTTACCAAGTGGTAACTTAGCACACTGCTAACGGTGCATGGAACTAGTTAGGCTGTGATCATATTCACAGGCAGCAGAGAGAATGTTGACGTGCCCCTCACAGTCTCCCTCGGGAGGTTGTGGGCTCTCCTTACTTGGAGGATTTTAAGCAGAGGTTGGACGGCCATATGTCATGGATGCTTTAGCTGAGATTCCTGCACTGCAGGGGGTTGGACTAGATGACCCTTGGGGTCCCTTCTAACTCTACAGTTCTATGATTCTATGCTGCTTCTGTGTCAAGTTCAAGCACATGGTAAAAATGCACACGGTGAAGTGAAAAAGGAATGGGAGTGCCTAAACGAATACCTTAAAAGCCAAGGTTCGAGGACAGAAATCTGGCTGAGTCTGGAATAACCTTGTGAAGTGAAAGGATAAGAAAGAGGGATTTATATCTAGATGCTAGGATAGAGATGATAAGGAAAACAGGAAAACACAATGAGAGGTAAAGGAGATGCTGTGGGATTGGTGGAAGTGAATGTTTGTTTTTCTTTTTAGTGTTTATATTATTAATTTGTAAGATTTGGATTTGGGTTTTTTGTATGCTTGTTTTTGTGTTTTGTATATTGTTATTTTCCGGGTTTTGTGTGTGTGTGTGTGTGTGTGTGTGGAGAATACTAATAAAATTAATAATAAAAAATAAAAAAATCCCATACGCCACTTGCTACCGACAGACCCCCACATATATTCGTATACTCGTGGTCTTCTACCACTTTGGGATGAAAAAAAAATTCTCATCTGCATTGACCCAGGCTAACCAGAAATGAACAGAAGAAGCTACCCACAATGTGACAGGACACAGAATAGGGAAGCTGATGTTATGGCCATAGGAACAACAAAAAATGGGTTGGGTACTATAGGGCACCAGGATGATTTTGCTCCTTGCAAGTCAATAGAAGCTACCTCTTCCCAGATCAGCTCCAAGTTCCAATTCTTTCCTTCCTCCAAAAAATAGTGTCCATTTTCAGAGAGGAGTCTTCTCGCGCTCAGTTTAGACACCCGCTCTCACCCACCAAACCTGGTCCCTCCCCCCCCCCCCGTGGCCACCTCCTCACCTCCTCCATTCTTGTAACAGAGGTATGGGAAGCGCCAGACGTTGCCCAGCCCCACAGCAAAGCCAACACAGGACATGATGAAATCCATCTGCCGGGTCCAGGTCTCCCGCTCAGGAACGGGCAGCTTCCCGGGGCCCATGGGTACCACCAGAGGGGCAGTGATGGCTCTCCCTTCATGGCTGGACTCTGCTGTGCCACCAGTCGGCTCGGCACCCTCTGCCTCAGCCAGCTCTGAGCACCCACTGCCCTCTGTCGAGGCAAAGAACAAAGGATTAGGCAAATCAATCAATAGGTGTGGGGGATCAAGCCAGCTTTTGAACAATCTCAATCGATGGCTGAAAAGGAAAATTAACCTGGGCTTCCTCCTTTTTTTGAGCGTGTCTCCTTAATTCCAGTCTCCTACTTTTTGCCACCCAACTTTCACATTTATCTCTGCCACCAACAGGACTCGAAACTTAAAATTTCAGCAAGAAACAGAACCTGGAAGGTTCAGGAGCCATCTGAAATAATGTACTCCTCCACTTTTTCTTTTCCAGAAATGTATTGTTTCGTTTTTGGCATACAAATACCAGTAAAACAGTACGTAACGCATGACAAAGAAACAAAAAGACATGAGCATCGGTCAAAATTTAGTATTGTAACATTTTTGTGGCTTGTCCTTGTTTAGTAGTTATTTTCTTCACAGGCTGTAAATTGCCTAGTTTTTATTCATTATACAAATGGACAGCAGCGCTTGCTTTTACCCTGGGAGAGATACTCAGGGAGGAAACCTAATGATCCACGGAAGCTCACCCTTTCCTGAGTGTCATTTGCAAGATCACTTACTATGGGTTAGTTATACCTTAGCAACCTTCAGCTGTACCCAGCGAGTTGCACATGGATAACACTGCATCAGCCTGGAGCAAGGTCTGGAGTGCCACACAGCTCTCTGTCTTAAGGTCCTGTGCTGCTAAAACATCTTTATAAACGGCTTGGGCGAAAGAGTAGCTTATCAAATCAGGGTATGGCACAAAGCACGGAGGAGACGCTAATGCCATAAAAGTCAGAACCAAGTCTTAAAAAGACCTCAACAGGCTGGAACGCCGGGCCAAATCCAACAAGATGAAATGCAATAGAAATTCAATAGAAATAGGTACTAAGAATCAATAAGCAAAAATACAGGACTGGGGCTGGGTGAGGTTGGTGGGTTTGAGAAGAGAGACCTAGCTTTGTATCAAAGCAGCTGGAAAGGATTTACCGTATTTTTCGCTCTATAAGATGCACCAGACCACAAGACGCACCTAGTTTTTGGAGGAGGAAAACAAGAAAAAAAATATTCCAAATCCCAGAAGCCAGAACAGCAAGAGGGATCGCTGCGCAGCGAAAGCAGTGATCCCTCTTGCTGTTCTGGCTTCTGGGATAGCTGCGCAGCCTGCATTCGCTCCATAAGACGCACACACACATTTCCCCTTACATTTTAGGAGGGAAAAAGTGAGTCTTATAGAGCAAAAAAATACGGTAAGCATCTTAGATTATTTGTGAGCTAAGCATGAGCCAGTGGTGAGATACAGCGGCGTAAAAAGCGAATGCAGTCACATAGGCTGCATTAACAGATCACAAGGAGCAATAGTTCTACTCTTAGTTTGCACTGGTCCGACTGTGCCTAAAATACAGTTCTGGTTGCCACATTGTAAGACAGACATTGATCAGTGGAAAGGGTGACCAAGAAAAACACAAGGGGTCCTGGAAACAAAGAAGAACAGCTGAAAAAAGTTGGGTAAGTTTATAACCTGGAGAAGAGAAGACTCCACAAGACATGATGGCCATCTTCGAATATCTAAAAGGCTGCCCCACAGAAGTTGGGAGGAATTTGCTCTCTGTCGCTCCGGAGGGCAGGACCAGAACCAACCAGTGTTAATTTCCAGGAAGCAGAATTCAGCTAAAAGGGTTAGGAGCAACGAACTGGCGAAAGCTGTTCAACAATGGAACAGTCCACCTTGGAGGTGGGTGGGCTCTCCTCCGATGGAGGCAATGAAGCAGAGGCTGGACACCCACCTGTTAGGGACGCAGTGGCCGCATCCAGGTATTGCAGAGAGAGCTGAACTAGGCAATCTCTGAGGTCTCATATAAGTCTATAGCTTGTGACATTTTGGTGCCTCTAGCTGCTGCCTTAGAACATCTGGGTGCTGCAGCATCACCTGGGTAGCGCAACACCCTAACCCCTGCCCCAATCCTTTTCATATATGTGATGCAAGCATTCTAATCAGTGTTAATAGTTGTCACAGTGGCCAACCTGTGGGAAAAGCGCAAGCAGGACCAGGGCACAAGAGCTCTCACCTTCTCCTGCGGGTTCCAGCAGTGGGTAAAATGACTCCCCTAATGCTATGGGTTCGCTCTGGAGCCTATTGCTTCCCTGGCCTGGCCAGGGCAGGAGTGGCACTCGTTTCCCAGGTTGAAAATCAATGCCTCTGCCTGTGCCAAGGAGCTAGCTTGGCATCACTGCCTGCTCTTTGAGGCCCATCTCTGCTTTCTCGTTTCTTCGAGCGCCAAGTACTTCACAAACACTTGGGCAGCTTAACGAAGGCAGGAATTTTCCAGGCCTACCTTTTATATAATGAGCAAAACCCTTTAAAAAGGGGGGGGGCAGGAGGGAGAGAAAACACACACAAATACCCACCCTCTCTCATTCTGGAGTCCTAGTTTCGACGTCACAATGCAGGGTGGTGAGTCACCCACTAGGCAGCGATGCTGAATCCACACATTCATACACACGCAGAGGGAGTCACAGGAACCCGCACATCAGGAATCACGCTCACAATGGGTTTGCACACATGCACACACACACACTGAAGTGCATACTGGGCTGTTGCACATGGTGGTTTCCATTTCCCCCACCCCCAATGAGCTGCGGGGTGGGTGGGATCCCTTTTCCCTTCCTTCTTTCTGAAGCCACTGAAATAAAGGCTGCGTACGCTCCATACACGCGAAGCACATTTAAAGCACACTATTTCACCCCAAACAATTGTGGGAACCACAGTTTACCTCTTGGGCATATAATTCCCAGGGCCCACTGCAGTTCCCAGGATTTTGGGGGACTGCGCTTTGAATGTGTGGTGTGTACGCAGCCGAAGAGAGAGTTCGCCGGCTCCTCTCCCCTTCCTTCTAGCCAGCAAAGTAGTGCCATGCCAGAGACAAAGCTCATAGGAGAAACGTGGGGGTCTGCACTGGAAAGGGTGTTTTCCAGCACCATCGTAACTCTCGCTGTCGCCAGCCCTGCTCAACGGGCAACCCAAATTCCTCAAAGAAAACAACCTCGCCCTGGGGAAAGCCCTGAAATTTTCCTTTTGTGCTGAGCAGCCCCTGCAAAACCAGGGTGGAGGGTGGGGATGACCCGTTTTCAACAGCAGCAACAACAACAACAAAAAAGCCCCCGGAAGAGACAAGAGTTGTGAGCAGAGCAAAGCAGCAAACAGCAGCCCAGACACAAAGCCCCTTTTCCTCGTCGTCTGGCTTCCCTCCCCCCACAGCCAACGTGCATCCAAGGCCCTGGCATGTGACGGAGCTAATCCTCCCCACTTGTGGGGCTGAGGCTGCCGGACACCCTTTGCCTACCCCCCCCCCTCGCCTGGGTACAGATCAGCCACTTAGTTGGCACCACTCACGGGCATTCTCTTGGGCAATGCTACGAAGAGCACATGCTTTCTCAATAAAAAGGAATGAGGGCAGGGAGGAGGTGATCGGAGGTTGATGGTTGCACACAAAACAATCTTGTTTTCTCTCACACAAATGTACACACACACACACACACACACACACACACCTTCTGCTCCAGCTGAGTTGTTGCCTTATAAGGGGCTGATGCAGATAAACCAAGTTCTTCTTTTTGCCAGCTGCCCTCGTCTTGGAGAACCAGCCTACACAAACCTAAGAAGAATCCTGCTGGATCAGGGCCGGTGGCCCATCTAGTCCAGCACCCTGTTTTGCCAGGGGCCAACCAGACTCCCCTTATGGGGAGCCCGCAAGCGGGATAACTGCTTCGGACATGTGGGCATTCAGTGCCAAATGGCAACTGTAGTGCACTGATGATTAAAGGTGGGTCACAGGACAGCAGCTCCACCACCACAGAAACACGTGGTATAAAGATAAATTTAACAATAAGAAATGGGTCTCCAAATGCACGTTTTGGTTAAAGGTGCACCCAGGGTCTGAAAAACCTGCTGCTTTAGACTACACACCCGGAGTCCATAGCCCATTGACTCCACATGAGTTCCCCTAGAATACTCGCCCTCCCGGTTCTGTATTCAAAAGAATCCCTAACTCTGATTAAACCTCCTGCCACCACTCCTGGAGAGGGGGAAATAATGGAGCGAGGGAGAGAGTCATAAAGTACATAAAGTGTGTGCCCCGGGCACAGCACGGAAAGCCGCAAAGCACAGGGCATCCTGGCAGAGAGAGGAGCGAGGCAATGAGCAGGAACACCTTGGCAGAGACAGGACGTACTTCTGGCACAAGGCGGGGAGAGATGCCGGCGGGGCAAAAGGCGGATACAGCCCAGCTGCTTGAACCCATCCATCTCAGGAGGCTCGGTGATGGCAGCATTTGAAAGCAGAGCCTATTGTACTAAGTCTCCCTCCGGAGCCGAGACGGGGCACTGCTCTGTTCACCTGGGTCGCCACTGATGGGTCGCCAGTGATGCTTCGCAGGTGGCACGCCGCTGGGCTGCTACTTACCTGAGCCCATCCACAGCGGGAAGCAAGGTGGGAGAAACGAGGACTCCATGAAACCCCACACCCCGGAATGCACCCCGGCCCTACTTCCGATGCCAAGCCGGCGCTTACCTGAGCAGGTCTCGGTGGGCACTGGAGCCATTGGCACACTGGGCTAGCGGGCAGGAGGCTGAGACGGGTGTCGGGTGTCGGGAAAGCTGGCTCCGGGTCTTGGGAGGGGATCTCGGCGCGGTCTCAGAAGCAATCCACAAAGCACTTGAAGGTGAGACGGAAGAACCTCATTGATGGGGATTTACACCAGGGAAACGGGCTGGGGCGGGCGAGGGTCTGGGCAGGGCCTGGAGCTCAGAACCAGGCGGCGCGGGCAGCGCTGAGACGACGCTCCATCGCTCAGCTCCGGCAGCGAGGCTTCTGGCTCTTCGCAGCAGAGGCGCAGCAGAGAAAGGCAGCAGCCGCGGCGACTCCGCTTTGGCCCCCGCCCCGCTGGCGCCTCATTGGCCCGGCGCTGCTGGCATCAGGCCGGCCGCTTGCATGTCGGGAGATGGAGTCCGGGGTGGCGCTTGGGTACCATGGAAATGCTGGGAGATGATGGAGGCGAGCAGGTGCACCAGTGGGCAGGGTGGAGCCAGAGGGAGAGAGAGAGCGAGCAGGGCCTGCATTCTGCAAGCGCAGGAGCGAAAGGCGCGCAAAGCCCGGCGCAGAGGTTTGGTTCCGCTTTCTTGCCGGGGATCCGAGTTGCTAAGCAGGAAGCGAAAACAAGGCTTGCTCACTCAACCATTTGTTGCAACCCTTTCCTTGTGGGGGGCAGAATTGTGCAACTACACAGGCTCCGTCCTGGTAGATTTCTGCCTAAACTTTATGGAGAAGTCCTTCCTCTCCTCCCAGGCATTTTCGCAAGCATCATCTTAGCTTTGCGGGCAAGGGAGTTTGTTTACCTAAATCTACCTTCCTGTGGCTAAAATCCGCAGTTGCTTAAAATGGAGCGGCCAGTGTTAAGGTTTCAGGTGGCCGCGTAAGAGAAGCCCACAGGCCATCAGGAAGGCAGATAAACTTTGCCAAGCAGCCGACGCTGCACAGTGAGGTATTTGGAAAGAGGGTGAACGTGTAGATGAGAACATAGAATTCCAGTTAATTTGTAATCCACTGGTAAAGGGCAACCCAGAAAGACTTATTTAAATATCCCCTGGGTCTGTAGATGTATATATTGAGGAAGCTGGGATAACTCTAATCAGTAGAGCAGGAGGCTGTTAATCTCAGGGTCGTGGGTTCAGATCCAGGTTGGGCAAAAGATTCCTGCATTGCAGGGGGTTGGACTAGATGACCCTCATGGACCCCTCCAAGTCTACAATTCTGTGATTCTTTCAAAATGCCAGAAAAGCAATCGATGGAGTGGGAAAGTCTATATAAATGTTCTAATGGACAGAGAGTAGCAAAGCAAACTTAGTGAAAGAATAAAGGGAATAGCATTACTAAGTATACCGTATTATTGATTGATTACATTTATAGCCTTTTCTCCAATAAGCTCAAGGTAGTGGCTCCCTTGCTCCTCATTTAAACCTCGCAACAATGCTGTAAGGTTAGGCTGAGAGGCAGTGACCAGTCCAAGGCCAGCCAGTGAGTCCAAATGGGGATTTGAACCCTGGTCTCCCAGCTCCTAGTCCAACATTCTGACCGCTTTATCACACTGGCTTTCAAACAGAACACAATTAAGAAAATGTCCGATTGGTTTGATTTAGGAAAATACCTTAACAGGAATCTAAAGTATCTTTGTGGTGGAAGGAAGAGGAAAAGAGATGGCTGGGGCTGGGCTTCTCATCCTATAGTGCAATCTGTTTTCAACATGCAAATTTAAAAAGGAATTGAGCCTTACGGCGACCCTGTGGGAAGGAATTTGTGCAGAAGTACTGTATTGTGGATTAATTTGGGGGAAAGAATGGGAATGGTTAGGAATTGGCAACATTAGAACAACTGAATCAAGGTAATGATGTCTCTGCCTACCAAGAGTTACTGTATTTTTTGCTCTATAAGACTCACTTTTTCCCTCCTAAAATGTAAGGGGAAATGTGTGTGCGTCTTATGGAGCAAATGCAGGCTGTACAGCTATCCCAGAAGCCAGAACAGGAAGAGGAATCACTGCTTTTGCTGTGCAGCAATCCCTCTTGCTGTTCTGGCTTCTGAGATTCAGAATATTTTTTTTTCTTGTTTTCCTCCTCCAAAAACTAGTTGTGTCTTATGGTCTGGTGCGTCTTATAGAGCAAAAAATACAGTAATTGAACGAAATGGGTAATAGACTCCAAATATTTTCAGTTGAGAAATTTTGGGTCCAAAATAAATCGAGAAGGAATCATGTTAAGGAAGGAAAGTGGATTAGAAGTATTATTAACAAAGAGAAAACAGAAAAAAATGATATGAGGTATAATATCAACACAGTTGATCTGACAAGAATATAAAAACTTTGATGGAGGTGCACACCATTTCCTCAGGCCTTGTGTCACACCCTCCATCAATGTTTTTACATGGCTGGAATGTGTCCTTAAACTTTTATTATATCTCTTGCTTATCTGGAAGGTGTTTATGGAGGTGTGTGTTCAGGAACTACCTGACTGTACAAAGGTTACAATTGACACTCACTTCTTGGCCCACATTAGCCTCTGGTCATGCCCCTGATACAGTGGCACCTCGGGTTAAGTACTTAATTCGTTCCAGAGGTCCGTTCTTAACCTAAAACTGTTCTTAACCTGAAGCACCACTTTAGCTAATGGGGCCTCCTGCTGCTGCCGTGCTGCTGGAGCCCGATTTCTGTTCTCATCTTGAAGCAAAGTTCTTAACCCGAGGTACTACTTCCGGGTTAGCGGAGTCTATAACCTGAAGCGTATGTAACCTGAACGTATGTAATCCGAGGTACCACTGTATATTGGAAAATGCTTATTAAAGCCATAGCAAGTTGCTATATGGCTCCATTGAGGATAAAATTAATGCCTCTAAAGCACAATGCTGTGGATGTACATCTCATAAGGAAGATACGATACTGCCTGGATATCCAAAAAAAATTGGATAAAAATATTAAGATTACCAAAACAAGTTTTCATCTGGAGTCAAAAGTTTTAAATGTACTACCCATTAGCCCAAGCGGTGTCTGCATTGTTTATAGCACCAGGCTGTGTCAAACTTCTTCCTGAGGTTGAGAAACTTGTGTTTCGTTAACGGGAAGCTGCGTTTCTCAAAAGATGGCTCCATGTTGTACAAAACACATGCGGCCGGGGGGTGGGGAAGGAAGGTGGTCTTCCTAAGAAGACATAAGCTGGGGCAGGAAGAATTTGAAAGTGAGAATGAACCAAAACGCCTCCTCTGGAAGGCCTGGTGTGTGACTTGGAGAAGCCATTGTTGCTCAGCTTTGCCTCTCCCTTCACTCTTGTTACATTGAGAGAATATGGGCCTACCCTCCAAGAAAGGCCGGCTCTGCCATTGGGGAGAGTGAGGCAGCCGGTGCCACCTCAGGCAGCCATTTTCGCTGTGAGGCGAAGGCCGGAAGTTGTCGTTTATCGTTACTGTATTTATTATTTCTTTATGTATATACCACCCTCAATCCGAAGATCTCAGGGCGGTTTGCGAGATAAAAACACAGGATGAAAATGCAAAATAAATAGTTCAGACCAAAACAAACCCCTTCCCGCTGCCAAGGAGCATTTAGACCACCTCAGAGGACAATAAGAGTTTATTTGCTGGGTTCAAGCAGCAAAAATGTCTTCAGGCAGCCCTGAAGATGACTCAGGAAACGGCAACGCAGAGCATTTTGACCATTTGAAGCGGGGAAGCACTATGTGCAGGACGGAGATTATTGTAGCTTCCTGCCCGTAGGAGATAATGCCCATTCCTTCCCTCCTTTTCTCGCCAGCCCGGCTAACACTTCCTCCCACCCCACCCCACCCCCCAAGCCGCCCATGAGAATCGGCACTGGGAGCACATTCCCATGGACGGCTTGCCCGGTTGCCATGGCGCCCGCTGAGCAAACAATTCCATGGCATGGCTAAGTCTCCCTATATAGCAGGCAGCAACCAGGCTCACAGGGCAAACACACATACACGGGAGGCCCCTTTTCTCAAGCCGAGGAGTGAGGGTTAATGCCTTAGAAAAATAGGCTGAGGCACAGCCTCCGCCCGCTGCTCCCTTTTGTGATGCGAAAAGAGGCCAAGGATATTTCTGGGGCCTCCTCCCCAATAGGAAGCACATTGTATCTTCCCTGGGCCAGATAGGAAAGTGTGAGAATCAAAGGCAAGGCCACCATCGCGGAGACAGCGTGGTCCAGCAGTTTCCAAACCCTCTGGCTGCAGAGAACCTTTTTTTTAAAACGAAAAACGGGCTTCCCAGCAGAGGAACCTCCTCTTGCACAGACCATTCTGGGAAAAGTTCTGGTGCAGGCAATCCAGAATAAACTATTCACAGCGGTGACAAGTCCATTTGTCCAATTATGTATAGAAGCAGATGGGGGAAGGTGGTTTTTAAATGCAAACTGACTTCCATCCTCACATGGTTCACTTCCCTCATCAGTTCACCCTCCAAGGTGCTTTGCTCTTCTGACAGGCTCCCTTCCCTGAGGGGAAAAGGCACTTGTGGATTGGGGCTATGTGGGGGGAAGAAGCCTTCAGAGGGGATTTGATTCTCCTCAGCCATATGCCCCTTTTCGTGCCAAGTTTCTGATCCGACCATTTCATCTCGATTGGCCCTCAGCTCATACAAGGTGCTCATACAAGGTGGTGGTTCAGGACTGCTGGGCCTCCTTCCTGCTCCATGTAAACTCCCCTCCAGTTCCCCATCTGAAGCATGATCAGCAATAGCAGACCACCTGTGTCCGGCAGTGGAAGCCTGTCAGCCATCTTTGAACGCCATCGGTCCATTCTTGTATTCCCAGTTCTTTTTACATTAACCTGGCAGTGGTTACTAACAGCTGGATCTCTGCTACTTTCCAGGTCCTGCCCACCCTTTTCTTGAATTGTTATGTGCTCCCAATATTAAATATGTTCTTCCTTTGGGCTACACAGCACCCCTTTCATTCACTCGGAAGCAAAGCCACTTCCGAATTTCTGTGGCTCACGTGCATTAGAATCAAGTGGGGTTCACTAGGAGGCAAGTTGGCAGGAGGGACATAATTTATGTGTAGGAAGTGAAAACATGCCAGGAAACCAATGGATTTTTATTCTGACAAATATTCAGAGCTCTACGGCAGGGGGTAGGGAACCTGCAGCCCCCGCCTGTTGCCGGGCTACAGCTACTATTGCATCTCTGGCCATTGGGGGGGTCACGATCGCTGGATAGATGGGGGTTGAAATCCAACAGCGTCTGATAGGCCACCCTCCACTCTAGAAGCTTCTGTGTGTTGGCTGTTCTTTTTAAAAAAACACAATGCAACCGTGACCATTGCTACTTACACTATCTCCCCTTTTGAACTGTTTTTTAGTCATCTTGTTTTTCAAGTGGAAATTCCTGCACGCAATCTAGCATCCTTCCCATCCCACCTGTAAGGATAATGTGGTCTTTTTCCTACCAACAGCCTCTCTGTATGAGAGCTTATTCATTACCACATCAGAAGTAATGCTCATTTGCAGAATATTTTATCTGACATGGCAACTTCCGAGTTTCTCATACAGAAGGCTTTATCATCACGTGCAGACTTATCATTTCAATTAGAGACATGAGAAATCAGTCAGTTGTCTGTTACACTTAGCACTACGTATATCACTCTTGTGATGAATATATTTGGTTATAGTTATTTGTGTTACATTAAGGACTCTGCGTTGTTTAATACTCCTTCTGCTAAACACAGGGAAAAAGAAAGGCTAAATTCCTGGTATCTAAACGTAAGGATGCACATGGAGCATAACATACTTCTAAGAATTCCTGATCTGCAGGTCCTTTCCTATACATTCAACAGTCATTTTATACCAGTTTAAATCGTGCCACCATTCCTTTCTTTCCCAGCTCCTAGAAGGTATTCGCCAAGGAGACAGAAAGAATGAATGTTCTAATTCAGGTTGCAATTTTTATCTCCACAGCGTTGCCCAGGCTGAGAGCCCATGCCAGGGTGGCATGGCAGCAGACAGAATAGCACACAAGACACAGGAACAAGCGGCGTTGAGTAGAATTTAATGACTCGGGACCCAAGACAAACACCAACTTTATACAAAGACAGAGCAAGACTGAGGCCTCCCTGGGAATGGGCCCAGGACAGCCTCATTTGGTTACAGCAATTCCAAGCATGGATAAAAGGGAACAGGGAGCCAAACATTTAAATAGGAGATGGTACTGGCAGTGGTTCCTCACCCCAAGGGAAGTGTCACAAGGGGCCAAGAAATCCAAAACAACTCTGGGGCAGGCAGCCAAGTAGTAGGCCAAGCCGCAGTTCCATGCCTTCCACGTAGGATGAGGAGGCATAGCAGCAGGTGCCCCAGCGGCCTTCTTTACCCAAACTGCCAGACTAAGCAATGCTGGTGAAAGGGGTGGGTGGGTGCGGAAATCAAGGAAACTGGGAGATGCGTACTTCTGTCATGAAGGCCCATTTTGCAGCCATGGTGTCCTGAGCTTGGGATACCAAGAAAGAGCAGATGGGAAAGTGAAAGGGCAGGCCAAAAAATGGGGGGGGGGGCTGTGGAATATTGTGAAGCAGGCACCCATGGTATGGCAAATCGGGAGAAGGCCCCTTAGGGGCAGACACCAACGGCACCCACCCCCACCCGCCACCCCCAGTAGAACAGGCTGGGTATGCAAGACAAGGAGTGCAGGGCTCGCCACAGCTCCCCTGCCTCTGTGCAAGGCGACCAAACCAGAACCTTTGGGGCAGGAGATGCAGGAGGAGCTGCCGCACCGGGGGCACTCAGTGGGTCTCCCTCGGCACAGGGCAGCCTCTAGTAGGGGGACACGAAGGGAAACCTTTCCAGCTTGCAGGGGAGGAGGAAGGGGGTGGAGCAGAAAGTGCTTGTGTGCTTGAGAAAAGGTCACAGCAGCTCCTCCTCCTTCCCACTGCAGGGGGGACGCTGGGGTGGGGTAGGGTGGGAAGCCACAAAACAAAGCCTTCTTATGTACACCCCACCCGCCACCCACCCCCAGTGCAGAACGACTTAGTCAACTTCCTCCATGTTGCTGTAGGATGGAGCAGGGTGCTCTGCGACTCCCTCTGGTGCCAGTGCGGGAGCAACTTCAGGGGCCAGGTTGGTTCCAAAGGGTGGCGAGATAATTCCCTGCAAACAGAACAAAGCGTTAGAGAGCAGCCGCCAAGGGTGCAAACGTCTCCCTGCCGTGGAAGAAGCTTATTGTCTTGTTTCCAATATGAAATCTCTATATACACATTGTCTGAAGGTCCGGAAACAGATTTCGGGGAAAGAGTTCATATAAATATAAACCTTATTCATTGACTTCGTTCACGAGTTTTATATCTTGCTTGATTGCAACAAAAACCTCGGAGCAGTTTACAAAATGCAAAACGTTAAAATTATCAGTTAAAGAAAATGGTTACCAAACAGCTGTTTAAAGCATTCAAAAGTAATCAAAATATAAAATAAGGTAAAACCCAGTTTAAAAAGCATGTCAGATTTCCACATGTCTGGATAGGCTTGCCTAAACAGAAATGTTTTCAGCAGGCACCAGAAAGAGTACGGTGAAGTACTGGCTGATGTCAATAGGCAGAGAGTTCCAAAGTGTGGCTGCTGCTGCACTACAATATTGATTTCTTACAAATGCGGAACGAGTATTATGTGGCACCTGTTAACAGTGCCAGATCTGCAAATCAGAGCAGTCAAGTGGACACATATGAGGTAAGGCCAATCTCACAAGTAACCAGGTGCCAAGCTGTTAAGCGCTTTATATACCAGATAATGGTCCAACCACGACAAGGGATTGCATCATTGCCCACCTCCTTGGTCCATCCCTCTTATCATCACTTGGAGCAAAGACTACATCAAGAGTGTGCCCTGCCTGATGTGTTGGGCCAATGACCATGTGAGAGAGCTGTCAAGAGGTCATGAAGTCTTGAGCCAGCTCAGCAGCAGTCTCTACATGGATATTGTAGTCATTCCAACACCTCAACCAGCCTGATCAGGGACGCTGCTGGGAATGGGGGCGGGGGGGCATTCTAGAGACCAGCAGCATCCCAATCTGTCTCTCTAGCCCAACACTGGGGGCAAACCCTCTAATCCTTTCCCAACACCAATAAGTTTTATGGCAAAGGAGATGGTGCTTATACGGACAGTAAAACCACTACCACCCTCGATGTCCCCAGTCTAGCCTGGTGCAGTACTATTAACCAGAGGGGCCCATCCAGCTCACTCACCCAAGTTTCAGTAATGCAAGCCAGATCAGTCCCTTCAGTGTAAGCAGTTACAGCTAGTCTCATCAGTATATTGTTCAATTAAGTGACACAATTAAACATGGTGTCTGGTAGGCAGGCACCAAAATACGAACTGGTGTTATTAAGCAGTCAAATCTCAGGAAATTTTAGGAAGAAATCAGGATTTCTGAGTGTAATACATACAAAGCCTTACTCATAATTCTCTCCTGCTCCAGGCTTGAAGAGTCAGCTATCCGCCTAGAGCCGGGTCTACTTTACACAAAACTGCCCCACCACCCTAAGAATTGTGTGCCAAGGTAACCTACACTCTGTAACCCACATATAATAATAATAAACATATAGTTTGCAAAAAGGCATGTAGCTAGTGCATCCTGCTTCTGCAAATAATGGGGAAGGGCAAAAAAGCTACCCTAACCAGTGACTTGAAATCCCACTGAGCTCCTCTTCTACGGATTTCACTAGACATTGCCCATGCACTTCTGAAACTCTTCTTTGAAGATATCCAGGCTAATAACTTGTTTCTTATTTTGCACAAACACTGAAACTCTCAAACAGCCAAGTGAGCTTTGCACCAAACTACAGAACACACAGAGCTAGAGAGTTATCACCACCAAAAGAATTTATCCAGTACTATTTCGCTACAATTCAACGAGCGGCCCAACCGATTCCTTGGTTCCCCTTGTGAACCAGTAGCAACAACAGCTAAGACTGGACAGGCCTGGGAGCCAGTGGGAAGATATATGTGTGGACGCGCAGAACCCCCGTTAAATTTAGAAAGCAGGTGCTGAAAGAAAGGAGCAGCTGGGGAAAGAAAGGAGCCCATCCATATCTCTTTAGAACAGCTTAGGTTTATTAAATACAATAAATAAATACACAGTGAAAGCTTTCCCACAGCACAATGCAATGCCTTTATCCACCTAGTTGGCAGAGGATGACTTCCTTAGGGTCGGGAGGTCCTCACCAGAATTGCACATGGATCAGGCTGTGCTCTTTGGCACTGGTGCGGCTAGAGACTGCCCACTTCCAGGGGCACAGCAGGAGTACCAGCACTAGACAACCTGAAAACTGGGCACTGGAGACAAGGCCATATCCCTTTCCCTCCCTGCAACGAAAGGGACGGGGGAGCCTCTCTGAAAAGTGCTGGGAAGAATGTGCAAGATGATGTTAGAGTTGCGTAATGTTTATGAGTATAATATTAACAACAAACAATAATGATACACAAACCAAGGAAGGGGGTGTCGCGAAGAATAAGACCTGGGCTCTAGGATCACAAGCTCTCTCTTACTTATCTGGCCACAGCCAAGAGCCTAAATCGGGGTACTCAGGATTGAACCTGTGGTCAAAGAGGCACCAGAGGGATCCTGCACTGCACTGGAAAAGCCACACAGCCTGCAGGGCCAGATTAAAAGAACATGAGGCCACACAACTCTGACGCCAGAGAAACACTTCTGTTTCCTCGTGTGCACACAGACATTGCCTAAGCATTCAGAAACAGGTACGGGAGCTGCGAGGCAAGTCGAAGTAGTGTCTTCTCTTTAGCTGGGGCCCTGTGCTAAAGAACATTTAGCTGAACTGTGGTCTCACGTCTCGATAGAAAGATTTGTAAGATGCCATAAAGCAAAACAAAAAAGATGATGGTGCAGTTGGCTGAAAGCCAACACTATCCTGGTGAGGGAACCTAATCCATCAATATTCGGAAGAGTCAGCAATACATTCTCACTCCCTCAAACAATGAGGGAACAGATGCCGGGGGACTTCTTTTCCTCCAAGCACGGCGCTGATGCCCAACTGGGTAAGAGGTCACGACCTTCAACTGCTAGGCACATAGGGCAGGGGGCAGCTGTCAACGCAATACAGAGGAGCAATTGCAAGGCAGGGAGTGGCCAAGACTGACAGATTCCCATCCAGTTAGAGAGACTAATGTCTGTAGCTCTGCAACCTCTGCTGGAGTTCACAGATGTGATTCACGCGGGCCAAAGTCTTACAAGGCCGCAGCGCTTTAAAGGGCCTTTTCCCGGTTGCCAATCCATGTGGGACACGGGCCAAGCAGGAGAGGGCTTCTTGATGGGGAGGCATTGGCACTAGGGCTTCTTCTTGCACCCACCCTGGCAGGGAGCATCCAAGGCCTTCGTCGCAAAGGTGTAATTGGAGGAGGGCCAAGGGTGAGGCGAGTGAGCTACCCTCCTTCTGGGTGCCGTTTCTGCCGCTGCTGCTACTACCTCCAGCGGGTCTGATAGATGAGTGGGTAGAAAACATTCAGTAAGAGGGCCACAATGGCTGCCATGGTGCCCAGGACAAAGTATCGGACACGGCCTTCATCGGGACAGTCTGGGGCGAGGTGCCTTGTTCTTCGGCTGCAAGACCTCCAAGGGCTCCTCATCAGCCTCCTGGCAGCTTCCTCTTCAGCCTCCAGTTCCTGCCAGAGCAGAGAAGCCTGCGATGTGGAAACCTGCGTCAGCACTTGGTGAGAACACAGCAGCAAACCCCTCAGTCACCCACACGCTGCCCTGCCCCGAACAGCCTGCCTGCAAGCGCACCTTTCCCACGGCAGATCTCTCTGCCGCGGCCCCACAGATTTTCTGCCCCCCCCCCGCTATACAGCTCCAGTAGTTCAGATACGGGGGCCTCCCAGGGACAGAGTGAGCAGCACAAGCCACAGAAGGATGGAGGGCAAGCGAGCCCCAGCTTGTCAGAGTGAGGCATCCATGCTGGCTGGCTGGCTGGCTGGCTGGCTGGGGTCAGAGTTCTTCCCCCCCTGTCTGCAAGCGTCAGCACCAGCTCAATCCTTTCAAAAGACCCAGTCACCAAAGTCATCACAGCCCAGACTTCCTTGTGTGCGCAAATGCACTGGACCATTCAGCCACACTGGGTGAGAACACGAGGATCATTCATAAACAGCCAATCGCAGTTGAGCTTTTGCTGGTGACAACATGAGGATCTGATGGCAGGCAGTCACATCCAAGCGCTTGCAGGTGGGAACATGAGGATCTTTCGGAAGGATGACAGCTAATCAACAGCTCAGCTTTGGCAAGTGGAAAAACCATGAGGAACATTCAGAGATGGCAGCCAATCATAATCACTCTTGTTTCTTTTTTTAAAAAAACCACAACAATAACCACACAGTTGCACAGGAGTTAGTTGCAGAGTAACCAGTCACAGACCAGCTCTTCCACGTACAGAAAAATCATTCAGACCAGTCAGCCAATCATTGTGATTTCCTAGATAGAGGTTTAAAGGCGGACAGAATCTGTCTTATCTTCCCCACTCCATCCCTTGGGATCTGTGCACAGGGGGTTCCCGCTGCTTCCAGACCTCCCATATTCTAAAGCTGGTTGGGGAGGGTGATGTTTTATAGCTGGTTTGAGGCGCCAGTTTCACTGCACGGGTCAGCTGCCAGAGTCCACAGGCACAAAGTGAATCTTAGCTTAAGGCACACAGGCCCCTCTGGCAGCTTCTCTGAATCGATCTGTCTGCATCCTCTCCTCCTGAGTAGGCCATGTGGTTCCAATCGGTCTTGGCTTGCTGGGCAGGTGGCCAGGGGCAAAACGCACTGCCCAGCTCCAGCAAGAAAGGGCAAGAACAATGCGGCCTGCCCCGCAGCACAGCCTCGGAGCTGAACCCCTGCCTAGGAAGCTGTCCTGGGCAGGATGCCACCACACCACATGGCAGAACCCCAGGAGACGCCAGTGCCCCCAACCCAAGTGCACACTGGAGGCTCTCGTCCAAGTGGCTGGCATTGCCTCAGAAAGCGCAGTGCTAGCCTTCCGTCTCCCCGGTCCCTACCATGTTAATGGCTGGGAGCAGAGTGGAGGGGAAAGAGAACGGAGAGGCTCTCAAGCCAACAGCAGCGCCGAGTGCACGGCAGTCTACAGTGCTGGAATCAGGCCCCTTAAAGTACGGCACCTTGGCTGCTCAAGAACCATAGCATTGCCGTTTCTCTGGCACCTTTCCCTCATCAGCTTATTCTGCACGGAACTTGCTGCTGTCACCCGCAACTCTGAAGCCAGCACCCTCCATATTGAGGGGATCTCCCCCCCCCAGCCAATTCCCCACCCACCCGCAGGCGCCTTCGACTCAGGGCAGCCTTCCTGTTCTTGAGAAGGGCCTCTCTGTTCCTATCAAGACCTTCCCCCGACAGCCTTGAATGTTTGTCATTTTTCCAGGACGCAACTGTTGGAAGGAGGCCCACAGCCCAGCCAGAGCCGTGAGGGGGAGCCAGCAGTCCCTTGGCTCCTCTATCAGCAGTAGCGAGGCCCGTTAGCAGGCCAAGGCAACACTTTGAGGTGGGGAAGACAGGCAGCTCCCCCCAAAGCCCTCACCTGATTGGCTGCTGCCTCGGCAGATGGGGCCATGTCGGCCCGAGGGTCTGAGGGATGCGGTGGCCCCCGTGGGGGTCTCTCCACTGGAGAGTTTCGTCGGCGGTAGAAGAGCACGTAGGCGTATCGCGTCACCACCTGGCTTTCATCCACTGTGGTGACGGTGCTGTCATCGAAGAGCCGCCATCCTGTGAAAGGGGACAAGGAAGGGATAAGCACACCAAGCTCTGTGACCCACTGATGAGGCCACACTGCCTGATCCTCACCTGTCCTTCACTCTTGCAGGAAGGCAAGCACAGTCTCCTGGTCTCCCATGCATCAGGAATGAGCTACCCAGTGCACTCACCCAAATTTAGCCCACAGCCTACCAATGCGGTAGGCTCCCACAGCCTTGCCTTGCTGCCCAATGTGCATTCATGGGTCCTGCTTCCCTGGCAGAGGTTAGCAGACTTGTGGGGGATTTTGCAAAGATGCCAGGACACTCCAGAATTAACTGAGAGTGATGAAGCCGGCAAGTGGGATCCTGTCACTATGTGAACCTATGAAATGTTTCCCCACCTACATGGACACTCTCTAATACTACAGTCATATTCACAAGTCCTAAAACTACTATTTATTCTTCGGTGTTATTAATTGTCAAGGGCAGTATGTATTGGGGATTCATCAGATTCCCTTCTACCAAATCCCACTGTCAGCAAATTCCAAGCAATGGAATGAACAAACTGACAGGAAGTTAGGAAGGAGAAGGGAGTGCAGGGCATGGCAGCCCTATTCCCATGAATGACAAGGTCGTTGGCCCACAATGCTTACAAAGTAACCAGCTACCAACCCGACTGGTCAAGATTGCTCACATGCAGAACAGAGAAGAAGAAAAAGATTCTGCTTAGAAAACACTTCTATATGATGTTACTCAAAATAAAATAAACAATACAGTCGTACCTTGGATCCCAAACGCCTTGCGAGTTGAATGTTTTGGCTCCCGAATGCCGCAAACCCAGAAGTGAGTGTTCTGGTTTGCAAACATTCTTTGGAACCCGAACATCCAACAAGGCTTCCGATTGGAAGCTGCATCTTGCTTTCCAAATGTTTTGGAAGTCAAATGGGCTTCTGGAACGGATTCCATTTGACTTCCGAGGTACCACTTTATATCCTTAAAACACTCAAATTAGACCTGCTTCCCAGTCTTCCAAAATCCTACTGTATGAGGACCTGGCTCTAAATTCAATCTTGAGAGGCTGAGGAAGCAATGACAAGTATTCAGAACAATCTCCCTGGAACTTACTAGTACAGAGGGGTCCAGCTCTTTTTGACTGTGCATGTGCACCACTGCATCAAGGCCTCTCCCATCATAAAGGAGGAAGGACAGTGATTTTTCTTTGCAAATGAGTGGTGGAGGCCAAGCTGTGCTGAGGAGAAAGCCTTTTCTTGCCCTAAATCCTACTTAAAATGTGAAGCCTTCTCCTCCCTTGCACCTGAAACATTCAGCACTGACTATGGAGGAAGACCCTGCTACTTCCTCATTGATGCCTTATCAAAGCAGCAATGAGTGCCCTAGCCAAGATCTTTCTCCTTGTGTAGGTCTCTGAGAAGATTCTACATCAATGGCTGGAACTTGGCTAGACAATCGATGGCTACCAGACCACACGAAGCCCGCCCCGGCAACTCACCCACATCACTGCGTTGGCTGTTCTTGTCACTGGGCAGCCGCGCATAGGCTGTGTAGTGTCCACCAATCATGCCCCCATAGTGGTTGATAACTGCATACAGGTCATACATGGGCAGCTGCTGCTCATCCTTCTGGCCAATGCAGAACTTGCTCAGGTCCAAGCTCCTGGGGACAGAGATAGGAATAAGGTACATAGCTGTCTTAACTTGTCCTAGCTATATGTGTTTCAAGCCAGGCAATAGAAGAAGTCTGCAGGTTGCTTTGAGAAGTGGGCTGAGTTCCCTATCCCAACAAACTAAAGACTGGGAGCGAGGTGTTCCTAGCTTGCTCTGTTCAAAACGGGCAGATTTTCAGAAGAGCAGCCACTGGAATTGGTTGCAGCATGGATCAAGTTTACTTAGCGGTAGCTTGAGCCTACTTTCATCAGACACATGGTGGATACACATGCACCACAATTGAGGACCTAACAATGCACACTTGACTACCACATGCATCCGATGAAGCAGGCTCTGTGAAAGAGGAATGTGCTGCGGCCTCAACATGAAGGCACCCCCAGTCTATGCTTCCTGCCCCTCCCAAAAGATTCAACCCAACTTCAGTTCCACCCTCCCTTCCAAACAACAGGGTGGCCAGTTAGGCTGCCTCCTTGCCACACTGGACGTAAATGCAGGCAAAAGGGTTGACAAGCCTAGCCTGAGCGCTAAACACCCTTGGTGCTAAGACAGGGCCCACCACTGCAGCCACATCTGATCCAGGCTTGGAGTGGAGGGAGATGCCTTCCTTGGGCTTTCCTGTGCGAAGTCCAAGTGGGAGCAAAGGAACACAAAGTGCAGCAGCATCTCCTCACCGCACTGGGAAATCCACCATGTCGTTGATCTTGTCTCTCCAAATAAAGCTGCGGAAGGAGAAGCGCTTGAGCTGTATGATGAGGACGTTGGGCAGGCGCCACAGCATGAGCTGCTTGGATGCCTCACGGTGCTGCTTACATTTCGGGCAGTACCTGTGCGGGGGAAAGGGGGGGGTCTGTTAGCTTCCCCTGCTGCCAGTTCTGCTCTTTACCAACCCCTGTTTTGCCGCACTACGGAAGACCGAGGCATCCTGTTTGTGTTTCTGAGATCAAAGGGTTTAGAAACAGGCTTTGATCACAGCTGCAGTATGCAGCATTCAGCTGATGGGAGAATGTGAGCTCTTTAATTGGAAGAAGGGGGCTTCCACCTGGCATGGTTTCAGAGAAGAACGTGACTGAATGCGGGACATGCTGAAGCATGCCTGAGGAGCCCAGGAATTCAACAGAACTCTCAGTCCTCTTCAGGCCCTCCACAAACTCCCAATAGTCCCTCCTGTGCAGCACTCGGCGGCCATCTGTCTTGGATGCTTTAGCTGAGATTCCTGCATTGCAGAGGGCTGGATCAGCTGACCCTTGGCCGTCTCCTCCCAATTCCACGAATCTATGATCCTATTATCACTTCAGAGTTTGGAAGCAGTAACCATTTCCCAGCCTACAAAGGCTGCATATCTGAACCTCAAAACTAGCTGCACAGTGTATACGTTTCACAGACACTTTGGGATCCTGCGTATGGGGTTGTCCCTGCCCACAGAGAACCCTTTCTTACCAGGCCTCCTCTGGGGCCAACACCTCTGGCTTGGTGAAGAGGTTGAGGCACTGCTCCAGGGTGAAGTGCCCTGCCCTGGCTGCCTCACTCGCAGAGCCGGGATCCTCTACGCACTCCAGCTCCTTGGACTCTACCAGAACAAACTCCTTCATCCTCTCGTTGTTCTTCCAAACCAGGGCCAGAGAACAATCATCGGTCAGGTCAAGAGGGACATCTCCTGCAAGGGTACGGAAGTTTACAGATGGTGCTACCCATCTAAACACACCAGGCCAAAAACAAACACCCAAGAAATAAGAACCAGAGCAGGGGTAGCCAGTGTAGTGGGGCCTCCAGCAGTTGTGGACTGAAAGCATAATCAGGTCCAGCCCAGCCAGGTCAATGGTCTGGAATTAGGGGAGCCATAACTTCTAGAGGGTGGTCATATTGGCCACCACCAAACTAGGGGCAGTCCGCCTTTCTCCTGTTTAAGAACATAGAAAGGGTGTATGGAGCAAGAAACATGAGAGAAGAGGGAGGCAACTCCTTATCAAAGCTAGTTTCAATTCTTTGTGAGCAGGAAGATTTGCAAGCTTGTTCATAGCTCACCATGATCCTGCAAAGCGAATTGCTACTAAGCCCAAATTTCACATGGATGGAACTGGGGTCAGGCCAAGGAGATTACTCCTCTCTAAAGTCACCCAAGCGGAGCTTGCAGCCAAACATTCCACTAGATCACATGCTGGCCCTCCAAGTAACGGATGGGAAAGCCACCAAGGCCGCTTAAAATGAAAGACTGGGTGTAGGAGTGTGGGGAAAGATACCCAAGACAAAGCAGAAAAGGAACAACTGCAGGCCCCATTGTCTGTTTCTGCAACTGTGTAGCATAGGTCAACGTCAACTATGCTGAAGGAGGAAAAGCCAGGAATTCCAGCTCCAAGGACTGTGCTTTCCTCCCCAGAACTTGTGCTCGTTTGGCACTCCTTCGGGTGGGTTGCTTGTATCCCACACAAATGTGGTAGTGGGAACCATAAATCAGCATCCTGAGAATTGGGACCGACAAGGGCCGCTGAATTCTAATAGAAGTCCTCTATGGGACAAGACACCCAACTAAGATTTCCAGCAGCCAGGTTCTTGCATAGCTTCTTATCCCTTCCCCATAGCTACCAGAAAGATGTGGAATAATAAATACAGGTCTGTATGATTCACACAGATAGCAGACTTCAACCTTGTGTGCAGAGTGTGCATAATTTTAGCCCAGGAGAGACAGCCCCAGCTAGAGCTGATCAGCAGCATACATGCATTCCTTTAGGGGCTCAACAGCACCTTGCACTGGATAAACAGATTAGATCCAGCCTCTATCACCACAGAAGATCTCCCAAAGCAAGGATGGGGCCCTCTCAAAACGCCAAGCCAAATGTTCCAAGACGGCACTGCTTTCAGAACCCCGAGATTTTAACCCTCACCTTTGTCCTCCAGCTTCTGCTCTTTGTTAGTGGCATCAATTTTGTTGATGTAGAACTGGGTAGCGTGGGAACTCAGCCCCTCAGCCGGATGCTGGTAACCTGGGATGGCAGCTGTAGGCAAGCAAGGGAGGGATGGTGAGTGGCAGCAGCTCAGCCGGCAGCCCCTTCTTTCCTCTGCTCAGCCACCCTATCCCCCTTTCCACAGCTGGGACAGCATTTCATCTACAAAGCCATGGAGATGGCTGGGGTCTTCAGGAACCGCACAAAACACAGGAAACGGCCCTGCTTCAGGATATTCATATTTGCTTCTTGTCAGCTGTGTTATGTTCTGCTGCTTAGAAGCCTCCACCCTACTCATCATGAGGCATGTGGAATAAATTGTTTTCCTAATCCCACTTTTGGGGAATAACGGGGACAAAAACATTTGGTATGTCCCACAGAGAAATTTACGGTCTGCAAATAAAAACATCCTAAAGATCCCAGGCCACAGAGAGGTTAGGCTGGCCTCAACTAGAGCCAGGGCTTTCTCGGCCGCGGCTCCAATCTGGTGGAACGCTCTGTCACAAGAGACTAGGGCCCTGCAGGACCTGACATCCTTCCGCAGGGCCTGCAAGACAGAGCTGTTCCACCAGGCCTTTGGTCACGGCGCAGCCTGACCCCCTCCTCTGGCAATCTGCACAGAATTTTGCTTGATGGTTGCCATTAATTTGATTTTAATTTGATTTAATTAATTTTATAATGAATGTTTTTAGAATGTCGGACTATTTTGATTGTTGTTAGCCGCCCTGAGCCCAGCTTCGGCTGGGGAGGGCGGGATATAAATAAAAATTATTATTATTATTATTATTATTATTATTTAATAAAGTTGCTTGATTTTATTATTTTGATTCTCCTTCTTCTTCTTATTTGGCTTCTGGTATCTAAGAGCAGAGGCTGTTGGGAAATTTGCCTGCTGCCTACAGAGCTCCTCGTGCAACAAGCAGCCCCAAGGAACACTGGTGTAACAGCTGTACCGAAAAGGGGTGAGAAACCCCTTGGGAATGCAGACGGTAAAAGGTCAAGGTAAAGGTACCCCTGCCCGTACGGGCCAGTCTTGCCAGACTCTAGGGTTGTGCGCTCATCTCACTCTATAGGCCGGGAGCCAGCGCTGTCCGCAGACACTTCCGGGTCACGTGGCCAGCGTGATGAAGCACACGGAAATGCCGTTTACCTTCCCGCTGGTAAGCGGTCCCTATTTATCTACTTGCACCCGAGGGTGCTTTCGAACTGCTAGGTTGGCAGGCGCTGGGACCGAGCAGCGGGAGCGCACCCCGCCGCGGGGATTCGAACCGCCGACCATGCAGACGGTGGGGGGCTTTAAATAAGGCCCATTCAGATTTGCCTACCTTCCGGCTTGGGGAGTCTCTCAAAGGGCCCCTCCCTTTCCACAAAGCTGTCAGCCCGTGTGTCCAGGGAGGGCTCGGAGAAGCCCGAATCCAAGCTCAGCCCCGAGCCTCTTCCTGTGGGGACCTTGCTTCTCACAGCGCTGGCGTCCCCCAGCTCAGGGGCCGAGAGAGATGGCTGGGGTTCCTGCGGCAGATGTGGGGCCCTGGCCCCGTCTCCCGACTCCATGGCGGTGGAGGCCTCATCGGCGGCAGAAGCCGCGGCGGCGGCAGACGCGACTGTGGCGCTGCTGCTGCTCCGGGCCAGCGCCTCTGGCTTCTCAGGAGGCTGGTGCTGCAAGCCTTGCTCTGGCGACATCCTGCCCACCTGGAATGGCGGCTGGAACACGCTGACAGAGTACCTGAGCAGGGAGAAGAAAAGCCGTCCACTAAGAGGACAAAAGTAGAGACACCACCTTGCCAACAAAGGTCTGTATAGTAAAAGCTATGGTTTTCCCAGTAGTGATGTATGGAAGTGAGAGCTGGACCATAAAGAAGGCTGATCGCCGGAGAATTGATGCTTTTGAATTCTGGTGCTGGAGGAGACTCTTGAGAGTCCCATGGACTGCAAGAAGATCAAACCTATCCATTCTTAAGGAAATCAACCCTGTGTGCTCACTGGAAGGACAGATCCTGAAGCTGAGGCTCCAATACTTTGGCCACCTCATGAGAAGAGAAGACTCCCTGGAAAAGACCCTGATGCTGGGAAAGATGGAAGACACAAGGAGAAGGGGATGACAGAGGATGAGATGGTTGGACAGTGTTCTCGAAGCTACCAGCATGAGATTGACGAAACTGCGGGAAGCAGTGGAAGACAGGAGTGCCTGGCATGCTCTGGTCCATGGGGTCACGAAGAGTCGGACATGACTAAACAACAACAACAACAAAGAGGTCACAGCCTGTCTGAAGAGGGAATGTGCTGCTGGCACTGAGGAAGGAAATGAAAGCTTCCTTGCTGCCTCGGCCAAAGCCTACAAAACGAGCCAAACAGCGGCGGCTGGCCAAGCGCCCAAGAGCGCTGCCAATACTCCGGCTACCTTACCTCGCGTAACCTTCCAGAAGCTGGGCCAGCCGTGCATAGGTGAGGCGTGACTCCGGCACGCTGATGAGGAAGGGGAAGCCAATGTTCTCAGGGAGGCACAAAGCTTTGTGGTCGGGCCAGTGTGTTTTCTGGCACACTCTGAAACACACACAAAGACAGCCTCATGCAGAGGGCCACAGGGGCTTGACGCAGCCACCCCAGCCCAGCCTGGGAGCAAGAGACGGCTCTCGGCTACGGAGAGGGTGAAAAAAAGAAGGGGCGACTTACACGTTGCAATAGCCAACACGGTAGCACCGAGTGCAGCGCTTCAGCTTCTCCTCTTCTGACTGCTGCTTCTTCTGACAGGCGGCACATTTGGTGATGGGAACGCTGGGCACCTGAGGACGCTTAGGGGAGAGAAATTGCCCGCTTAGGGTGATTGGGAAGCGGTGGGCACCTGTACTGGGAAGGTGGCAGGACAGAATGTGTAGGTTTCACCTTGAAAGCCCAAGAGCTTGCTTTCCATCTCCTTCTCGTACAGCTGTATGGAGGGTGTAATGGCAGCTCCTGGCACTTACCTGTTGGACCTGCAGCTCCACCACACGCTCCTTGGCCAGGTCTGGAGAAAGCACTTCAAAGCACAGCAGGAGGTCCGTGGGGGAAACCGTGTCCAACGAGTGCGAAGGCAAGAACATGCGGTGGAAGCGGTTCTTGATTACCTAACCAAAGGAAAGAAGGGAGGTGAAGTCCAGCCCAAAAGATGCCCTTTCCTCCCTCTAGTTTCACACATAAAGGCAAACTTCAGGTTCAGCTACAATGTACCTCTGACCACCAGGTGCTTGGGTTGGGGTGTGGGGCAGAGAGCTAACCAGGGGAAAAGCAATTTGCTCTGCTTCTGAGCTTCCCGGGGCATGTGGACTGTCCAAGATGGAACAATAAGCATGGCCTGGATCCAATAAATAAATCAAATACTGAACAAGCCGGGTATGCAACAAATGCTGCAACAAAATGTTGTGGCGAACGGTGCACCTGTTCTGGATTTCCAGCTGGCCAATCAGGCTCCACTCCAGGATACTCAATTTTCTCATCTTCCTCCAGTTTCCTTTTTTCTTCCAACAGCTGAACAGCCTTGCCACGCCCACCGGGAATGCCAAATCCTCAGAGCAGTTCTGAGCGCATGCCCTAAAGTCCTCCCCTCCCCATTTCAGTAAAATTCCTCCAACTCTGCTGATACCATGTGCATGTTTCTACACTTACACATGGTGGTATTCTGGCTACATAATGATCCACCTGGAAAATGTTCATTATTACTATATAGGTTTGTGCTAGTGGCAGTAAAGCGTCATTAGAACAGCACTGTGTCAGGATGAGGACGGAGTGGGGTGAGGAGACAGACAGACAGACAGACAGACATAGAGCTGCAAAAAAGGGAGGTGGCGGGGAGATCCTTTTGTGTGTGAACAGAATAGGCGGGACTCTCTGGGTTGACTCTTTAGAGTCCTAGCTTAGCCTGGAACAATAATACAGTCTTAGATTTGGGGAGTAGGGAGAATTGAGAACTTGCTGGTAGGAGGAAGAGGAGGAGGAAAAAGGAGATGAATTTGCAGCACTTTTCTAAGCAGCGGGAGGTATTTGCAACTCAGGTTCATGCAACGGTAGATACATATGCTGCAAGGATCCAGTTTAGTCTAATTCCCTAACTGTAAGCATATGGGAGGAATGGGGCTTGGATAGACCATCATTGTCTCCATATGCACCCTCCATATGCTCATGACAATTCCCGCCCCCCCCCCTTGCTCCATCCAACAAACAGGATTTTGGTCCAGGTCTTTTCTTTGGTAGACACTCCAGAGTTTATTCCTGGTGGTGCCTAGTACAGATTAAGTCTTGAGTGCAGCACCAGTTGCTCTGTGGTCAGCCTTTTTTATTTTTAAGCAAGAAATATGTGTGCATGTATAGTCCCCGTGTAATGCATGCCACAAGTACTGAGGTGGGTGTGGGTGCGCACACACACAATACATCATGCACAGCCTAGTGAGAGGTAGTGTTCTGTGTTGATGGTACTCAAATGACATTCTGGAGGCTGCAGGTAAGGGATCCCAATGAAGTGGCCGGACGCGAGAGCAAAGGCAAGAAGCAGAGCCAAATTTTGCATATTGATTGGAAATTTTCTGCCAAAAACCTTGGCTGCCAGGTCACTGTATACATAATGGCTCTCTGGTACCTGGGCAGCCACAGCCAGGGGAGATCAGCCAAGCCTTGTGTTGTGAAAAGGACACGGCATCCACAGAAAGAAAAAGCTGCAGAGGTGATCTGAATGCCAAGAAGCTTCCATTCAGTGAACAAGCCTCACTGCTGCTAAGTAAGAATCCTTAGAACCACAACTTCAGCAGCATTCAGACACAAGACCATGCCTCACCTCAGCCAGGCGCAGGTTATCAGGAGTCACTCGCACGCTATGGGACACAGAGTCTAGCACCTCCAGGGCAGTGGAATTCTCTTTGCTGATGCTCACCAGGAACTGTTGGAAGAGAGCATGTGCTGGGGTGGATATAGCAGGGTGTGTACCCTTGCCAGCCTTCCCTCCCACTCCCTGGTCTCATTAACATTTACTCCTTCGACAATGTAATTCCTGAACTGCACCAGGCTTACCTCACTGGATTAGCCAACCAATCAAAGCTGTACCCGTGGTGTGCCTACTTTCACATGCTCTCTATTGCAATTTAGACATATTTTGAGTTGAAGCACGTGGAACCTGCCCCCAACACATATTGCTTTGCCTCTCAAAGCAGATGTTATTTCCGCTGGTATGTCCCGCTGAGTTTCAGAAATCTCTAAAGCTCAAGGCCGCTCGTGACATAGACACTATTCTGAAGGCGTTTGGAGCGCGAGATAAAGGGATTCATCCTGGGCGGCTGGGATGCTGCTGCTCTTACCTTAACAGGTTTCTTGTGTGGTTCCTTGGCAAAGTAATAGACCGTCAGCACTTTCTGCTTTTGGGGTAGGGGGACTGGCAAATAGAGGAAGGGATCAAACGTGATGGACACCTGCAAGCAATAGGATTTGGCAGTCAATCAGCACCCCCTGGACATAATGCATAGGCAAACCCCCGAGATACAGAAAATGGCGAGTCTGGGGTCAGAGGGCAGCAACCAAAGGAAGGAGGCAGCCTGGTAAAGGGGTCAGTAGCAAAGGATCACCAAAGTCCTTGATGGCAGGACACATGGACCATGGAGTGGAGGATATGGTCCAAGCTAGTGAATAATCACTGTAAAATGAGTAAATACCACCTCCCGCCAAGCTAGTGGAGGAAAAGCAACTTTAGATGCAGGCCACGTTGCCCTGCAGCAGGCTCAGAGCTGCGAAGCAACCAGGAAACCCAATGAGTTGGCACACTACCTTTGAACACACAGGGCACACTAGCTTGGACTTGTACTGGCCCTGGAACAGGTCCACGATGAAGGAGTCGTTCCTCATCTTGTGCCGTTTCCAGGCCTCTTCGGCAACAATCTAGCAGTCAAAAACAAGTAAATAGCAGTGAGGGAACAAAAGCAGGGGTGAGCAAAGGTCCTTCAGGCTCAGCCTAGCCAAGGCGTCCCAACAATTGGGCCATTGTATATATTAGATATGTATATATAAAGACTTGCCTCATCAGGTCGTCCATCTGAATCTACCGTTTCAGTGTAGGGCTTGCTGTGAATGCGGTTCAGGTCCTCATGGAGCCCATCCAGCAGAAAAGCCATGAATTCCTGGGCATCGTGTTGAGCATAGCCTGTAAACTGGCTGGCCTTGCTGGCCACAATCGCCTGCAGGATGAAAGGAGCGTCATGAACAGCCAGACGCCTGTACAGCATGATCGGAATGAACGTTCTGCCAGATCAGAGCAAATGGCCATCTAGTCCAGCATCCTGGGTCGTATCCACCTAAGCTCTGCTCAGAACAGACCCAGTAAAATAATGAACCTGTCAGTCAGTCATGTCTATTGACTTCAGTGGGTTTACTAGCATCAGATACAATCTCCTCTTCTCACAGTGGTGCCCAAGGGAAGCCCACAAGCAAAACCAGAGGACGGCGGCACTCTCCCCACCTGCAGTTCTCAGCAAATGGTGCTCCCCTTGTCCTCTCAGGACTGGAAAGAGGGGCAAGTGCCAAGTGAGAGGTGAATGGGCTCAAGAGCTATATAGATAAACAATAACTACCAGGACAAGTGGCTTCAGAAGTGTGCACAGTCCGGATTAAGGTTTCCTAAAGCCCAGAGGCTTCCTGCTTGAGAATCTAAATGGTTGCTGGTGGCATCCAGCGATCCAAAATCATTTCCAGACAGAAGACACAAAAATGGTTTGGGCTTGCATAATTTATCATTATTAAGCTCCCAAGTAATAAAATGCCCTTTATTCCAACACACAGGGGTGTGTGTGTGTGTGTAGTTTTTATACACTGCAACCCATGAAGGGATTGTGTGTGTGTAGGTGTGTGTGTGTGTGTGTGTGTGTGTGTAGTTTTAATACACTGCAACCCATGAAGGGTCCCCCCTGGGGAGCGCTGGCCCACTCTCTAGCAGGGACAGCAGATAAATTTTGCTTTCACTGCCAACAGTGCTCCCCAGCAGTGGCGTAGCGTGCGTTGTCAGCACCCGGGGCAAGGCAAGTAATTTGCGCCCCCTAACCCGTGGATTTGCGCCCCCTAACCCATGGATTTGCGCCCCCTAACCCATGGATTTGCCCTAACCCCAGATGTTGCGCCCGGTGCGGCCGGCCCCCCCTGCACCCCCCACGCTACGCCACTGCTCCCCAGAACAGCACTTTGCTTGGAGCATACAGTAACTATAAATACACATGGAAGAAAGCAAGTGACACTCTTGTTGTTTAGTTGTTTAGTCGTGTCTGACTCTTCATGACCTCATGGACAAGAGCACGCCAGGCACTCCTGTCTTCCACTGCCTCCTGCAGTTTGGTCAAACTCATGCTAGTGACACTCTAGTGGAAACTATTGGAAGGGGATTAAAGCTGTTCCCTGCCCCCAAATGACCCCCAGCAGCTCCCTGAGAATCAAGCTTGCTACAAACTGCACAGCCCAACCCTAAGCAGCTTCTTGGTCACAAGCACTGGGAACCTGCCTCCGCACAGCAAAACTACATAGGCATGCGTGGACCACACACACACACACACACACACACACACACACGGCCTCCTGCTGCCCACTTGGGCAGCTCATCCTCTCAGCCTATATATGCTTCTGCAGGGATACCTCACCTTCAGCTTGGAGGGCTGGAAGGCGTGGTGTGTGCCTTTCCAAAGCGCCCTCAGCAGCACTGCAAAGCCGATAGCCAGGCGCCCCCCAGTTCCCAGGGGATTGTTGTAGTTGATTTCGGACTCAAAGGAGTGATCTACAGGAGTGTAAGTGAAAGAGAGAGAAAAGGTGATGGAAGGTGGAAGGTGAAGGCCAACCATGGTACGCACAGAGACAGGTCCAGCCCCGGTCCCACTCTGAGATACAGCTTACCATGAAAGAAGTCCCGCAACTCCCGGGTGTTGGAGAGAGACTGGATAACACTGTTCATGAAGCAGGTGTTGCCCAGGTTCACCAGCCCCGTGAAACCGGGCAGGCACACCTTCTTGTCCTCCTCCTCCTCCTCTTCCTCCACGCTTTCGCTGCTGACGGGGCTGTGAGTCATGGGTGGGACCATGCATGTTGGCTTGGGCTGGAGGGGAAGATGCTAACACAGTCAAGGAGGCAGCTTCCATTGGTTGCCAGGCTCTCTGTCTTGCCCACAGTTTCCAGGCTCTGCATGCTGGATTTCTATGGTCACCACCCCACTTTCCCCCTCCTCTCTCAGGCACAGAAACCCAGGCCTTGCTCACATTTAACTTTTTAAACAATCATTTATTATTCATACACACTCCCCAAAATGGCTAATCCACCCTAATTAGAAGATCGCATAGATGCTCTTTGTTCACTGGCATGGACAGCAAGAACCACACCCATATGTGGAGGGTTCAGCCTTATCAGTTGCATATACCCCCAATTACCTGCTGCTGGAGGTACCGCCCTCTGTTGTTTTTCTGTAAGAACTTCCCCAATGGACTTTACCTGCCCACTGTCAGAACATAACTGCTGAGATAAAATGCTGGACCCAGCCCTGCAATTCTTAAGTACATATTCTTACATTACTTTTGATTTTCCTTTAACTTATGTCACCCAGTGCACTTCCCACATGCTAAAAGCAAACGCATTCTCTGAATGCCGATCCTTATGTATCCAAAACAGCAACAACCATGCAAAGCATGAAGGCACCCTGAGATTTGCAGAAGCGCAGAAAGTGCTTTTAACCTGATGGCAACGTTCCTTCCACCCCTGCCCCACCTTATGACTGCTCACATGTGCATTCACACGTCCAAGGAAGTTATTAACAGCCTTAGTTCCAGAACTGCCTCCCTGCCTCCATCTTCAGAAGCTTGACTTTTCCCATATCCCTACTGGCTAGGAAGGGGAAGAGGGAGGTAGGTAGGTAGGTAGGTAGGTAGAGCGTGTGGGTGTGTGGGTGGGTGTAGTGGCGCGTCCTTTGCTGGTGACAAGCTCCCTGCCTCAACTTGATGCAAGATCAGGAAATTTCCTCGCACTCCCCCTGGTTCAGAGGCAGTGCAGGAAACGGTTTTCCCTGAATGGCTCCCCTTATGCTGGAAAGGTGGTCTGGAAGGTGCAGATTCAGCTGGCTAACAGCCAGCCAGATCTCCACCTTCAGGCACCAAATAGGAAAAAAAACAGCCATAGGGCTATTTCCATCTAAACAGCAGGAACACATTGTCCCACCCACAAGCAACATTTTGTTGCAGCTCCTCACTCCTAACTCATTGGCCGTTGTAATAATCCGCACAAGGTTGAAACGCGTTATAATCCAAGTAGCTCCTGCCTTCAGCCCACCACCTCCCCTGACTGCGTGTCTGCCTGAGCCCTAGAGACTGGGGTTCGAAATTCCCAGCGCAGGCCAGGAGTCCTCACCGAGGGGACGAGTGGTTCTTGCTTCACTGGCACATGTTCCGTCACCGTCCGAGCGGCTACGCCGTCCAGGCTGCTCTCCTCTGCTCGCGGCTTCTCCTTCTCTCCCACTCGTGCCTCCTCCTTAGTGGACAGCGGGTGCTGGTTACTTCCAGGCTGGCTTTTATCCAGGGGAGTAGGGCCTGTTGGCATGGCAACCTTCGCACCACCCACTGCACCTTAAAAAGGGGGAAAAGTGGGCTTGTGGTTAGCAGCACATGTGCACTGAGAGGTGAGCGGCGGGCTCTTCCCTGCGCCAGCGCCAGGACGCTTGCTGTGCAGTGAGCCCGGCTGCCCTTCCTTGCTTAAAAAGAAATGGTGGGGAACCTGTTCTGGACTCCAAGCAGACATCAGAGCATCCGTCCTCTTTCACACCCTCCATCTGGAGCTGGTCCTCTCCCCAAGTAATTGCTGACCTCAACATCCCCAGCCAACAACGGCATTCATTTCATACCATTTCTATAACGCCCTTCATCAGAGGATCATAGAGGGTGGTTTACAATCACAAGGCAGTTCACAAATAAGTAATACTCATAAGAATATCTGACGCTGAAGCCCCAGCATCCTTGCCAAACCTCAAGAATCCCAACAAGGCGAGCTCACAAAAGTCAAGGTGCAGACCTCGTGCGGCAGGAGCCTCGAGGCCCCCCCAGCGCTGGCTGTGCCGCTTCTTCAAGCAGATGTCGATGCGAGCGGGGGTGAAGTTGTACGTACACTGGTCTGGCTCTATGAGGTTCCTGCAAAACAAGGCAAGCCAACCAGGGATCAGAGAACAGGAGGTGTAGACCTAACCTAAGGATGTCTGGGCATCACAGAAGAGCATAACTCCCAAAGTGCTCTGCTCATCCCATTACATAGGAAGGTGGGGGGGAAACCTTCTCCAAAAGGGACCCCACGCTAAAGGTTGCCCACCTTATTACAATTTCTGGCAAATTGGGCTCAGGCTACTGGCACTGTTGTGTCCACGTGGCACAGTAGGGAAAGAGGGGACAGGAGAGTGTACCCACTTCTCCAGCGCAGAAGTAAAAACGGGAAGTAGCTACCCAGCTTGCACAAGTTCACACGCTTTAGACTGGGCTGTCCGGCAGCGTGTGATCAATACGAAGGTTGCTTCTTGTGCCACAGAACAGAAAAGTGGGTAGGAGGCTTATTTAGATTATGATGCAGGGACAGCTAGGCTTTGTTATGTCTGATTGCTGGTGTGTATTAGCAAAACAAAGCCATAGCAACTGACGACAAAGAACCCCATTTTTAAAAATCTACAATATCGTCACTATGAAGGGAAGAGATACCTCAGCACCTCTTTTATCCAGTGTCCCAGGCCTGGGGCCCCAGCGTAAAGTAATATACATTGATTTAGTAATATACTAATTCATAGACCTTAATTCAGAAGGGAGAAGAGCTGTGTCAGATTGGTGCTGGATGTGCAGGTGGGGAAGAGCAACAGAAACACTGTCTATACCATTAGTGCAGAGAAGGAAAGTCTTATACCTGAGTTTCACTTGCCACCTGAATACTGTATGAGAGCCACAATCTGGATGCAGTCGCAGGAAGTTGACATCACTGCAAAGAGAGAAAGAAGCTCAGGCAAAAGAGACAGACAGGAGCCATCCCTTCCCTGCTGTCGATCCCAGCTTACTGGCAAAGTCCAGTTCTGGGAAGGAAAAGCACTTGGCCTCTGAACCAGGAGTCGCCATACCTTGTCTGGAACAACAGTGTGAAGTCCTGCTCCCGAAAGAGCACCCTGGACATCGCCTTGTGAATCTCCTTCACATAAACGTGCACCACCATAGAATCGTTCCCTTTCTCATACGAGTCGTTCTTCACGAACGTCAGATTCACTGTGGGCTCTGGTTCTGGGAGGGGGGGGGAAGCAAAAGCAATGACAGTAATGACAGTAATAGAGGTGCTCTGAATAGCGCCTCTGCACCATCCTCAGCAACAGCAAGCCAGAGAAATGTGACCAGGGAGCTAGAGAGCCCAGCATGTGACCTAAATTCTCAAATAGGGTTTGTCTCCTGGGGTCAGGTAGGAGGAGTTGGAAATAGATCAACCAGACATTAGTCTGCAGAATGCACCGGAGGCAGCGTGCACTTGAAACGTTAAAATTCAGCATCCAAAAATTAAATTACATGACTTATATACCTTATGCAAATTTACATAAATTGTTTAGGCTTCTGCCAATCACAAAGAGCAGCAAAGAGCTATGCAGAGCACAAGACCCACGTCTCCCTTGCCATTGTGAACAATTGCACTGTTCCACTCCTCTATCAATTTCTGGCTACACAATGCCCAGTGGACAGATCATATACCAAGCTGGATTACAAGTCCATCTAGGCTGGTATTGTCCACTGTGACCAACAGTAAATCTCAGACAGAGGCATTCCCAGCCATGGCCTTTCTTGCTGCCTAAACAATTTCAAGCCTAGGCTAACACCTTGTTTTAAAAATAAAAACAGAGCTTTTCAGGATGCTGAATTCTCCACCCAATTCTGATGTGGTACTTCTTGTGAACAGCTCAAAACATAGCCCTTGTCGAATGTTACTGACATTGCATATTTGTTATGGGGGGGAGAATCAATAAAAATTACATATATAATATATATATATTATATACATATATATAAACATAGCCTTTGTCCACAACCAGTTCTTGCCTAATAATAACAACAACAATTTTATTATTTATACTCTGCCCATCTGGCTAGGTTTCCCCAGCCACTCTACAGAAGGTAGGTCCCACTTCTACTTCATAGACCAATTCAAACTATTTCTTAAATGGGTGAGCATGCAGGAACCCCATCCCCTCCCTCACCATTAGCAACAGCCTCAAGGGCATTGCTGTCCTCGGACCGGCCTCTTTTCTCAGTGTCCCTGGATGGCGGAGAGGAGGTGAGGCCTTCGCTGAAGGCAGAAGCGACTTCTGGCCCCTGCGGAGTCTCAGAGGAAGTGGCTGGCTGTGGAGCCCTCTTCTCTGGGCAGGGCCGAAGCTGGCAGGGCAATGAGTCTGCAGAGACTGTAAGCAGCTGCGTTTCCACGGGCACCGACACCCTCTCCAAGTTGTCAGCCTGGAAATGTAGGGAGGAGAGAAGGCACAATCAGATGCAGCAATAGCCACTGCAAAACATGTAACCTGAACCATGCCACAGCGACCTTCTCCTATAAAATTATGTGACGTACGACTAATAGAAAAGAACAAAGGTTGCAGCTGTAGTCCATGGAGCCTCTATGGGTGAATATCACCAGTGTGCAACAGGCACCTGAGGGGTGGACTGCAATGCTTTGCAACATGCTAAGGAACACAAGATACAGTTGAACTGGGAGACTCTTAATACCACCAAAAGCAGCAATGTTTAGTTCTTCTAGCACAGAAGAACTAAACAAATTCAAGGAAATGGACACTGCCTTTAGTGAAGACTGCCATTCCTAGGGCATAGCCATACCTTAACTCTCATTTGAATCCCGTCAGGGGTATAAAATAGTACCGTATTGGCCCAAATATAAGACACACCCACAAATAAACCACACTTTTAAAATTCAAGGCTTATATGTGGGTGTGGCCCGCCTCCTGGCTCTACCGCCCTGAACAAGGGGCAGGCGGCGCCTGGTTCTGAGTGCGCTGCACGCCTGCCTCCAACACTACTGCCTCCCAGCACTAACTCACCAAGCCGGCATGGGGGGAGGCTTGGAAGCGGCAGGCAGGCTGCGCGCCATTGCCCGACGCTTCCAGCCTGCTTCTGGGGGGGGGGGCGGAGCTGCACCACTTTGCCGGCAGCCTTCCCCCCTTCCCCCTTCGTTTTCACAGCTTGGGGAGGCTTAGGAGTCATGGGTGTGCGGCATGCCGTTGTCCCACACTCCCAATGGCCCTCCTGGGCAGCTGTTTCAGCAGCGATATCATAAGGCCATGAATATAAACCACACTTTAACTTTTCCAGATCGGAATTTGGAAAAAAGTGCTGCTTATATTTGGGCCAAAACAGTAATAATAGTAAGAAGAAGAAGAAGAAGAAGAAGAAGAAGAAGAAGAAGAAGAAGAAGATGATGATGGCAGGAACGAATGCATTTATTCATTTTCTGCCCTTTTGCTTCACTAAACACCTGGAAACGGCTTTCTGCACAGTAGGATGCAGTTCAGTACTCGTAACCATTGCTGCACCACAGCTCTTGCACTACAGCAAGGGAATACTGCATCTTAATCTAGTAATTAATCAGAGAAAGAGAAAGCACCAGCTCAGTTTACCTACAGGCAAACTTGGTCATTTCAAGTCCCTTCAGCAACAGGACAAGTGAGCCTCTTGGGTGGGAAAGCTGTTAAAACTTGGAAGGCTCAAGTGAAATGCCTGTTCTCAAAAGTGAGGAGGATAGCAAGCCACAAAACTGGGGGCCAAGTGTCATGAACTCCATGGAGACATCTTGGCAGGACTGGTCTGAGGGGGAGGAAGAATGGGAAGAGGGTTTGGAGCCTGACGCTGGAGAGGGGCCAAGCAGTCTTGAGAGTATTCAGCTGCATGGTGGGGAGAGGGGTCAAGTGGTTTGCTGGGAAGAAGCACCACCCCAATGCCATTGGATGGCCCATCTGATTCGGCCTCCACTCTGCCTTCAGCTAGTGCTTCCCTACTCCAGGGAGGCGGGTGTCTGAACCTAGGTCGGACAGTTGAGCAGGCTCCGCCGACCTGTTTTCCAGGGACACGGCATTGGCCACACAAACAGGGCCCACAAAGGAAGAGCCAAGGGGACATATCACATGTTGACAAAATGCCTTAGCGTGTGCCCAGCCTTGTATCTTGGAGTTCTATGTTCTGAACTCCAGACATGTGTACCTGCATCTATGTTTAGACCATGCAGTGAATTTCAGAACAAGGCCTTTGGCAATAATCGAGGAAGAATTCCAGTAATGGGTCTACAAGCGGAAGCAAGGATGGCACACCTGCATTTTTGATGAGCATCCCAGAGTCTCCTCTCGGCAGGGACAGACCACAGAGCCAAGTCTGCCCTTTCTCTGACTGACAGTCATGTGATGGGAGGAAGGATGCAACCTGTTCCCTTTGCCATCGGGCTCAACGACAAAAAAGCAGCAGCTCCCAGCCTTGAGCCATGCACATCCCTCTCCCCCCGCTTCTCACCTTTAGGTCTGGCGGGGCATCGCCTTGGGCTCCCTTGTCATTTCTCGGGTTGCCGGCTTTCCCACTGAGTCCTGTGCTCCCCAAGCTGTTTCCTTCCTCCTCGGACAGGCTAGCTTTGACACCCACTGCCCTTTTGGCACTAGGGCCAGCTGGCAGTCCTGGACTGGCTGGGCTCTTCCCTCCTGCAGCCTCGTTCCTCCCAGAGCCTCGCTTTGGGTTGGAGGGCTCCCGTTTGCCCCTGGAGGGCTCCGCTGTGCTGTCAGGCTGGGGCTCCTCAGGCACCTCCACCACAGAAGGGGGTTTTCCCTTGCCATTCTCCTTACACGCAGGCCTCTTCGTCTGCTCCCTTGAGCCATCCTTGCAGCGTTTCTGGAAAAAAAATTTAAAGGCTAAAAATTACTATATTGAGTTAGGGAGAAGAGCAGGCTCCTTTCAGACTGAGCTTAATGGATGCAGCCAGACATACACTTGATCTGCTTTTTGCATGTTGGATCAATTACATTAATAGGGGGGCTTGTCGTTGTTTGAGTTATTGGAAGCCTGCTGTGACATTTTTGAAAAGGCGCTCTGAGGATAACATCACTCAGATTTGAACGGAACAGGACACCACAGAGCAAATCCTGAGGTGGTGTCCTGAGCGTTGCCTGGTCCAATTGTATCAGATCAATTTCAATTACAGCAGCCCAATGATGGGGGCAGGGTGCTTGTAAGGGTTTGAGTGATCTGCTATTCTCTCCACCTTCCCTGTAATGGCTTATAAAAGCCAGCCAAGGAGGAATGCTGGATGCGTCCGTTGCCCTTAAGGAGGAGGTATACCACTGCCACTTTAAGAGGAGCTCCCCAGTTCCTTAAGTACTGAATAGCTATTGCCCAGTTGAAAATATCCCCTTTGGGGGCCAGTTGCTCAAAAGGGGTGGGGAGATTCAACTGCAGGCATGCTTGGGAGAAATGGGTTACCTAGAGCCATTTCAATCTGGTTTCAGGCCTGGGATTGGGACTGAAACAGCATTAGTCACCCTGGTTGTTAGAAAAGTGTTGAGGGTGCGGGTGCAACTCTGTTAAATTTTTCTTTACCGCTTGGTCTCTTTTGACCATGGTATTCTTTAGGACTGACTCCAAGGGTCAGGAGCTGGAGGCACTGTGTTGCAGTGGTTCCACTTCTACCTACAGAGGCATGTCCAGGGGGTGGCAGTGAGGACCCCCTGGTTGGTGCCACGGGAACTGACATGTGACTGTGGAACTCCCTGCCTCTGGATGCGCACCTAGCCCCAGCTTTGCAGGTATTAAGAAGACACACCAAGGCACAAGGTTTTGGCCACACTTTTGGAAACTTCTGATTACTGTTAAGGATTTTACCAGTTGTACTACTGTTTTAGTGATACATTATTTACGTATGTATCTTACTGTTGTATTATGAGGTAAGCCAGAACCTTTGGTAAAGGGCAAGTAATAAATGTGTTTAGTAAGTAGTAGTAATAATAATAATAAATGTGGCCCCTTTGCTTACAGGAAACAGATTTAGGCTGGCCATGGGTAACAGGTTGGGGACTGTTTGCCCAGAGTCACAGCAGCTGTTGCGGCTCCCTGCAGTGTATCACTGCTGAGCCAACCCTCAAGGGTCCCTTCCAACTCTAAGATTCTATGAAAGGGTAGTTCGGCTCTCAAATCCTTGCTGGTTTCAGAAAAGGCTGAGCAACGGAACAAAACCCCACCTGCACGTTCAGAATAAGGCGGAATCTTACCAAAAGCGAAGCCCAAGTGTGCAACGGGATCTTCTTTTGTAGCACCAGCTGTAGGATATTGCCCTTCTTGTACTGGACTTTGCTGCAGGAGCTCTCAATCTCCGCAAATAACTGGCAGCTCCACTCACGGCCATCTAAGGGTGGGGGTAGAGATACGGCACATACAACAGTCTTTCGGCTGCATTTCACTCCCCTCCCCCCGCCAATAAGACAACAGAGAGGCAACAGCGAATAGTGCATTGAAGGCAGAAGGTCCCAGGTGCAACCTCTGGCTTCTCTAGTGAATGCCCCTCAAGAGATCAGGAATAGCCTCTGTCCAAAACCTTGGGAAGCCACTGCTAGTCATCGCAAGATAGTATTGGGCTAGATCAGGCATAGGCAAACTCCGGCCCTCCAGATGTTTGGGACTACAATTCCCATCATCCCTGACCACTGGTTCTGTTAGCTAGGGGTGATGGGAGTTGTAGTCCCAAAACATCTGGAGGGCTGGAGCTTGCCTATGCCTGGGCTAGATGGTCTCATGTAGTGTAAGGCAACTTTGTATGTTCACAATGTTTTTGCCAAGCCACAGCTGGATGAAAACAGAAGCACACCTGTGCTGACTTAACCAGGATAGTGCTGCGCTAGTCTCATGAGAAAAGGGTTTTTTGTTTTTTTAAAAAAATATATTTACAGTTCTACAACATTTTGCATCGGGGTGAATAATGTTTCACACAGTAACATTTTTTAAAAAGACTTATGTTGTACTTCTTTTTCCATCCCTTGCAAAAAAAGGGGGGGGCTGGGACTCACGGTCAAGCCTGAAGAAGCGAGCTGAGAGCCATAGAGAATAGCAAATACAGTGGTACCCCGCAAGACGAACGCCTCGCAAGACGGAAAACCCGCTAGATGAAAGGGTTTTCCGTTTTGGAGGCGCTTCGCAAAACGAATTTCCCTATGGGCTTGCTTCGCAAGACGAAAGCCCATAGGGAAATCTCCGGGACAGCGGGGAAGCGGAGCGCTCCCGCTGCTTGCGGAGAGGTCCGCGAAGCCTGTCCAGGACAGCTTTTGAAGGGGGGGGGAAGCAAAGACTTTCGCCCCCCGCCCGCCTTCAGAAGAGGTCCAGGACCTCTTCTGAAGGCGGGCGGGGGGCGAAAGTCTTTGCTCCCCCCTGCCTGCCTTCAAAAGCCATCCGGGACAGCGGAGAAACGCGCTGCCTTTCTCCGCTCTCCCGGGAAGGCAGGCAGGGGGGAGCAAAGACTTTCGCCCCCGCCCGCCTTCAGAAGAGGTCAAGGACCTCTTCTGAAGGCGGGCGGGGGGCGAAAATCTTTGCTCCCCCCCCGCCTGCCTTCAAAAGCCGTCCGGGACAGCAGAGAAACGCGCTGCCTTTCTCCGCTCTCCCGGGAAGGCAGGAAGGGGGGAGCAAAGACTTTCGCCCCCGCCCGCCTTCAGAAGAGGTCCAGGACCTCTTCTGAAGGCGGGCGGGGGGCGAAAATCTTTGTCCCCCCTGCCTGCCTTCCCAGGGGCTTTTAAATCGCCCCGGACAGCGGAGAAGTCCTCCGCTGTCCCGGGCGATTTTAAAATGCCGCCCGCCAGCATTTTAAGATTGCCCCGGACAGCGGAGAAGTCCTCCGCTGTCCCGGGGTTTTTTAAAATGCTGGGGGTGGGAAGAAAAGCCCTTGTCCCCCCCCCCAGCCTTCAGAAGAGGTCGGGGGACAGACTGTCCCCGGACCTGGTCTGAAGGCGGTTTCCCTAGGAACGCATTAATTGATTTTCAATGCATTCCTATGGGAAACCGTGCATCGCAAGACGAAAAACTCGCAAGACGAAGAGACTTGCGGAACGAATTAATTTCGTCTTGCGAGGCACCACTGTAACTATGCCAAGTGAAATCTATTCCCTGAGAGCTGGCATCTCTTGACCCAGACTTTTACTGCTTGCTGTGTCTTGAGCATTTACAAAACACACACAACAAAAAATACTTAACAACATGTTCTCAGGCCTTTTTCTGCAGCTCTGGGACATAAGATTTTTTAAAATGAAAACATAAGTCTCTCAAGATCCTATACAAACTGCTGGATCCAACAATAAATGCCACGTTTTGCTCTCCACTGCAAAATCAGAACAATGTAAGTTTCCTGTTGAATCTTCATCTGCCACTTCTTGGGCCTCTGTGGGAAGAAGACTCATTCCCCTTAATTTGCTATCACGAACAGTTATTCCACTAAGAAGCCCTCAAGCTTGGGGGCTAGGGGTTTTAAAGACTGTGGCATTCAGGGCTGAAGCAGATGCTAAATGAAGCCCAAGGCATTACAAAACAAAAACAAAAAAATCCCAAAACTGTTCCCATTGACCCCCACCCTGCAAAGAAGTAGTCCTTCTAGCCACATGCAGGGTTCCTTCCTCAGTTCCTCCATCATGAACTACCCTGCAGGAAGGATGCATTATTCTAGGCACCAGTTACCTTCACTCACCATCGAGCTATGAACCAGATAATGTCCCCCAAGAGAAGGACCCAATGTCCCTTCCTGGAGGTGGTCAAATGGTTCTCTTGGCAGATTGCTTGCTTGTTAACCTCAGGATTCCTCAGAGCATACAAATGCCCAATTTTCAGTCACTCTTTACCCATAACCAAAGCTATGGTCTTCTGACTCCTGGTAGGGTTGAAGCCTCAAGTCCCTGCATGTATAGACTAAGGACAAGTAGGCTGCTATTCTTGTTCATTGGTTCTTCCCCTCCCAGTTTGGAGTTTTGCTTTAAAGAGGGCAACTGCTACTACTGTTCACCAAGAGCAAAAGAAAAGGAGCAAACAGAAAGAGAGCGAGAGATGCCCAGCCAACTAAGAACTACAGGAAAAAGAAAGAACGTCTGCATCACACACCAGGTAACTTGACAACACAACTGGTGTCTGTGAAAGATGTATCCACTTCCTCTCCCTTCAGGACTCCGCCGCCCAAGTTCAGCTTGACAATAATTTCATGAGCATTCTGCTTCCAGTCCAGCAGCAGGTCTAGGAAACAAAAGGGTGGGTGGAGGGTAAAACACAGGATGTCAGTCTCTCACTTGCTGATCCAGAAGTGCAAAGTGCCAGAGTGACCTGTTAGCTCATGAATGAGAGAGTCCAGGACTTGAAGCAGAGTTAGTAACAGAGTGTAAGTTTGCAGCACTCCTAGGGCATCATAACCAACACAGAAATCGTTGCCACGCAGGATGGTAGGAAGACAGCGACCAAAACTCTTCTTAAACAGGTCACATGAAAATGTGGAGGATATTCAACAGTGGCAACAAGCCATTGCAGCCAAAGGCACATTCTCAGTATTGAAAAACAGTGTGTTACAGCATTGTATTAGGAGCTGGTGCAATACAGTAACTTAAGCATAAGCTGTGAGTCAATTAAGCTGTTCACAGTTCACCTCAGCCATGAAGTGACCAGGTGGTCCTAGGTAAGCCATTATCTCTCAACCTCAGGTCTGTAGCACAGGAAAAGCAACACTGGCTAACACTGTGCAGGACACTTATGACGGTTATGGAAAACATGTATGTGAATCACTTTGAACACTCTAAAGTGCTATATATATTTCACGTGCGTGAGTATGAGATGCTGGAAATTAATGAGTTTGATGCCCTATTTGTAATCTGCCCTGATTGCAACCTACCCTATAGCAACTGTCAGTTATTATTTATTTATACCACTTTTAAACATAAAGTTCTCAAGGTGGTTCACATAGGGAGAGGTGGCTTATAAATGAGTTTCAATAAAGCTGTCTCAGCAGGGATGGGCTTTCACACATAGGCCTTGAACTAAGGACCAGACTCCCTCCCCTTAGGCCTGATTATCCATGCCGGTTCTGGGTGTCTTGAGGAGCAACACCTTCCTTGGAGGAGAGTTCTCTTCCAAGAATCCTCACTTGGGGCATGTTGTGAGATGCAGCTGCCCTCTTCCCTTGCGAATGTCCGCGGTGGTTCTCAGGATGACAGGGCGCTGAGCTGGCAGGCTCACTGGCATGACCCTGTCTGGCAATTCTTGAGCTCTCCTGCACTCCCCACTCAAAAGCGGAGAGGAATATGGCTGAACACCCACCACTTCCATGGGAACAGAAAGACACAGACATGCTTGAGGCAGCTGATGCTCTCCTGTGACATAACTGCCATGCCCTCTGCTGGCGAAGGGCTGATCTTACCATGTGCTTCTCATGCCTCAAATGGGCCAGCGTCAAGGTCGTTCCCTCCTTTTGTTCTTTACGGCAGTCAAGGTCCCCCTTCTTTTGTCACGCTACCTTGGCAGCTTGTTAGGCTGTTAGACTGACACAGCTTTGTTAAGATCGCTTGTTAAAGAAGCAACCCTCAGGCCTGAAAAGGAGTGGGGCAGCCACACAGTGCAGACAGGCGCATCAAGGATAAATAAGGTGGCTCGGTACTTTTCGCACCCTGAAGTCATGCACCCCTGCAACTTACCCTCCTCCGATTCCCTCTGCCAGTTGGGCTCTACCAGCGCCAGGCCAGGGAAAGGCTCTAGTGATCAAAGAAACATAGAAGAGGTGTGTTGCTTTGCCAATGAGCAGCTGCTCACTGCATCTGCACAATGTACCTCTCTGCTGCTCCTCACTTTGGAATAGGTCCTCCACAGGTTAAAGCTTACTTCTTGTTTTTTAATCACCACAGTCCTGCTGCCTGGATAAGGAACTTGCACACAACCAAGAGGAAGGCAACGGCAGCAACACGCAGAGGAAGGTAACAAGCCAAATAAGGCTTATGAAATTGTCAATTGTTGTGGTTGCCTGGCCTGCAGCAACAGGTGCCATGTTGCCTCTTTGTCAATGCATGCAGGAAAGAGGTCTGTGTAACATTTGCACAGGGATTTGCCAGGGTGGCATCCCCTGAAACCCTCCCCTTTGGCTCAGGTCAGGTCTTCACCTGCAGCACACCTGACGCGCTGTATGAAATCGGATGTAGCGCAGGTGGGTGTGGGTTGACTGAAGTGGACCTGCGGACCAAATGGGGAGGTTTGGCAGGCCCAATTAGTTCTGTGGATCAGAGGTTCCCCACCCCAGCTCCCTACAGACAAATAGCAAGGCTTCCCTCACCAGCATTAGATTATTGAGAATCCCAGCATTCACTTTCAAAAGGATATTCTGGGCTTCAAAACTGCAGGTATAAGCTTAAAGAAGTAAATGCATTTTCTACCAAAAAACAACAACCAACAACAGACCACCCCCTCTGGAACTCCACGAATTGGGTGCACCCACTCTCCCACCAGAAACTTCATAAAGGCCCCCGTTCCTTCCCCACAAGTCCCTTTCCTTATATACTATTTTAATAGTTTGCAAATAAAAAAAATGCCTTATTATGGTCTCGGCCTGACTCACTGTGGAGACTTTTTTCAAGACTAAACAATGTTGTTGGCCTAGATTCCATTGGCCTAATGATTTTATTCCAAGGACATTGACCTTGCAGAATTTAGTGCTTCAAGTTGTGTGGAATTTTGGAAGGTGAATGTGAAGTGCAACACGCCCATGACATTCGGCAAATGATAAATACACGGGGAATAGCCCTCATTTTTAACCCTATAGAACCAGGGGAGAGGTTGACTGGAGGTGGATCCTTTTGTCAAAGCATGAGCCTGTGACAAAGGGCACATATCTACAGAGGCAGAGTTTAGACACTTGGGACATGCCTCTGTGTGTGGAAATTTCCTGGCAATTTCAGCAATCCAGGAAAGTGGAAGTGGCGAAAACAGGGAAAGGTTCCCTATTTACTCCTGGCTGACAACCAAATCTGCATAGCTGGAGAAGGCTTGAAACATGAGAGGGAGGTTGCTAAGTAAGTGGGGAAGATAGATGAACGTGCTTGATATATTGCCATATTTAAAGAGACAGGCAATTCTTAGGCCTTTCTTCACAGCAAGTTGGCCATTGTGCCTTCCAACTTAAGTTCAGCCTTGATTGACTGAATTAGGTGTGGTAGGATTCTGTGCAGAGAGGAAAGGTATTTGGAGGCCATAAAAGTCTGAACTCAGCCACTAAAGACAAACCCTTGCAAGTTTTATCATAGGAAGCGTTCTAAACTATGTCACTTTCTACAGAACTAATTTGCAGGTGGAGGTTGGAGTGAGAATAAGGGGCAAATATCACTGCAAAAAGCCACTGCTGGTGAAATAAATGTGCCAGCTTTCAAGCTCCTCAATTCTTCCGTTTGGTAATTTGCAATTGTATATTCTACCTTGTGAAAAAATCTGTGTAAATTAAGAAGAGTTTGGATTTGATATCCCGCTTTATCACTACCCTAAGGAGTCTCAAAGCTGCTAACATTCTCCTTTCCCTTCCTCCCCCACAACAAACACTCTGTGAGGTGAGTGGGGCTGAGAGACTTCAGAGAAGTGTGACTAGCCCAAGGTCACCCAGCAGCTGCATGTGGAGGAGCGGAGATGCGAACCCGGTTCCCCATATTACGAGACTACCGCTCTTAACCACTACACCACACTGGCTCTTAAGAGTCTGCTCTGCACGCTTCAACACAAGTTGGCTCAATGAAGGGTTTCATTGCACCAAATATATTTTTCATAGTCATCCAAAACCAGCATTGGTACTATTATCTATATTCTAAAGACTTAATTTTTAATCGCGTATCGTATCATGAAAAATGAACACTTTAGTTTGTTTCTTTATGGAACAGAGAGCTACATATAAACAGTGATGCAAACCAAACTAATATTCTAAGATGGAAGTCACTAAACCAGCCTAAGCTGGCTGAACATCCAATTGCCGTAATAACCCAGTAAGAAGATTTACAGCAAGAGGAGTTGATGAATCATTGCTATGAGTTCTAATCTGCTCTTCCCCTAACTGAACTTATTATTAGAACAGTGGTGCTGTAAGGTTGCTTTTATCTAGACCAAAGAAAGGCAACTGTTAGCCTCAAGACCTGTTCTTTCCACCACAGAAGGACAATAATTAGCAGCAGTAATAAGTTGGTGCGCTGCATGTTGCACCACGAGAGATAAGAGAATAATGTCAGACACAATCAACCACAATTAGTGGCAAGCTGCCTCTCCTTTAAGGGAGAGCCTCCTCAAAAACAGCACCTCCAAGTATCACCAGCAGTATTACCTGAAATGTAACTGTTGTACATCCGATGACGATTATTCCCTAACTAAATTTACTGAAATTGTGTACATCATGGGTAGGCAAACTAAGGCCCGGGGGCCAGATTCAGCCCAATCTCATTCTAAATCCGACCTGCAGACAGTCTGGGAATCAGCGCGTTTTTAAATGAGTAGAATGTGTCTTTTTATTTAAAATGCATCTCTGGGTAACTTGTGGGGCACAGGAATTCGTTCACCCCCCCCCAAATATAGTCCAGCCACCCACAAGGTCTGATGGACAGTGGACCAGCCCCCTGCTGAAGAAGTTTGCTGACCCCTGGTGTACATGGTACACCTGTCCATGATCACAAGGATAGGAACAAAGATGGAGTGGGGGGGGGGAGAGAGAGTCCTTTCTCTTATAAATATTTGGAGAGAGTGGAGGAGATAGTGAACGGAAAGGTGTGTGCTCGTTTTGCAAGCTGCCGGTGTCCAAGACTTCCACAATTTGCAAAACATTTGGGTATGCAAGAGAGCATTAAGCAAGAAAAACAGCCCTTAAGGCTGCAACTTTGCATTGAGCTCAGGGCACAGAAGCAGGCAGCTGGTTTTGGAACAGCGCATGGCAAAGCCTGAGTCATATTATATCCTTCAAAAGAAACTGCCTTGAGCAACACTGTTAAGAGCTTGACTTTCTCTCTCTGCTGACCATAGCACAAGGCTCTTCATCGTTTCTTCTCCTTTGTCTCACAGACATACGCATCTTTTACACATCATCTTTAATCTTTGCTCCCTTCATCTACTGACACCACAAGTGGGCAACTAGTGATGTGGATTTCCCATAAAATTTTGAATCGGAAACCTCAGACTTGCATAAGGTGATTTTGCATCAGAAATTATTCTGATGCCCTAGAGAGTGAGTCAATCTAGCATGTTTATTTGTATTTAGTAAACAAAATATATCCTTTTTTTTTGTCCCAATGAAAAAGTATTCAACCTAAATTGGAAGTGGAAACTGAAGCACTTAACATGCTTTACATGTATATTGTGTAGAAAACATAGATTTTTAAATTGGAGTATTTCTTTAAAAAATAAAGTCATTAGCAGGCACACTTCACTTATATTGTTTAAATTTAAGAAAAAACAAAGATACTGAAAACAGTTGACTCACAACACAGTCTAGCAATCCGAACAACTGAGCATGATATGCTGACTTGCATAGTTTGCTAGGGATAATGTCCCAAAAAACATAAAGTACAATTTAAGAACTGTCAAGCTTGGCTAATATTGCCTTTGAAACTGGCACCCACACATTGTTGGTAATGAACTTATGAAATGGATACGTTCCCATAGAAAAAACAAGCAATGGACAATTTCTGCTTTCCAAAAAAAATTCCACCTCACATTGCTGTGAGCAACCTGCGAGTTGCTTAGACGCCTTACAAGCTGGATTCACACTCATTTCAGCATACCAATCAAATTTGGCAGGCTGCACAGAGCATGATTTGCATGAGAAAGGTGCACTGGGATGGCTCTCTAGGCGTGCCTTCTCCCTCATTGCAGCTGTGCTCCCTTCAGTCCACCAAACAGATTGTCAGCCCCTGTCAGCTGGGGTGTAGGGAGTGGCCCAATGGAATCACTGCCCACAACATGCCTGTCCCTCTCCCACCCCCAGCAGCTGATTGCTGTTGGTAAAAGCCAAAGAGCTTTTCCTGGACACAAGGAATGGGAGAACCACAATGGCATCACTGTGATCCTCTTGCTTGCCTCCTTTGGAGCTCTGTGTGCATTTGTGTGTGTGTGTGTGCATGTGAAAGTGCATGCCCCCTCATCCACTGCCCGTCCCCAGTGAATTATTATTATTATTATTCGTTTGTCTGTACCCCACCCATCTGACTGGGTTGCCCCAAATGTAGCTGTTGGAAGCAAACAGCTTAGCTACTCCTGATTTACACCCGTGTCTCTTGTGCTGTGATCCTTTCTATTCCTGGAGCAATTTTTGCTTCTGCATTTGCCAAACCCACTGAGCCCACCTTTTAGAGCTCTCTCCCATTCTCACCTTTTCAGGAAGGTCTTTTTTGGAGAATATCAACACGCATACACCACACCTCCATGCCATCTGTTTGCTCTGGGGATTCAAATTTATTACAACCATGGCCATGACATCCACAACACACCTTTAAAGCACATTCTTCCCCCAAGGAATCCTGGGAACTGCACTTACCCCGTACAGACCTATAACAACTACTACTACTACTACTACTACTAACTTAATTAAATTTGTATACCTTCCACTACCCTTAATAAATAATAGTTCCCATGATTATTTGGGGAAAGCCATGTGTTTTAAATGTATGGTGTGGGTGTGACTTTGATGGCAATTACTCCTAATTAATTGATCGAGAGTAAAGTTATGGTCTTATTATTATTATTATTATAATTTGACTGTAAACATTTTGTGCAGAGACAGTGTCACAGCTGGGTTCTGTGTAGCGCTTTCTGGAAAGTTTCGCATACTTTGTGCACTGAACAAAAAGTATGTAACAGTGATATAGAGGAACTTTACAAGTATTTTTCCAGCCCTGGTCCCTAGGTGTCCCGAGTCCTTTTGAGCCTTAACTTAAGGTACTCCTTCCATTTACTCTACAGTAATCAGCCTTATGCACGTAGTTTTCAACCTTTCAATTGATCCAGCATACTTATACAAACATAGTATTTATACTGGATTTAAACGTAGAGTAAAAGGTACCTATAGCACAAAACCATACCTTTCTTTGAGTCACTGCCAACTGGTCTCTCGCCTTCCTTATTCTCCTGATTGGCTCGGTCCTTCTGCTTCTTCTTGCTGGTTGCATCTTCCACGCCCCGTGCTGCTCTTCTCTGGCCAGGGATGCTGGCACTGTTGGACATTTTCAGCCGTTTGGATGAGACAAACGGCCCGCCGGGGTCGGTGACAGAGTCTGGGTCAGGGGTGCGACGTTTTCTTCCCGAGCCAGCTATCTTGGCGATTCTTTGTGGTCAATCTCTCTGGCAAGGAACAAATGCCTGGGGGGCACATGGAGGAACACAATGGGTAAGAGGAACGGCAAATACCTGTGCTGTCAGAAGCCTTACTGAAGTGCTGTGTGTATGTGTACACACACAAACACACACGTAAGACAGGGAAAGCCAGCACAAATGTCTTTGCTTTGAAAATTGAATACAGTACTACTGATCGGAATGGGAAGCACTGCCCATTCAAGGCACAGTCTTATCTACACGCATTTTGAGATGAGGATTTTATTTTTCATTGCATGACCACAGTCAAAATGTACCAGGCAGTATTTCCGTAAGACAAAAAGTCATCCTGGTGAGGATCTAGTTCTACCAGAACAAATGGGTGGCTCAGTAGTCTGTCAAAGCCAGAGTGCTGTTATCTGATCCCTTTCCATTACTGGGTGCAATAGAAACAGCTGAGCACAAGACTGTTGATTTCCATGCGGGTTGCTGCTGCTTCAGAAACGATTATGGTTCTCTGAATGGGCGCAAAAGCCAGTAAAATTTCCTTTAAGTTACGGAATTCCTGGGGCTTTCCAAAATCTACCAACACCCCTCCATTTGCTTGTCCATTTGAGTGCCTTGCATCTAAGAGGCCAGTTACAACTTAAATATTCATCACATCGTTACAGCAATACAGTAAAAGCAGCTCTCTGAAGAGGTAATCAGAGACACCCCTGCTTGTTACTGCCAGCCAGGGTGAGCAATACAGGCTCCCCACTGCACTCCATGCAGCTACTGGCCAATTCCCTTTCCTGCTAGCCTGCCTGCCACTATCAGGTTAGCCAGCTCAGAGACCTAAGCTGTCAAATACCAGTTTCACTCTCCAGCACCTCCCATGAACAAACAGGAAAAGCTTAGGCCAGGGGTCAGCAAACTTTTTCAGCAGGGGGCCGGTCCACTGTCCCTCAGACCTTGTGGGGGGCTGGACTATATTTGGGAGGGGGAAATGAACAAGTTCCTATGCCCCACAAATAACCCAGAGATGCATTTTAAATAAAAAGACACATTCTACTCATGTAAAAACAAGCCAATTCCCGGACCGTCCGTGGGCTGGATTTAGAAGGTGATTGGGCCGGATCTGGCCCCCAGGCCTTAGTTTGCCTACCCCTGGATTAGGCTGTCAGAAGGAAGCCAAAATTGAATGCTTTACTTTTTCAATTCAGTTATAGAGAGTTCAATTCAGTTCAATTCTATAACAGTTCAATTCAGTTATAGAGAGCCTTAACAGGGTCTTCCCCACTTATTGCCTCCTGGGCACAGTACAGTGAAAGTGAAGCCTAGGAACTCTTACTTGGAAATACCACCTAGGTTCAAGAAGTTAAATTTCAAGGATAACTGCCTGCACAAAGGCCAGATTATGCATGTACCTCAAGAGAAGCATGACCTGAGAATCAAATATGATACAGACCAGACAGGACTTTCTTTGCAAGAAGCACACAAATTCCCACCCAGGAAACAACGTTTTTGAAGATGCAACCAGGCAATTACTTCAAATACCCTGGAGCACAAAGGGACAACAAATAGTCCACAACTGGCAGCCTTCATATGCAACACCAGGTCCCCTGAATCTCCAATGAGCTCACCGAGCCACTACTTTGCCCTTCCGTCACCAGTATAATCATGCTATATTTTGTTGCTCCTGGTGAGCTTAGTGCTCCCCACCATTCACAGGCCTCAGCAAATTGGATTACACTCTGAATGTGAAGTATTACTAGGAAACATAGCAGTCAGGACTGAAGTACGCAGTAACAGTGACAGCCCCAAGTGGCAGACCTTAGAGATGGGTAGGAACATGGACACCTCCAGATTTAGGGGGCCCTGGGCAAAGTGGTCCTCTGGTGGCACTCCTCCTCCATGGATGGGTCTGCTTGATCTACAACTGAGTTGCTGGATCTAGAGACCATTTTGATTTCCTATAACATCACCAATTCTGGTCAGTGTGAGAAATTAAAATAGCCTCTAGACCCAGCTGCCCAAATAAGCCAGTTTGTGTGTGTGTGTGTGTGTGTGTGTGTGTGTGTTTAAAGGAGGGTCCAGGGCACACATCAATGTACGCCTGGCAAATGGTCCAAGACACCAGGTGAAAACTGGCACACAACTTAGATGGAAAACTACTACTCCAAAACTTTTCTACCAATTACAAAAGACCCCTGCTTTTCCATGCGTTTTCTGCCAGACAGTATACTACTGCCCATGATTAACCTTATATAAACTTTATATAAAAATACAGACTCATAGCCTTTCAGAAATGCTTGAGAATTTCAAAGGGCTCTTCCTCACTAAGAATTCTAAGCTATCAACTCCAAGCCCAATTCAATCCTCCCAATGGCCAAGTATGAACAAGACAGAACACTCCATGAGCCAGAGCTCCCTTCCCATTAAGCTTAAAGACACGCAAACCACTCCCAGCCAGGAGTCCATGACTCAGGTGTAAGCCTGAGATAAAATAATAGCCTCTAAGGCAGTAGCTATGATGAAGGAGAATAGAAGTGTGAAAAGCTCTCCAAGTCTGAGCAACAAAGGGCACTACATGCCACAGCTGGGCACATCCCAAACTGTGGTGCCTTCCTGAAAACACACTGCACAGGGCTGCATCACTACAAAAGGAACCAAGAACTAGCATCTGGCTCTTAAATGTGACTGCTGATCTGTTCTGAGGCTAAGGAACAGCAACTGCTTTGAAATGGGTGGAGGGGGAAGAAGGCCTGGAGCTTCATCCAGGATTTATCTCTTCTACTGGGAGAGCCAGTCATCAGCAAGCACAGTACATTCTAACCTGTAGAAGCTACACCCATGGGATCCAGTTGTTATAAAGTCAGTGCAGCTGGATCCTGGTTTCCACCCCGCACATAGTCTTTAGACCAGTGGTTCCCAAACTCTTTGCCCCCCCCCAAAGAGACTATTCAAAAATTGCTGAGATTCCTGACAGACCACTGTTAAAAGTCCAAATTGCCAGCCATCACTACATCTTGTGGTGGCAAGTTCCAGCGAATAATTCTTCCTTCTCAGAAACGTCCAGCTTCTGGAATACACTAGAACATAACCAATAAACTCCCATTTCATCTTCAAAAAAACTCTTCCACACCCATTTCCCTCTCCACATAAAATCATGTTTACATAATATGAAAATCTTTTGCAGTTAAGCCTGCCACAAAGCAGGACTGCCCCATAGATCCAGACCACAGTGCCTAGACTGTGAACAAAGCTCAGCTACTGAGTCTTTCAAAAGCAAATTTTATTAGGAACAAACAGCACTATTCACACACACACACACACACACACACACCAGAAACAAATTTGGAAAGCAGCAAAGAAGGAACTGCAGAAGAACAAGCCTTCTTAACTGAGCCATCCCCGAAGCAGTAGAACAAAATTTAGAGCCTTCATAAATGTATCCCATGCTGCCTAAAAACAAGGATAGTCATATCTGTTGCTTTTGTAGTCTTTCCATTCCTAAGGTTTCCAACCTTAAATACATTTATCCACATTACCATATCCATTTGCTATTTTTTTATTTAAAAAAATCTTCATGAAAATTCATCAGCATTTTGATTCAAATTTCTCACATTTGTTTGCAATTTTGCTCAGATGTTGACCCATAGAAGGCTAGACTGCTTTACAGATTTGTTGTATTTTTATTCTAGTCTTCAGCCAAAAAGGCTCTCAGAGTACTTTACAAATATCAATGAGAAGACGGCTCCTGCTCTCAGGCTCACAATCTAGTAGATGTGAAGTGTTTTAAGCACCCAGAAAATACATTAAACACCTGTTAATTGCTACTACATGGTTAACTTTGGCACCAATAAACCTTGTATTTATGATGGTACCCCCCCCAAAAAAAACCCCTGAAAGGACTAATGTACTCCTAAAATAACTATCTTTTTTGAGCCCCTAATCTCACCAGCTGAGGTTGAGGTCTCATCTAAGTTGTTGTGGCACAGTTGGTTGCTATAACATTGCCTCTGGGCATCTGGTTGGCTGCGAGAGCTGTTCATCTCATGACACCAGCAACAAAGCAGCTACGCTATTTTCACTGCACTGACCTAACCAAGCCACTTTCTTTCCCACACTTTCGGACCTCTCCTTACTTCTCGGCAGCTGGCATGAACCACATGCCGCAATAATCTCCACCGCCTGCTTCTAGGAGCCTTTATTTGGAAAGAAGAGCAAAGGCAACTCCTCAGGTTTTGTAGCGCGCAACACCCCCCCCCCCCGGCCCAGCTTCTTTCACAGAGTCAGCCCATGGCCTAGAAAGCCATATCCTCCAGCCCCACAATACACCCCTTATTCCCACGTGTCTGGAAAAGTCTCCTGGGTGGGGGGGGTGCAACTTGCGCACTTGGGGACCCTGCCTAACCCAGGTGCCTCCGCTCACCTGCTTCTTGGCACCTGACAGCTTCCTACACGACAGGAAACAGGGGCTGCCACAAGCTCCTCAGCCTCTGAGGTTACACACGCACACACACAGCACCTGCAACAGCATGCAACGCTGCAGCCCGGGCCCTTTTTGCAGCCACTTCTTCGGTCCCTGTTGCAGGGGAAAGACCATGAGGGTCAAAAGCGGGCCCACCTGCACAGTGACAGCTCCTGGATCCCACCCCTCCCAGCCGAAAAGGGTCACACCTGAGGGAGGCCAAGGTTTGTGGGGGGGGGACTCTCCCCGCGACCAAGAGACGCGACACGACCCAGTCCCTCACACACACACACACAAATACACGGATACACCCCCTCCCTCCTCAGTGACTCCCCCCCCTCCGCACCTCGACGGAGGCCCCTCCCCCTCCCTCAGGGCTCACCACTCCGCTCCCCCCCCGCCGCCGCCGCGCACCCTCCCGCTGACGGGCCCCGCCCTTGCGCACCTTCGCCCGCCGCCGCCGCCGCGGCTTCGCCTCCTCCGCCCCAACAGTCACTCGCCGGCACCCCTCCCCCACCCCGCCCGCAGCACGCACGCACGCGCGCGCGCACACACGAAGGGCCGCGGCAGCGACTCTCCCCCACCCCCGCGGTTTGTTTTTGTTTCGAGCCGAAGTTCCGAGCTGCGTGGGGGTGGGGGTTGGGAAAGGGGAGAACTCAGGAGGAGCCAGGCCCGAGCTCTACGTGACGTACTTCCGGAAAGCCGGCGTCGCTCGGGGCCACGTGACGAGGCGGAGGAGGAGGAGGAGGCGGCGCGCGGGGCACGACGAGGCTGCTCGGGTGAAGAGGGAGGGAGGGAGGCTTGGGGAGAGAGAGAGAGCGCGAGCCGATAAATAAATAAATAAATAAAGTGGGCGGCGTCACGTGGCGAGGGGGGAACGTTCTCTCCGCGCACGCGCGCTCTGGTGGAGCGGAGGGAATCTGCGCCGTTTCGCGTGGCGCCACAGGACGAGCCCATGGCAACCGGACTATAAGTAGGCCGGGTAGCAACGGCGGAGCCGTCAGGCGCTGCTGGGCGAGCTCTGGGCTTGCTAGTCCGGGGGTGAAGCGTGGGCATATGCGACAAGCTCCGCTGTTTCCGAAGCTGCAGTCGCGTTTCACGTCAAATTTCGTACTTTCACCCCTTGCTTTCTAATTTCAGCGCTTTGTAAGGGTTTTGTTTTTCTTCCTGCCTTAAGACGACTTTTCCTCAGTTGGCTTCGTAAACAGCAAGGCTGACATAAAAGCAAGGCTTCGCTGCACCCTTCCCCCATTGTTGTGGTTGGGTTTTTTCGCCCTGAGGAACAGACCTGGAACCGATTTTTTTGCATCCTGCCAGTGTTGATATTTGGGGCCATAACCCTTCCCCCCTTTTTTGTCTTAATGACTGGGGGGGGGGGACATTTACAGGTTTGCTAGTATGTCCCCAAACGGTGCAAAATGAAAAAAAAATTGCTTGTGAATAAAACAGATCCCAAGGTTTTGCCCCATCTACTGACTGGGTTAGGGATAGGTTCCCTTTGCTGCACTATGTATTGAAACACCGTTTGCATATTTTGCCTGCTAACAGACACTGAATAATAATTCAGTCGGATCTCTCTAGTAATGCTTCTCAACACCCCTCTGCTTTGCCTATTAGGACTAATATGGTCCCTTGCAAATACAATCATCCCAGTTTTATTCTGTGCACAGAGGATTGGAAATGCATGTGTATTTACAGTAATATATTTTCAGATAATGTCTGTGTGTGCTTTCATCATGAGCAAAATTTATTTGAGTGACAACATTGCTTACAAACAGCATTAACAAATGCAATCCGTGCAAAAATATTCTCGAGGCTTGCAGATCATATGTTGATGTTATCGGCGAAAGCTTAATTTCTAACAAAATAAGGCTAGGTAGGGGGAAATGGATGAAAATGTAGCATCTGTATGGTATGACGATGTTCAATATTAAGAGAATCATATTATTGTAAGTCTCAAAGCTATCAGACAAGGAGAAAAAGCTATTTAAATACAGGCAACTGTTTTAACACTGAATCAGACCACCAACTACATTGTCTACAGTGACTCTCCAGGAGTTTTCAGACAGGAGTTTTCCCCAACCTTACTTAGCCTCCCCTGCCTGTGTAGATGAAAGCATTTCAGTGGATGTCCTTTGCATAAGCTACACCTGCTGAAATTCCCTCTGCATTAAAGGTACAGGAGCTTTGACCTCTTTTGGACTACCCGAGTACAGTATAGAGCTAGGGGCTGCTTACCTGCCTGCCATGTACTTTACCTCTGTTCCTGGATGACAAGGTTTTAATAAGCAGCTTTATTTCCACTTGAGGATAAAGCCTTAGCCTCTCTTGTCTCTAGCAAATGCCAGTTCCCACTCCTTCCCTTGATAAAAGGCAGGGTGTGTTGTGTATGGGAGGCTAATATGGAGGGCTGGTTAGCAGGGTCAGCGGCGTAGCATGGGTTGTCAGCACCCGGGGCAAGGCAAGTAATTTGCGCCTCCTAACCCGGGGCAAGGCAAGTAATTTGCGCCCCCTAACCCCTAACCTGCCGCCGCTGCCAGCTTCTTCTTGCTGCTGCCTGGGCTGGGGTATTTACGGTAAGGTAGCCACGGCGGCGGCGGCGGGTCCGTGTCAGGTGATCTGAGGCGAGTTGCCGCTGGCGCTGCCACCCAAACGATGCCGCTTGCCCGGAGGAGGAGGAGGGCAGAGAGGCGAGGAAAATGCAACATGGCCCAGCAGCGGCAGCGGCGGGGCTGTGAGGAGGGGCTGCCTGGCGCGCCCTCCGCGGCGAGCGCTGAGAGCCACTGCCAGCTCGTCGGTTCCGCGAGACATGGGGCTCTGCTACAGCCTGCGCCCGAGGCTCTTTGGCGACTCCGGAGGCGGTGAGCGCGCCCCCCCAGATGTTGCGCCCGGTGCGGCCGGCTCCCCCTGCACCCCCCACACTACGCCACTGAGCAGGGTGGGGTGTGTGAACCCCATTACGAGATAGCGCTGAACTTGGGTGTCATGTGGACCCAACTTATAAGGGGTCAGGGAAGCTTTGTATCTGGAAAGTAGTTTGTTGTCTGAATTCATCCTCATTGCACTATCAGTTGCACCCAATTACTAAGCAATACAGTAGTTGCATATTGATAGGAAGCTGTAGTACAGTGGTACCTCTGGTTATGTACTTAATTCGTTCCGGAGGTCCATTCTTAACCTGAAACACCACTTTAGCTAATGGGGCCTCCCGGCGCCGCCACCACGTGATTTCTGTTTTCATCCTGAAGCAAAGTTCTTAACCTGAGGTACTATTTCTGGGTTAGTGGAGTCTGTAACCTGAAGCATCTGTAACCTGAAGCGTCTGTAACCCGAGGTACCACTGTACTCACTTTGGATAATTATGATTTCCCCTATATTTCAGCCTGTTCCTGTTTGCTGGAAATAAAAACAAACTCCCCCTGAGGTAATAAACATAGCCTGTAAGCCTATTGATCATATGTACTACCGTTTTAGACTGTACTATCTTTTGGATATTTTTCTCTGTACAGGTAACTTGCAACTTGCACACATTTAACCTGCACACATTCAGCTTTATGCACTTGGCTGCTACTACTACTACTACTAATAATAATAATAATAGGTGGTGAAGGGGATGGGTGTCCATGAAAATAGACTATGGCAATCCCACCTGCAATTGAACCTAGTGCGTTTTGACTATATGTGAATTTGGCTTTCTGCATTAGTCCCTGGAATGCAGCATTATCCCTAGAATGTAACCTGGGGATAAGTTGAGAGTCACCTGTAGTTGTCACTAATAATATTGTTTTCCTATGTAGTTTGCATCATGTTAAAATTATTATAGATACGCATGGATTTGCATCTCATCTACCTTGTGTGAAGTTAAATGGGTACATTCATCTTCATGTAGCCACATACAGTATTGCTGAAAGGCCAATTTGTCAGTCGTGGTCAGAAACATTACCGAAAGAGAGAGATGGCCAATTATGATGTAGTACCTGACAGCAGGTGAGAGGAAAGAAATGTTGGTATATAATACACAGCAGATGGACTAAAGTTTTGGGGTTCATAAATGGTTTTTTATATAAGCAATATTTGAAAAACAAGTTTCCCCTCACACACATTTTGCACTGTCAATTCTACTCCTGCTGCTCCATTTTGCTTCCACCAATTATTTCATTATATGTGGAATTCTTCCAGGCATTGTGAACTTTCTTGGTTCCAAACAAGGCATAGTCTCTAGTACATTTTAAGGTAACTGTAAAGGTACCCCTGCCTGTACGGGCCAGTCTTAACAGACTCTAGGGTTGTGCTCCCATCTCACAAGAGGCCGGGGGCCAGCGCTGTCCGGAGACACTTCCGGGTCACGTGGCCAGCGTGACAAAGCTGCATCTGGCGAGCCAGCGCAGCACACGGAAACGCCGTTTACCTTCCCGCTAGTAAGCGGTCCCTATTTATCTACTTGCACCCGGGGGTGCTTTCGAACTGCTAGGTTGGCAGGCGCTGGGACCAAACGACAGGAGCGCACCCCACCGCGGGGATTCGAACCGCCGACCTTTCGATCAGCAAGCCCTAGGCGCTGAGGCTTTTACCCACAGCGCCACCCGCGTCCCCTAGTACATTTTAAACTGGTGCAAAAACTGATTCTAGGCCGGTGTGCTCACTGCATCCTGTTCAAAAAAGGGGGAAAGTTTAGGAAAATATTCAGAGAACATCTTGTCTAAGGATAATTGTGTTACTGGCTACCTAAATAAACTTGAGAAAAATTAGTACTCGGTAAAATGAAAACCACTTTCTGTACACATTTTCCTGCTTACCTAATAACTTGCGTGAAAAAAAGTCCTACTTTTATAAATCACCATGATTGTGGGATCAACAGATTAGCCGGTGGTGGTTATAGACAGAACTAGTCCATGTTAACGATCTTGCATCTGCTCCTATCACAACAGTCTCTACATTCTTAAGACAGTGGCAAAATAGCTAGGATGCTGACACCTAGATCGGTACCATAGCAACCACGGTGCTGCCATGGCAACCAAATAGATGCCAGTCACTGACAGTCCTGGTATTTGCCATTAGCACTATGGCAACGGGATTGAAATGAGCTGGTACTGTACCATTAGCACCAATGCCCTGTCAACCATGAAGAAACCCGAGAAGTGACACTGAGACCGAAACACTGTCAAAAATGCCATGGGAGACTTTGAGACTGTTTTACCTCAAATATTAGAGGCCCAGGGATAGTCAACATGGTATTGAACTACATCACCCATCATCATCC